GGGTTGGTCGCGGACAAGTACATCTTGGCCCTGCGAGCGGCGGGGAGAGCGGCCTTGCGCCTCGGGCCCTCCTTGCCGTCCTTTGTGACGACGGGCGGGCCGCTCGTCTCTGCCCTGGCGACGACGCGGATGTCCTTGATGAGCGGGCTGAGGACCTTGAACGACTGCTCGACGCCCGTCCTGCCGACGAGGTTGCGCAGGCGGATCGACGTGTCGCGCCCCTGGTGGCGGCGGCGGAGCGCGATCAGGACGCCAGAGAAGACGGTGGTCGGAGGCGAAGGGTTGGTCGGGGACGGGGCCGAGGCGTACGAGGTGACGGTGAGGACCGAGCCGGGGAGGAGGCGCTTCTTGTCGCGGCGACCAAAGAGCTGGAGGTACAGGGCGGCGTGCGGGTGCTGGGACGTGAGGTGGGCGTTGAGGGTGCGCAGGAGCGAGTCGCCTCGAGGAGGAGGGGCGGCCGGGTTGACCGGGGTGGGCGGGACGGTGATGGCGGTCGAGCTGAACGGGTACGGCTCGAGTGGTGCGGGTGCGGGTGCGGGTGCGGTGTGCGATGAGGACGACGACGAGAAAAGGCGCGGGGAGGAGAGGGAGCGAGGGGTCGGGCGGGCGGCGAGGGAGACGCGGCGGAGGCCCTTGGTGATGGTGTCCATGGGTGTCGAGTGTGCAGTCGCTGGCTCTGAGTGTGCTCGAGAGGGAGACCGGGGGACGAGTGGCCGTGTCGCTCTCGCTCTCGTCTCGCTCCTCTCCTCCCTCCTCCAGCCAGAAACCCGCACCGAGCCCTCGAGCTCTCGGTCGGGCTCAGTCGCGTCCCCGTCTCGTCCACCTCGTCAACAGACACGCCTCGCCTGCGCGACATGGCCTTTTCGCCCTTTGGCGCGCCGGGCACCCCGTCCCCCTCGACCTCGCACCTCTCGCCCTTCTTCTCCGCCCAGGCCCAGGCCGCCGCCCAGAGCCACCCGGCAGACCAGATCTCGGCATCCCCAGACGACTCGCGCTTCCTCGCCACCACCGCTCAAGGGCCCGGCACGATTGGTGAACCGCGTCGTCCCTCGTCCTCGTCGGTCGGCACCATTGGCCAGCCGCGCAGGGGACCGACGCCGCAGCAGCACGCTCACGAGGCCGCCTTACTCGGCCTCCCCGCCGGCGCGTTCGACCACGGCGGCGTCGACCTCGCGCGTTCGGCGTCGAGCGACAGCGGGTTCGGCCAGAAGAGTCGCCCTTCGAGCTTCATCCTCGACGTCCTCCCGCAGACGCGCGAGCGCTCGGGCCCGCCCACCCCGTCCCTCTCGCTCGACAGCGTGTCGCTCCCGCCTCCCTCGTACCCGAGCCACGACCTCGCGTCGTCGACCGCGACCCTGCCCTCGCCGCACTCGCTCGCCCCGTCGTCGTACCTCGCCTCGGCCGGCGCGTCGACCAACACGTCGTCGCTCGCCCTCTCGCAGTCGACCATCCTCTCGAGCAGCGCGTCGCGCACCTCGTCGCCCGGCCCGCTCGACGGCCTCACTCCCCAAGGCGCCGGCAACGGCAACCACCACCTCCTCGCCGTCGACGCGCTCGCGACAAAGGTCCACGCCCTCGAGGGCAACGTCGCGAGCCTGTCGGGCCTCGTGTCGACCGAGCTGCGCGCGCTCCGCGACGAGGTCGGCCAGCTGCGCTCGCTCGTCTTTGGACAGCAGCAGCAGCAGCAGCGCTCGTCGCAGCAACAGGGTGCGGCCGACTCGCCCCTGCTCACGCTGCGGTCGCCGTCGCCCGGCCAGCAGGCCCTGTTCGGCGCGCGCTCCGGCGGGTCCGGCGGCGCAGGCGCAGGCGGCATGTACGGCGGCGCGAGCGGCCTGCCGCACCTGCACCCGGCGCACGGTCTCGGCCTCGTCGGCTCGCCCTCGTCGTCGCTCGTCGCACAGCCGGCGTCGTCCCCGGGCGGCACCCACGGCAACGGCGCGGGCTACTTTCCCGGCGACGAGCACTCGAGCGCCAAGGACGAGCAAATCAAGCTCCTCACGGCCCAGGTCTCGCAGCTGTCGAGCACCGTCTCGCAGCTCCTCTCGTCGGCCGCCGGCGGCGGCAACGGCAACCCGTCGTCCTCGCCGTCGCACTCGAGCGCGCTCGCGCCCGTCCCGCAGCGCGGCATGAGCCTCTCGGGCCTGTCAGGCCTCTCGGGCGGCGTCGGTGGCGGCGCAGGGTCGGCGACCGGCCTCGGCATGAGCGTCGGCGGCGGCGGCGGCGCGAGGCCGTCGCCCATGATGCGCACCGCGAGCGGGACGGCGCTCGCGCGCACGGCGAGCATGCGCTCGGCGAGCGGCGCGGCGGGCGGGCCGCCCCTGTCGGCGCTCGGCGGCGGCGGCGGAGGAGGAGGAGGAGGAGGAGGAGCAGGAGTGGGCGCGGGACCGGGCGGCGCGTTCGTCGAGAGCGCGAGCGCGTGGGACGGCGGCATGAGCAGCCCCATGATTGGCGGGCCGAGCAGCTCGATGGGCGTCAGCGTCGGGGCGGGCGGCGTCGTCGGACTGCCGGGCGTCGCCGGCGGCAACAACCCGCCGGGCAGCCTCGGCGCCAAGTGGGAGGTGCTCGGCGTCGGGCAGGACCTGTTTCGTGCCATCGCCAAGTACGGGTGCGTCGACCCTTTCCTCGTCTCGTTTCCGCCTGCACGACGACCGTTCACTGACTCTGTCGCACGCGCAGCCTCGGCCCGCCGACCAAGATCCAGGGCAAGGCCATCCCGTGCATCGTGCGCGGGCAGGACGCCGTCGCCCAGGCGCCGGCCATCCAGGAGCGCATCCAGTGCTACGTGATCCCGGCCATCCAGATCCTGTACGCGCACGCCGCCCTCGCCGCCCAGCTCGACGGAGCGTCGCCCTCGTCGCCCTCGTCGTCGGCCACCGGCGTCCAGGTCATCGTCGTCACGGCCACGGTCGACCAGGCTGCGCAGGCGCAGCGCCTCGCCGTCGGCCTCGGCGGCGCCCTCGGGCTGCGCACAGCCCTGTGCGTCGGCGCGAGCTGCGGCGCCGAGCAGATGCAGTCCGAGCTGCAGGCGCTCCAGAAGCAGCCGCCGCACATCCTCGTCGGCACGCCGCACAAGCTCGTCGACCTGTTCTCGCTCCGCACCGGCGGTGGCCTGTCGACGCGCGACGTGCGCCTTCTCGTCGTCGACGAGTGCGACCAGCTCATCGCCCGCAACCTCGCCGAGCACGTCCTCAACCTCGCGCGCCTCCTGCCCTCGACCGTGTCGGTCCCCGTGTCGGGCTCGGGCTCGGGCTCGAACGGCTCGGCGTCGGTCAACGGCGGCGCGTCGACGTCGCCGCTCATGATGCGCTCGCCGCTCCCGGGCGCGTTCGACTCGCCGTTCGCGTCGTCGCCCATGTCGCGCTTCGGCAGCAACGCCGGCGCAGGCTCGTCGCAGGGCGTGCAGGCGGCCTCGGCGCCGCCGACCATGGTGACGATCGAGCGCCAGATGGCCATCCTCAGCTGCACGGTCCCGCAGGACGTGCTCGCGTTCGCCGGCAACCTGCAGCTCAAGGAGCCCGTCAAGGTCCTCGTCCGCCGCGACAACAGCGGCGGCGCGGGCGGCGGCGACGGCGGCGGCGGCGGCCAGCAGGGCGGTGGAGGAGGGAACGGCATGATGAGCGGTCCGAGCGGCGCAGGAGGCGGCGGCGGGCCCTCGTCCGGCGGCGGCGGCTCGATGCGCGGCCTCAAGCAGTTCTACCTGTACCTCGCCGTCGGCGGTCCGGGCCAGCCTGGCTTCAACGGCGGGCCCCGTCGACGAGACGGCACCGGCCTGGGCAACGGCTCGACGAGCCTGGCGGCGACGCGCGAGTGGAAGCTCGAGGCGCTCGCCGACCTGTGCGAGGACCACTCGTTCGAGCACGCCGTCATCTTTGCGTCGTCGCTCGACGCCGTCGAGGCCATCACGTACCGCCTCGGGACGCGCGCCGTCGAGGCGTTCGCGCTCCACCAGGACATGGGCCCGCAGGCCCGCAGCGGCACCGTCGCCAAGTTCCGCTCGACGCAGCCTAACCGCCCGGGCCTCGCCGTCAAGCGCGTCCTCGTCGTGTACGACGCCCTGAGCCGAGGCCTGACCGACGTCGGGCAGGTCCCGCTCGTCATCAACTTTGACATGCCTCGCGCCGTCGAGGAGTACGTGCACCGGTACGTCCTCTCTCTCTCTCTCTCTCTCTCTGTCTCTCTCTCTTTCGGCTCCATGAACAGGTCCTGACGATGCCCTCGTTCGTGCGTGCAGCATCGCCTGCGCGACCGGGCAAAACAAGGGCGGCATGGTGCTCAACATTGTCACGCCGGCCGAGGTCGACATGCTGCGCAACATCGAGAGCTTCTTCCGCATCAAGATCGTCGAGCTCCCGCACAACTTTGCGACGGCGTCGCAGTAGCGCCGCTCGACTCGACCCACTCGCGGCGCATCGGACCCGACCATCTCGACCTCTCGCCCTTCTTCTTCTTCGTCGACCCAGTACCCGTTCATCCGGTTTACCCTCTCTCTCTCCTCTCGTTCTTCCCCTTGTCATAGTACCGCTCGCCCGACCCGACCTTGAACCGACCCTCGCACTCGCACCTTGTGACCCCCCGGCTCCTGTCGCCCTCCTCCCTCCGTAACGTCGTCGCCGCTGTAGCATCCCTCCTCGTATTTCCGTCCCCTCGCACCTGCACCTCTTCTCCTTCCCTCCTCGTTTGACCTCAGTCTCGGTACACGGCCTCGGCCTTGCCCCTCCCCTCTTGTTCACGTTCACGACCAGCGCCTGCAACGGACGGACTGCCCGCAGCTTCTGTACCTCACTGTGCCTCTCGCTCTCGTTGTTGCGCGCTCCTTGTGAGATGCGTGAGATACTGCAATGCAAGCGAGAAACGAGCCACCTCAACTCTGTCCGCCTTTTCGCGCCTCCTCGCGCGCTCAGCCACGGCGCATCTGGATCCTCGGGTCGCCCTTCTCGGCCCTCGCCTTGCGCTTGGCCTGCCGCTTGCTGAGCGGCTCCTCGCCGGGCGCGCCTCCTCCCGCTGCGCAGCCGGCGCCGGGCGCCGCGAGCGGGTTGGCGCCGCCGTTGCCCGACACGAGGGCGGCGAGCGAGGGCGAGATGTACGGGAGAGCGAACGAGCCGAGTCGGTACACGGCGTAGATCGGGATCTGGGTGCGCGCCGGCGAGGAGAGTGAGCGCTGGGGGAACGAGGAACGAGGCCCAGGAGGAGAGGAAGCGAGAGACGCACAACCCAGTAGAGCTTCCAGAACTGGGCGCTAACGAGCGCCGTCATGACGTGGACGAACCAGGTCACGTACAGGATGTCGAACGCGTAGCTGCGCACGAGGCGACCGCCGAGTCAGGGCGTGCGAGTGCGAGAGAGAGAGAGAGAGAGGGGAGAGGACAGGTGGACGCACCTGACGAGGCCCTTGCTGCCGTCGAGCTCGGTGCCGTTGCGCGCCATGGCCTTGAGCTGGTTCCACAGGCCGACGGCGATGGCCTCGGTGACGGCAAAGAGGAGGACGCGGCGGTAAGTGCGGCCCGAGGTGAACAGGGCAAAGTGGAGGAGGTGGATGCCCTGCGCGCGCCGTCCGGCCAGAGTCAGCTCGCCGAACTTGACAGGGAAGGGTGGGAGAGGGTAGGCTCACAGCGCTGGCAAGGAAGCCGAGCTGGAGGTGGTGCAACGAGCGGGCGTTGGAGGCGGCGATGCGCTTCGCGTTGGCGCCGGCCTGGGTGCGGGAGGGGTCAGCGGGTGCTGTGAGGGCGATACATGGGGGTCTAGGTGCGGACCATGGTGTCTGCGAGACGAGGTGGCCGTGGTCAGGGGCACGAGAGCGGGAGGAAGTCGCCCGCGAGCCTTGGTCCGCACCTACACCCGCCGCACCCCTCGCACTGCTGCTTGCGCGTGTCAGCGTAGTCCAGCAGTGTCCAACACCCCGACAGCCCCGCGTCTGTGCCCCTCCACTCTCTCGTTGTCGCCCGCCGACCGCCTCATCTTCATCAGCGACCCGCGTCGACCGACCTCTCTTCACTGGTGTAAACGGCTCATGGGACGGTGGGGATCGTCGCCGAGGACTATCTCAGCATCAAGGAGGCTACTGGGCCAGGCGGCCGCGCGGCGCGGGCTGTGGGCGACTCGTGCGTCCACCTCCTCCCCGCCTCCCCGTGTTTGGCACCCCTCTCCCTCTCCCCTTGCCCCCTCTGCTACCTCGCGAGGCGATGCAGGGGTCTCGGCGGACTGACTCAGTCACCTTACAGGCGGAACGGCTGCGCGACGCGAGCAGGGCGGTCTTCTGGGCGGCGCGAGGCTGGCTCTCGACCTCGAGGCGGCTCACCTTGTCCTTTGTACGTCCCGCGCACCCTCTTTCTTCCCTGCAGGACCTTTACGTGGATCTGTGCTCCCCGCCCAGCTGCGTACTGACCCTCTCGACCTCGCGCCGCAGGTTAGTCGCGCCCTCGATGGCACCTCCCCCTTCTCGGCCCCGAAAGCTTCCCCTCGCGCCCTTGCTGCGCCGCGCGACGGCGCCCTTTCCTCTCCGAAAGCTCTCCGCGTCTCTGTCGAGCGTTCCCGGACCGCACAGAGTCCTTGTTCGTCGTCGCACTCGTCCCGACGGCCCATCGAGTCGAGCCGTCGCGGACGGGTCTCTACGAGGCCGCGCCCGCCCTCACGTGCCCCTGTGGGCAGCGGGGCGGAGGCGTCCGTGCGCCCGGCCACCTACTCGAGACAGGGGGATTCTGCGCACCCTCTCTCAAACGCCATCTCTTGATCTAGCGTGGTTGAGGTGTTCTGCTTGCGCCAGGTCGAACGAGGAGATGTCTGCGATGCAATCGAGCGCGTTTCCTGAACCACTTTGCCGTGCCGAGCGAGAGTTGGTCGGTGCCAGTCTGCGGCCGGTCGGCGTGGAGATGGGGTCCGATTTTGGCGACTTTAACTATTATTTTTGGGACTTTTTCTCGACGGGAGCTGGGTTCGAACCGACTTTGAATACAAACCGAGTCAAGGGGCGACTTACTATTCTTTCGAATTGGCTCGGACGCGAACGAGGGACGACAGTGCGAGCTTCTCTCTCGATGACGACAGTGCGAGAGGCTCTCCATGACCGAGGGAGCGTGAGAGAGCCCGCGCCTCCCAAAAGAAGAGAGAGAGAGCTCGAGGACGGTAGACGAGCGAGAGAAGGACGCTCTCGGGCCTCACGCCTCGCGCACGCAGCCAAAGATCGTTACAACACGGGGCACAGCCAGCCTCTCGTACGCTACATCGCCTCTACGGCCCGCCGCCGACGCTCACAGGTGCTTCTTTGCGCTCGCGCGCACTCGAGCGTCGAAAGTCGGGCTGCGTATGGGCGCGTTGAGCTCGTGGAACGGGTTGAGGAGGGTCTGCGGGCGCTCAGGGGGGATCAGTGAAGTGTCTCGAGTGGGGCGGGGCACGACAGAGGGACGAGGCGAAGGCGCACCTTGACGTAGGTCTCCCAGACCTCCTGGAGGAAGAGGCGGATGCCGTCGTCGTTCTTGAGCTCGTGCAGGAGGAGGATCTTGACGCCTGTGAGACGGCAGGATCGCCACAGTCAGTGGCTGCGTGCTCAGGAGAGAGCGCCCAGTCCGACAGAGCGAACGCGAGACGCACCGCCCGGGGTGAGCCACGCCGAGACGGTCCACTCGTGGAACTTGTCGATCGACTTGAGGTACCTGAGGACGGGCGCCGGGTCAGTGAGAGTGTCTCGAGAGGGACCACACGAGTGGCGGAGGGGACGCACATGCCGCCGTTGGTCCACTGGACGTCCTCGACGACGTCGAGGCTGGCGTGGGCGACGAGCTGCATGACGTGCCGGCCGTTGGGCCCCGTCTTGGTCCCATAGCCGACGGTGCTCTGAGGCGCGTGACCGGCGTGTGGCGGTGCGCCGAGCTGCGCGGACGATGGAGTCGCGGCGGCAGGGAGGGTCGCGCCGAAGATGGAGAAGGCCGAGGGGACGGCCGGGGACGGGTTGGTGACCGAGATGGTGGTCGAGGCTGCGGCCTTGCTCGAGGTGAGGAAGGCCTCGTACAGCGGGCAGTCGCGCGTGCCGACGAGGACTGGGAGCGCCAGAGCGAGGTGTGGGGAGGAGGAGGACGAGCACGAGTGAGTGACGAGAGAGGGCGCGGGGACAAGGAGGGGACGGACCGCAGTAGTAGCTCATGGCAGAGTGCCTGGCTGCGCTGGTCCTTGTGCTGCACGAGGTGGTCGACGACGAGGCGAGCCCCGTGTTGACACCGCCTCGTCGTCGCCTCTCTCCTCGTCTCGCTCCCACCTCGCTCACAGAGCTCGAGGGTATCGTGCTAGTGCCTGACCGACTGTACTGCACGCCCTCGACCAGCGATACTCGCCGCCGACCGCCCCCTCCCCTCTCGACCTCTCCCCCGGCTCGTCGCGTCCTCATCGCGTCCCGCGACCTCAGCTCGCCCCGCCGCGACAGCCCGCACGGGCGCATGCCGTCCTCCGACGACGACGTCGACTCGTTCTTCGCCAACCCGCGCAACCCTGACCGCTCGGCCGCCCGCACTCGCCCCGCCAAGCGCCGCAAGAGCATCCGCCCTCCCTCCGACTCGGACTCGGACGACCCACACGCCGACCGCCCTCGCCGCAAGCGCGCCTCGTCCGACCTCGAGGTCGTCGGGTCCAGCAGCGGCGCGCACCGGGCGGGTGGGCGCGCCAGGGTCAAGGCGGGACCGGTCGCCTCGACGAGCAAGCACAGTACCGCGCCCAAGCCCTCGGTCGCGCGCCGGTCCAACCTGCACGTCACCCTCTCGTCCTCGTCGACCGACTCGACCGACTCGGACGGCGAGTGTCGCGGCAGCCCGCGCCACCGCCGCCGCACCGCCACCGACGGTCCTTCAACCTCGACTCGCCGTCGCGCGCGCGACCAGGACCTGCTCCCGACGGCGAGCCAGATCGACCAGGACGGCGACATTCTGCGCCAGCTCGCGCGGCAAAACGGCTGGCAGGGCTCGACCCCGCCGCGCCGCAACAAGTCGCGCGACCACGACGACGAGGACGACGACGACGAGCCGCCGCGCGAGGCGGCCAAGCGGCGGCGAGCGTCCGATGGCCGCGACGACGCGGCAGAGTCGGACTCGAGCGGTCGCTCGGCGGCGTCGAGGACGCGTAGGCGCACGTCGGCGAGCACGGCGCAGACGACCGTGTCGGATCGCTCCTCGTCGGCGACCAAGGGCAAAGGGCCGGCCAAGGCGCCCGCCGCCGCCGCCGCCTCGTCTTCGAGGGCCAAGAAGGTGCCGCCCGTGCGCAACATCGCGTCGACCTCGGCCACCAAGACGGCGGCCGCCTCGTCGACGCGCAAGAAGCGCCGCTCGTCGGCCGCCAACGACGACCGCTCGCCGTCGCCGCAGCTCGAGCCGCCGCCCGGTGCGCCTCCGCCGCCACAACCGGCGCCGCCCGAGTCGTTCTGGGGCGTCGAGGCGCAGCCGGTCAGGCGCAAGGGCGCGCCCTCGACCCGGCTCGAGGCGGGCGCGGCGAGCAAGGCGCTGCGCGCCCTGTCGGAGCAGCGCGCCATGCTCGTGCTCGGCGACGACGACGATGACGAGATTGCGCCGGCGAGCAGCAGCGGCGTGAGCAGCGGGAGCGACGAGGTGGGCCCGAGCAAGTACGAGCCCGTCGCGGCCAAGAGCAAGCGGCAGAAGGAGGAGGCGCTCGGTGCGTCCCTCTCTCACTCACTCTCTCCTTCTCTTTCGTCTCGAGTGTCCCTGAACGAGTCCTGACGAACGTGTGTGTCACTGTGCGCGCAGCCAAGCTCAAGGCGAAGCGGACGACCAAGACCAAGCAGACGACGTTGCCACTCCAGCCTGCGCCCAGCGGTACGCGCACGCCGCAAGCCGGCGCGTCGACCTCGACCTCGGCGTCGGCAAAGGGCAAGGGCAAGGCGGTCGAGGCGGCAGGAGAGTGCCCCGTCTGCAAGCAGGTCGTACGTCCTCTTCTCACGATGGACCCTGCGTCACCAGGGCCTTCACTGACTCGGCTGCACCGTCCAGGTCCCGCTCTCCGACCTCGACGCACATACCAACGCGTGCCTCGACGCCGTCGCCCACCTCGACTCGTCCGACTCGCAGCTCGTCCTCGACGACGCTCCCCCTCCTCCCGCCGCCGCCGCTGCTCCTCCTTCCCGCACCCGAGCCTCGGCCTTCCGCCCCGCAGGCGCAGCACCACCGCCTCCCGCCGGCGGATCGGCCACACGGACCCGTGCTGCCGCGCCAAAGTCGGCACCTCGCGCCGCACCCGTCCAGGAGGGCCTCGCCGCCGAGCTGTTCCCGTCCTCGTCGCCGCGCGTGTCGCGTTCGGCCACTCGCGCCGCCGGCACCAAGAGCAAGGGCAAGGGTAAGGCGATGCTCGTGCCCGACAGCGACGACGTCGAGCCGGCCGACGAGCGCCCGCATCGCCAGGCGCCACCGGCCGCCGACGACGACTTTGACGACGGCTTCATCGACGACGACGAGGCGCTCGCGGCGTGGGACGAGGCCGACGCCGCGCTGCACAAGACAGTGACCGAGGTCGTCGACCTGCTCGACGACGACGAGGACGACGACGACGACGAGGTCATCGTCGCGGGCCCGTCGTCGACGCAGTTGCAGCGTCGCGCCAAGGTGGCGAGGCGTACGGGTGCCGTCGCAGGTGGAGAAGGTGCCGTCAACAGCGCGAGGCGGCCGGGACCGCCCGAGGACGGCAGCTCGCCGCCGAGGGGCAGCATCTACATCTCGACGCTCAGCCGCGCGTACAAGGAGGGCTGTGCGTCCCTCTTTCCTCTCCCTCTCTCTCTTCTGTCTCTCTGCGCATCCCGGTCGTCGACTCGACACTGACCTCGTCGCGCCCGCCCTGCCCGCAGACGAGAGCATGTACGCGCAGAGGGCGCCCAAGCGCTCGCGCACCTCGGCGGGCGCGCACGACGCGGGCGACGGCGACGACGACGACGGGTACGGCTCGGACGACGAGGCGCGCGCGTTCGACGCCATGGCGCCGCCGGCGACGACCAAGGCCAAGGGGCGCGCGAGCGGGGGCGGGTGGGGCAAGGGTCGTCGAGGAGGATGGGGGAGGAGGGGCGCGAGGGGCGGTGCGAGGGGGAGGGGCAGAGGGAGGAAGAGCTGAGTGCGTGCGTGGAGGTGTCGGTGTGAGGTCGCTTCGAGTGCAATGCGTGGTTTTCGTTCTGCGAGACGAGGTCGGTGCGCGAGTGCACGTGCGAGGAGAGCGACCCGACGGCTCGTGTCGCTGCGACCGTGGCGCATTTCTGTGGACCTTTCGAGATGCTCACGAGCTGCTGTAGACCGTGCACCTGGCCAGGCGAGCGAGAGTCGGATGCGGTCCGTCTTCATCGCCTCGTCGAGAGAGCTCGACCTCCGCCCGTTCGCTCGCCGCTCCCTCTCGACTCCGACACGGCCATGGCGCCCGCAGCAGCACAGCAGGCGCTTCCCAAGCCCGATCAGCTCAAGGTGCGCCCACCCTCGTCTCTCCTCCGTTCCTCGTTCCCCTCCCCGCCCTCCGAGCTCAAGGCTCACCCCGCGCCGCGTCCGCCTCGCCCTCTCGCCCGTGCAGGCCAGCCTCGAGGCCCACAACGCCTCGTTCGACGAGCTCCTCAAGCACGTCCCGGCCAAGTACTACCTCCGCCCCGACTCGGACGACGAGGACGCCCAGCCCAAGGTGCCGCAGGTCCGTCGCGTCGCTCTCTCTCCCTCTCTCGTCCCCTCGACGGCCGGCTGACTTTACACGTACACAGGGCAAGCTCACCAAGGCGCAGAAGAAGGCGCTTCGCAAGGCCAAGCAGGACGAGACGCTGCGCGCCCAGAAGAACGAGGCCAAGCGCGAGGCCAAGTTGGCCAGGGTGCGTCCTCGCCTCGCTCCTCTCGTCCCACACCGTGCAGCCCTTGACTGACACTCGCGCCCCGACCCGCAGTACGACCCGGACGAGCCCAAGACGATCGCCGAGATCCAGGCGGCCAAGCTGTCGGCCGCGGCAAAGGGCAAGAAGCGCGCCGCCGATGCCGACAGCGGCGACGAGTCGTCCGACGCCGAGATGAACGGCGCGTCCGAGGGCGAGTGGGACGACGACGACGAGGCGGCCGACTCGCCCAACGACGAGGGCTTTGCCGACTCGGACGACGAGGACGGCGAGCTCCTCGAGCTCGACGCGGCCGGCGTGCTCAAGAGCCGCAACGCGCCGCAACCAGGCGACGGGCCCGCGCCGACCATCACCGAGCTGCGCGAGAAGCTCCAGCGACGGATCGCCGAGATCCAGGCCAAGAAGGGCGGCGCATCGGCGGCGGCGGCGGGCAAGGCGGGCAAGGCCGGCGCCAAGAAGGCGGCGTCGGCCGCGAGCGACGACGACGACGACGACGATGACGAGTCGGGCGAGGACGAGGGCGACGCGGCCGTCACGAGCAAGGACGACCTGCTCGCCGAGCGTCGGCGCCGTGCCGCGCTGCGCGACAACCGCCGCAAGAAGATGAAGGAGCGCCGCCTCCAGGAGAAGAGCGAGGGTGCCAAGAAGCGCGCCAACGAGCCGAGCAACGGCCGCAAGGGCGGTGGAAAGGTGGGCGCGCCGCAGCGGGACCAGCAGCAGCAGCAGCAGGGCGACGACGAGCGTCCGAGGAAGAAGGCCAAGGTACGCCCGACCTTTTCTTTCTCTCCTTCCCTTCCCTTCTTTTCCCCGAGTGCGTTACTGACAAGCATCCTCGTCGACAGGCCGACGCCCCCGATGCCGCCAACTCGGCCCTCGTCTCGTACGACGCCGCCGCCGCCTCCTCATCGTCGACGTCCAAGTCGGACCCCAACTCGATCGCCTTCTCAAACCTTGACTTTGCCACCAACTCGGAGCGCGCAACCGACGCCGGCCTGACGCCCAAGCAGCTCAAGAAGCTCCAGGCGGCGGCGGGCACGCTCAAGAAGAACCGCCACGACCTGCCCAAGGACGCCAACAAGGCGCTCGAGATCCTCCAGCGCCGCAAGGACCGCCTCGACCAGCTCGAGCCCGAGAAGCGCGAGAAGACTGAGGACAAGGAGCGGTGGGAGAAGGTGCTGCTCAAGGCCGAGGGCGGCAAGGTCCGCGATGACGAGACGAGGTTGAAGAAGATGGCCAAGCGGCAGGAGCGCGAGAAGAAGAAGAGCGCCAAGGCATGGTACGTCCTCTCTCTCTCCCTTTTTTTCTCCCCGTCCTCCTTGTCGACGAGCGAGCCCTGACTTTTGAACCTTGTCGCGCGCAGGGTCGACCGCAAGGCGACGGTCGAGAAGACCATCACGGACAAGGTGGCCAAGCGCAACGCCAACCTCGCCGCGCGCAAGCAGCAGGCCAAGGACAAGAAGATGGGCGTCCTCAAGGCCAAGAGCAAGGGCAAGAAGACGGCGAGCAGCACGACGGGCAAGGCGCGCGCCAAGGGCCGACCTGGGTTCGAGGGCGGCGGGCGCAAGAAGTAGCTGGGCCTGGTCGCTCTCTGCATCTTTGCGTATACTCTTCATTGTGCGACGAGCGAGCTGTGCGCCAGAAAGTCGTCGGAGAGATAGAGGACCAAAGAGAGAGAGAGCGCCGCTTGAGAAAGCGCCACCCGACTTGGGCCCGACTTGCGCCCTTGGCTCTGCTCGCCGTCGTGCAGGCATGCTCTCGCTGCTCTCGTTGCTCTCGCTGCTCTCGTTGCTCTCGCTGCTCTCGTTGCTCTCGCTCGTTGCTGTGAGCAGTGCACAGATAAATTAGAGCCCGCCCGAGGCGGATGAACAACAGAAACGATAAACTAGCTCCTCGCTCCCTCCCTCTCCTCGCACGGTCCCGCTCGATCCACCTCGACCTCGCCTGCACTTTCACACCGCAAAGACGCTCTTGAGCTGGTCCTTGAACGCCGCAGCATAGAGCGGCACCTCGGACAGGCGCGGCGCGCGTGGTCGGGGCTCGACGCAAGGTTCGACCTGGCTGCGGCCCTTGCCGTCGCCCTCGACGAGGATCGGGTCGTCGGCGTCGACGTCGCCGGCTGCACGCCTGCACGCCGCCTGGAACGCGTCGAGGCGCTTGGCGCGGTGGAACGAGACGAGGTCCTCGAGCTCCTCGAGCAGGTACGCCTTGTCCTCCTCGCCCTCGCCCTCGGGCGGGACGAGCTGGTCGAGGTCGATGGGCTGCGCGAGGCCGCGGCGAAGGAAGACAGAGGCGGTCCTGCAGACGAGAGGGAGAGAGAGGGAGAGAGACGAGTCAGTGAGAAGTCCTCGAGTGAGAGAAGACAGTCGCAGAAAAAAGAAGGGGTTCGAGCGCACCAGGCCCACTGCAAGAACTCCTCGATGACCGTCTCGCCGCGGTGCACCGCACGCACGAACGAGTACAGGTTCTGCTGATGCCGCTGGAGGAGGCGAGCGATGACGCGCACGCTCTTCTGCGGGTCCTGGATGCGGCTGCGGAGGGCCTCGACGACTGCGGCGAGCGAGTGTCAGTCAAAGGTGCTTGCTGAAAGGAGAGAGAGGGAGAGCGAGAGTCGACGCACTGATGATGAGCTGGTCGAGGAACGTCTGCAGGTCGGTGAGGGCCTGAGCGCCGTGGCCGACCTTGTAGACGCGCTTGATGAGAGCGATGAGCGGGTGCGCCAAGACCTCGACAGCGCTCGCGAAATCTTCTTGGGCGAGGAGCTGGCGCAGGACGGTCGCGTCGCGGTCTCGCGAAGCGAGGCGCAGGTAGGCCTGCAGGTCGAGGACGAGGCGGATGTCCGAGTCGCGGACCTGGAGCTTGGCGACCGGCGACGGGTTGGTCTTGGCCCACTTGCGGTACGCCTTGCTGGCGGCCGTGATGCGGTCGAGCTCGAAGCCAGGCAGGCGAGGCTCGTCGGCGCCACGCACGATGCAGAGGACCAGCTCGATCTTGTTCTCCTCTGTGGTCGGCGACGAGGTCGGTCAGGAACGCTCTGCTGGACCCATGCATCCTCCTCGACGTCTCCTTTAGAGAGAAAGAGGGACGCACCGGCATAGCGGCGGATGATGGCCTTCTTCTCCCGGCTGTCGTGGACGAACAAGTTGAGCTTCTCGACCATGACGGCGCTGCCGATGCGGACCTGGAGGCGGTCCATCTCCTTGGCGAGGCGCACAGGGTCGTCGTCGAGCGTGATGGCGAGGATCCTGCACGATGAGGGTGGTCAGGCCCCGCGAACTCGTCACTGCCCCCTCGAGAAAGAGAGTCGAGGACGCACTTTTGGAGAAGGCTCTTGCCGCCGAGCGGCCGCGAGAGGAGGATGTCCTGCAGCCGACGCGCCATGAAGTTGGAGCCCTTGAGACGCAGCGCCTGCTTGACGATGAACCACGGGAAGGTCGAGTGGAGCGCCTTGAGCTTTGCGAAGGTCATGTTCGACGTCTCGGACCCGACGAGCGCGTCGTAGATGGTCGCCGCGAAGCTGCAGGCACGGGAACGTGTCAGGGAACGACTCTGAAGGAGAGCGAGGGCGAGAGAGGGAGAGACGCACTCGAAGCGAAGGCCCTCGAGCACCTGCTGGTACTTGAGCGGCAACTCGTCGATCGAGCGCTTGGTCTTGAGCGCCTCCGAGATCTCGCCGAGGCCTTCGCCATGGATGACCTCCTCCTCGACCGCCGAGAAGCTCTCCCTCGTCGCGCGAACCCTGTCGACCGACGAGTAGGCGTCGTTCGAGCGGGCGTTGCGGCGAGCGTCGTCGATCGCCTCGCGCTTGGCGATGTCCATGACGCTGCGAGCGGGCACGCTTAGTCAGTAACGGTTTGACTGAAGGAGAGGGATGTCGACGAGAGCGCACTCTGCATCCCTTGGCACGATCGACCCGGCGAGGAGGAACGCTGCCGTCTCCTTGTGGTGGCCGACGCCGCGCACGCTCAGCACGTCGCGCAGCCACGCCCGCAGCGCACGGCGCCTCGGGTCGTGCGGCGGCATCTTCTTGCCGATCTCGGCGGGGATGATGGCGCGCGAGCCGAAGCTCGTCGGGTACGAGCGGTAGCTGCCGACCGCCGACTGCGGGCGCTGCAGGGCCGACGCCGACAGGCTCGCCGCACGCGACCTGCGCTGTCGGACCGTCTTGGACTCGCTCTGGGCGTGCACCGACTGGGCGCGCAGGCTGCGCGTGAACGTCGACCCGACGCTCGAGCGGGTCGGCGGGCGGCTCATGGTCGTCGAGGGCGAGCCGTGCGGGTCGGCGGCAGCGGCGCGCAGGCCGTTGACGAGGCGCGAGTGGCTGCGAGGGCCGAGCTCGGTGCCGGCGCCCGACTGGAGCGAGGTGGCGCTGGGCATGCCGACGAGGCTAGGGCGAGGGCGGATGACCGTGTCGTTCTTGGGCGCGCCGGCCGGGATGCGGCGCAGGTGCGCCTCGGGGAAGTGCTTGGGCATCTGCGTGACGACGAGAGAGGTGTCAGGAGGGTACGATGGCTGTAGAGGAGGGAGAGGGACGCACGTTGCGCGAGAACTTGAGGAACTGCGCCTCGGTGCGGAGCACAAACTCGTCGAGACGGCCCGGTCGCCGCACACGAATGATGAAGCTCTGCAAGGACAGCTAGAGGGTCAGGACACGGACCGCGAGAGGCATGCGGCTCGAGAGAAAGGTGGACGCACGTGCGAGAAGAGGCTCTTGCGGCACCCGACGACGTCGGCCTCGAACCCACCCCACTTGAGGTGCTCGAACTCGGGGCCCTGGAGGAACGGCACAGCCGCGTCGAACGGCCATGCTGCGCCGCCCTTGGGCACGAGGACGGGCGGGAGCGCCGGCAAGCTCGGCTCGTACTCGGCGGCCGAACCGGGCGTGCCGTCGCCCGACGAGGGCGGCAGGACGGGCGGGACGAACTGGGCCGGCAGCCCAGAGTGCGCGACGACGTCGCCTCGCTCTTGCGGCGTCGAGGGCCCGAGCGGGAGCCGCCGGCTGGCGACCACGTCGTGCGAGGCCCTCGGCGAGGCCGAGTCGGACCCGCTCGCACCGCCGCTCGCCGACGAGCGACGGATGCCCTTGAGCAGGCCGCCGAAGCTGAACTTGTGGTTGAGCTTGGCGGGCGTCGAGGCGCGAGCGTCTGGTGCGGGCTCGAGCGTCGACTGCCGCTCGGGCGACTTGACGGGCCGCAGCGGCGTCGTGGTGGTGCGCGACGGCGTACTCGAGGCCGCAGCCTTGGGCGCGCTCGTGGACGACGCCTGGTACGGGAGGACGACGCTCGGGATGGGCGGCGCGAGCGACGGCGTGGCCTGCGACGACTCGTCGACGACGTACGGCTCGGCCGGCGTCGTCGTGGTCGACGTCGAGGCGGGTCGTGTCGCCTCGTCGCCCTCGAGGAACCTCGACTGCTGCTGCTTGGGCGTCGTCGCCTGGGACGACGAGGGGCCGAGGCCGTCGCCGTCGACCGCCTCGCCGTTGTCGCCGCTCTCGGCGAAGAATGCCGGCGACGTCGCGAGCCCGGCCGTCAAAGCCGGCGTGGCGTAGGTCGAGGCGGGCGCCGACGGCGGGATGCGCAGGGTGCCGTCGTCGTGGTCGTGGACGCTGTGGCTCGCCCGGCTCGCCCTGCCCTCGCCCGCCGTGACGAAGCTCTCGGCGTCGTGCGTCGACGCCGCTTGCGAGCGCGTCGGCTGGAGGCTGAGCTCCTCGAGCTCCTCGGCTGCCGCAGAGGAGCGACGCGACGCCGACTGCCCCGCTGCGGCGACCGGTACGACGGCGGTGGCGGCGCCGAGGAAGGGCATGCTCGGGAGCACGGCCGAGTCGGGGCGTGCCGGGCCCGCCGACTCGCGACGAGAGCCCGTCGAGCCATGGCGCGAGTCGGCGCCGTTCTCGGTCTCGGACGACGACGACGCGCTCGTCATGACGAGCGGCGATGCGAGTACAGGCGGCGGCAGGCGCGGCGGGCTCGACGTGCCGGCTGGACCTGCTGCTGCGCCGCCAAAGATGCGGCTGATCGAGAAGCGGCGGGACCAGGAGGGGGACCGAGCGGCCGAAAGAGGGCGTGCGGCCTTGACGCCGTTCGGGGACGACGAGTCGGTCGGCGACTCGGGGAACGGTGGCGGCACGAGGGGCTGGAAGTTGTAGCGCTGCGACGACGTGGCGCTCGTCTGCGGCAGCATCGCCGGCGCGGTCGGGGTCGCGAGGTTGGTCGGCGCGTCGTACGAGGCGCTGCTGAGCTTGAGGCCGGCCGTGACGAACCGCTCGAGCGCGTTGCGGCACGACGAGCCGTACAGGCGAGAGGCGACGCCCTGGTAGCCGCGGTCGACGGGCTTGGACAGGTCGGCGTCGTGGAGCGAGCGGATGATCGGGTGCAGGCCGTCGACCCAGAACGCCGGCACGTCGCCGTCCGACACGGTGTCGCGCACGAGGGGAAGGGTGAGGAGGAAGTGGCGGATGAGGTAACGAAGGATGGGGACCTCGGCCGGGTCGATGCTCTCGCCGTCTCTGCAGGAAGTGGAGCTCGTCAGGTTCGGTCCGGCGACGGGCGCGAGGAAAAGGAGGGAACGGTGGACGCACTCGACGCCGCTCGTCCCATCCAGGTCCTTGAGCTTCCACAGCAGGTCCTCCTCGCGCTGGATCTCCTGGCCGACGAGCGACCGGAGGAAGTACCACGCCTCCTCGCTCGACAGGTCGCCGTTCTCCCTCTCCTGCCCTTGTCCGTCCCGCGCACCGAACCCGTTCTCGCCGTCCTCGCGCCCATCAAAGTCGATCTCGCCCGTCGCGTCGGCGTCGTCGAGGCCGTCCTCGTCCTCGAGCACCGCCCCGCTGACCTTGCCCGGGCCCGACAGCGTGCGCAGCCGAGGCCCGCGCCCCGACTCGTCGTCGCCGAGCGAACGCGACCGCTCCCTCCTGAGTCGACGCGGCGCGCCCGGGTCCGACGCGCGGACGTAGTCGTCGCGCGGCTCGCCGACGAGCGAGCGAGTCGACGCCCGCTTGCCCATGCGGCTCGGGTGCGCGGCGCGGTAGCGCAGGCTCGACTGCGACTGCGGGCGCGTCATCCTCGACGCCTCGCCGGCGAGGTCGTGGCCGTTCGAGGCGCGCGGCGGCGCCGAGAGCGGGTGCGGCGTCGGGCGAGCGGGCGAGCGGCGGTCGTCGTCGTAGGGAAGGACGGTGCTGCCGCTGACCTGGCTGACTGGGCGCGTTGACGACGACGACGCCGGGAAGAGGATGGACCTGGTGCGGGGAGCGCCGTCGCCGCTGCTGCTGCTGAACTCGGGCTCCATGCCGACCGCGACGCGACTCTCGCCCGCTGCTGCCCCGTCTCGGGGAGGAGGTTGCGCCGACGGCGGAAAGATGACCGAGGGCGCCGACAGGGTGTCGCCGTTAAGGTGTGCGGGAGCTTCAGAGCTCTCGCGGCGCCGGAGGTCCTGCTCGACCTCGTCGGCGAACGAGGGCTGCTCGGCGGAGGTTGGGAGGGCGGGCGAGAGGAAGGGCCGCATCGCGGGGTGGGCTGCGGCTGCTGGGACCTTGCGCTCGTGCGGTGGTGGACCTGCGCGGGCGAGGGTGCAGATCTTGATCAGCCCTGCGAGTCTGCGCTAGAAGGCCGGGCGGGGTGTCCAGGCCGGGCGGAGAGGGAGAGGGAGAGGGGAGCACGCACCGTGCGCGGGACGGGGGAGGACGGGAGAGCAAGCCGAAACTGGTGCGCTGGCTGCTGGGCGGTACAGCAGTGCAGAGGAGGGAGAGGGAGGCGGGCCAGGGCCGTTTCAGGCGGCAACCCTCATCACCGCGCGCTCTGCAGAGTGATCGAGCGCTCCCTCTTTTGGCCGGTTTTCCACGCAGATCTCTCTCGCAACGGCGCGCAGCTCGTGAAACCCGAATGCAGCGACTGGCCAGCCTCGCAGTACTTCTCGAGAGGGAGCGGGCTCAAGGGCTCAAGGCAAGGCAGGCAAAATGTTACAGCGAACCGCACCCGTCGACGTGGCCCCAAACTCGGTCCGACACACAGACAGAGAGAGAGAGAGAACGTAGAGCGACGAGGAGGAAGGGTGCGCTCGAGGGGGAGGAAGAGCGTGGGAGGTGGAAGGAGACAAGAATGTGTACTTTTGCGGCCGCGACTGGGGCGAGCCGTCGAGAGAGAGAGAGGAGGGGGTGGTGGTGACCGTCGTCGTGTCGTCGTGAAACCTCCTTGATGCCGGCGCGAGCGCGAGTCACCGCACTTCTGCGCGCTCGCGCCGCCTCCTCCCTCCTCCTCTTCCTCGACCGACCCGACTGCGAGCTGCTCGACGCGGGCGCCTTATGCGACCTTGGCCTTCTTCTTGGCCGGGCCCTCGGCGTCGTCGCCGTTGACCGAGCCGGCCTCGCTCTTGTGGTCGGCGAGGAGCTGGTCAAAGATGGCCGGCTGGCGCAGGCCGAGCTTGCCCGACGAGATGCCGCGGTGGTACACGCGCAGGACCGTGTCGACGTCGTCCATGCTCTGGGTGCGCACGTCGGCGAGCTCCTTGATCTTGGCCGTCTGCGCGAGCGAGGAAGAGTCGAGGTGAGTGCCGGCTCGAGGACGACTCGTCGCCAAGAGGGAGAAGGGGACGCACCACGTCCTTGACCTGGTCGTCGCTCATGTCGAGCTCGAGCTGCTCGACACGCGACTTGACGGCGTTCCAGCCAGTCAGGCGCGAGCCGATGTCGATGTAGCGCGACATGCCAAAGTCTTCGGGCTTGAGGACTGCGCGCGAACGAGGAATAGGTCAGGGCCTGCGCTCGAGAGCTCGAACGAGACAAGAGAGAGGAGGACGCACTCTCGTACGTCGACGGGTTGGCGAGGATGGCCTTGGCGTGGATGCCGGCCTTGTGCGTGAACGCACAGAATCCGGTGATCGGGTTGTTGAACGGGACCGAGATCTGGACGGCGTCGGCGACCAGGTTCTCGACCTCGCGGAGCATGGGCAGGTTGTACTTGCCCTTGGTGTAGACCGGGTCGACGACCATCTAGAGAGGGAGGGTAGGGGGCGAGAGTGAGCGACGTCGTCTCGCGGCGAGCGAACGTCGGGCCGCGACCTCTCGATCGAGCCAGAGCCCGACGCTCGAGGGGACGAAGAGACAGAGGAACTGAGGGACGCGCCATGCGGGCGATGAGGCCACCGAGGGTCGTGATGCCGTTGCGCTCGCCGATGCCGAGGACGGACGTGTCGATGTGGGTCGCGCCGGCCTCAAGGGCGCAGTAGGCGTTGGCGACGGCGCAGCCCGAGTCGTCGTGGAAGTGGCACTCGATGTCGCACGAGACGACGCCGCGCAGGGTGCGCACGAGGTCGTACACCTGGCGCGGGTTGGCGCAGCCGACCGTGTCGGCGATGCCGACGCGGTTGACGCCGACCTTGTCGACGGCGCGGTAGATCGACAGGAGGTCGACGAGGTCGGAGCGGAACGAGTCCTCGGACGAGAAGCGGACCTCGATGCCCTTGCTCTTGACGAACTCGATGACCTCGACGGCCGACTTGATGATGTAGGTGATGTCCTTGCCGTGCGAGTACTTGCGGAGGAACGACGAGGTGCCGATGACAATGTCGACGCCGTCAACGCCTGCGAGGGGACGATGGATGGTCAGCTTCCGTGGCAAGTGGGGGAGGAGGGATTGGGAGGAGAGGGAGAGGGAGAGAGGGACGGACCGGTCTCGACAGCCTTGCGGGCGTCGTCCATGTGGCAGCGAATGTGGGTGAGGATCTTGGACTTGAGGCCCATGTTGCAGATGCGCTTGCAGTCGTCGAACGACTGCTCCGAGGCGGCGGGCGACGTGAGCTCGATGTACTCGACGCCAAAGTCGCTCAGGGCCTGCGCGATCTTCATCTTGGTCTCGGTGTCGAAGAAGGCATTGGCGAACTGCTCGCCCTCTGCGGGTAGTGCCAGCCCCAGTTAGTGGATGCGTGACCGGCGATAGATGACGGAGCTCGTTCCCGCTCGGCCCGAAGGCGACAGAGGCGAGGAGGGGGAGGGGAGAGAGCGAGGGCTCACCGCGCAGGGTCGACTCGATGATCTTCCAGTTGGAGGTCTGCAGGACAAGGCTCAAAGGTCAGCAGCGTCGCTGAGAGGCGGAAGCCGTCGGCGGAGCTACCCCCCTCGTCGAGCTGCTCCGCCTCACGACTCGCTCGACGCGCTGTGGACGAGTAACAGGGGTGGGACTCACGTTCGAGAGGTAGTCCGAGGCACGCGGGGCGTACGGGTTGCTCTGCGAGGCGGCGGGAGCGCCGTTCTCCTGCTGCTGCTTGGCGGCCACCTCGGGCTGCGAGGGCGCATGAGCGTCGATGGGGGTGAACTCGGGCGGGACGGCGCCCTCGGTGGTCGGGACGGGGGCCGGGTCGGCGGCAGAGGCAGCGGCAGTCGGGCACATGGTCGGGCTGGTGCTGTGGTGAGGGAGAGCGAGGAGGAGAGGCTCAGTTGTGACTCTTCTCCTCCGCCGCCGCCGCTCACACTCGCTCGTCAAGCGCTTCTCGGGCTTCCCCCTCTCGTCGGTTTTTCTCTCCGCGTCGGACAAATCGAACCGCCGCAACCAAGTCAAAACGTCAACGTCAAACCGCGTCGCCCCTCACAAAGTTGCCGCACTGCCCGCTCGCTCAAGCTTTGTGCTCTCTCGGCACTGCCGCTGTGGAACCCTATGAATAGCAGACAACCCGAGGAGGACAAGAGAGAGGGAGAGAGACAGAGAAACGACGAGAGGGGACAACAACAGGGGCGACGGCTCGAGAGACCTCTACTTCCGCAGCGACGACGACGACGGGCCCTCTCCTGGCGTCGACGGGCTCCTCAGGCTCTCGTCGTCAAACTTGCTGTTCGACTTGAGATGCGCGAGGTGCGCGACGGCGACGGCGCGGTCGACATCGGGAACGGCGCCCTCGGGCTTCTCGAACAGGAGCGCGATCTCCTCGAGCGTGAGCCCGTTCGTGTTGACGGCGAGGGCGTACCACCCGGCGAGCTGTATGACGATGAGGACGGTGCTGCGGGACAGAGAAGGCGTCGTCAGGATGCTGTACGCCGCCCGAGGACGTTTAGGAAGGTCAGGTCGACCGGGACGCACTAGACGAGGTAGTACTTCTGCAAGGCGCCCGAGAACATTGTCAGTAACGGCGACGAGGGACTCGGGGCCGAGAGAGATGGAGAGAAGAGACGCACCCAGCCGATCGAGGCGAGGGCGACCGCTGCGAGGGGGAAGACAAAGATGACGCGTGAGCCGAGGTCGCCTGCTTTGAGAGGCGGAGCGAGGACGCACAGTTGACATAAGAGTTGAAGATGGAGAGCGACTTGGTGAGGAGGGCGTTGGCCATCATGCTGCGCGGTGCGCGAGGTCAGCGAGGGTCGACTGGGCCGCCCGACGGCGTCGAGTGGCAAGGCCGTGCCCAACGACGACCAGCCCGCAGACAGAGGCAGAGAAAGGTGGACGCACCCTTTGGCGCGCATGTAGAACGGGAGGACCTCGGCCGTGTAGCTCTGCGGGGGAAAGAGCTTGTCAGTGCGTCGAGGTCCGTGCGCGGGCCAGATGAGGGAGGGGACGCACGAAGAAAAGCGGCCCGCAGACGAGGTTGAAGAAGAAGTCGTAGAGCCATCTGTGGGTGCGCCGTTGTCGGTGAGCTGCGACAGGGACGAGGGAGATGCCGGTCGACGCACACTGCGACGACGGCAGCGATGCCTGCGCCTTTGCCGCCGTTCTGGGCGTACAAGGCCGACGCGACAATGAGCCACACTGCAAGGGGTGGGTAGAGACCGAGTCAGGGTGGGCTCTCAAGGACGGCGCGAGGAAGAGGAGAGGGCGAGAGGGACACACCGTTCGAGACCAAGACGCCGACCCACGCCGTCATCAGGAGCTTGCGACGAGGTACTCGCGGCACGAGCCACACTCCCTGTAACGTCGAGTATCGCGAAGAGTCAGTCGCGAGTCCGGGAGAAAGGCGGTCGCGAGGAACAAGGGACGCACGAGGAGAGAGGCCATCCAGTTGAAGATCTGCAGGCCACCGTTGATCCCTGTTACTCGCCGCGTGTCCTTCAAGCCGACGAGAGAGAGGATGCTCGTGTAGTAGCTGCACAGGAGGCAAGTCGTCAGGGCAGGCTCGACAGCGAGAGAGAGAGACAGAGAGAGGGAGAGGGGGGAGGGCGGCGAGGAAGAGAGGAGGGGACGTACAAGGTGATGATGGCCTGGCCCGACATGCACTGACAGAAGCCGACCCACAGGACGAGCGCCGTCCGTCGCCGATTTGCCGACGTCGCCCACAGGATCGACCACCCGAACTGGGTCGCCTCGCGCTCCTTGCGCAGCGTGTCCTTCATCTCCTCGTACTCGAACCGGACGAGCTCGGTCTCCTCGCCGTTGCCGTGGTACCGCACGAGAAAGTCGAGGCAGGCCTGCTCGTCGCCGCGACCGAGGTGAAACCGGGGCGATTCGGGGACGAAGAAGACGGCGACGAGGGCGAACATGGCGGGGCCGATCTGGATGACTGTGCGAGAGCCTGGGTGAGTCGATGTGCGCCGAGAGAGCGGGAGGAAGCTGGACGTACTGTAAGGGATGCGCCAGGACCAAGACGTCGAGAGCGACCCGGTGCCGAAGATGGTCCAGGCCGCGACGATGCTGCCGAGGATGTAGCACGTGTTGAACAGGCTCGCGGCGGTCTGGCGCTGCGACGGATGAGGCAGCTCTTGCAGGAGGATGGGCGAGATGATGACGGCAAAGGCGAGGCCCGAACCACTGCGAGGGCGAGTTGTCAGCTCTCGCGCCTCTTTCGGGGCTCGCCATCGAGGGAGGGAAGAGAGGGGACGCACATGATCGCTCGAGAGCCCAGAAAGAGCCCGTAGGCCGACGTGTTGCCCTCGCCCGCACAGGTGCCCAGGACGGACCCGACGACCATGGTCAAGGCCGCGTACCGGAGGCACAGGCGCCGACCCCAGCGGTCCGACGCGTAGGCGGCGATGGGCGCGGTCGACAAGCCGGCGCAGTACGCGACGAGGTTGAGGAACCCGATCTTGGACGGCGAAGGGTTGCCGAGGTCGGCTCGCCAAGGCTGCATGGCCTGGTAGCCCGAGATGAGCGCCGAGTCGTATCCATTGTTTCCCTGGGTGATGTAGATGACGAGGAGGGCGAGGTTGAGCGTGACGAGCCCTCGGTCGCGCCACCAGGGGCCGGAGCGCTTGTACGCCTCGTCAAACTCGTGAAAGGCGGTCGCGACGGTCGGCATGGTTCGAGGAGGAGGGTGTCGAGGTCGGGAAGTCGGGTAGGGGTCGGCGGGTGGTATAGGTCGGTCAGGGTAGGGTACAGGAAGGGTACAGGCGACCGGCGACCGGCGTATAGGTCGGACGAGGGTGACAGGGAGGGGTCGAGCAGGAGGGCACGGTGCGTCGACGAGGTGCAGGCCGCCAGGAGGCCGTTGAAGGATGTGCCGCCGCTCGGGTCGCCTTCAGGAGGGTTGATGTACCGATACAGGCCAGGCCGGCCCGTCTCGACGGCGTCGTCGCGGCGCAGTGTCGAAGGATGGCGGGACGGCGATGAGGCTGCCGGGGTCGCAGGGAGCGCCGCCGGTGGTCGCCCTGGTGGGTGCGGCGAGTAGAAGAAAGCTTGTCGAGCAGACAGGTGTGTCTGTACGAGCGTGCAAGGGTGGTGACGAGGAGGGAGAAGCGGCAGCAGCTCGTCGTCCCCCCGCACTCCGCGGTCAGCCGAGTGGGCCGAGCTGCTCTCTCGCATGGCTCCTCACCGCGCTCCCCAGCTCTCGAGAACTCGCTCGGGTGTTCACCAGCTACTCGGTGGCCCCTCTGGGGCGAGAGCCGTGCACAGAGAAGGAGAGGTGGCGGTGCGAGCTCCTCGACGCTCTCGGCGGGCAAGAGGCTCGTGCAGCCCTGGCAGGAGACGTGCATTGCAGCTCAAAGACGGACGAGCGTGACCCAGGAAGAAGAGGTAGGAATACGAACAGGGAAGAAGCCTGGAAAGCCCGACGGCCTCGCGCAACGCCTCGTCCAGCCTGCCGCCTCGCGCTCAGTCGGCATACTGCGCACGTCGGCCCAGAGTCAGTGCCTCGTCGGGGTCGTCGCACACACAGAGAGAGAGAGAGAGGGACGCGCCAACACGAGCTTGGCGCCGCTCCTGACCCATCGCTCGAGCTCCTCGTCGTCGCGCAAGCCGACGAACTGTGCCCCGCTACCCGCCGCTCCGCCGCCCTCCTCGCGGTACCGCAGCTGCGTGACGTCGCTCCCGAGCCGGTCGCGGACCTTGTCGAGGAGCGCGCCGAGCGAGACGGTCGGCGGGACCCGGATCGCGATCAGGTCGTCCGTGTTGCGATGGAAGATCTTGATCTTGATGAAGGCCGCGCCCTGGTTGGCCGTGCCCATCGGCGGACGTGTCGACTCGGCCGACCGAGGAGGCTGGTCGTAGTAGCCCTGGTCGTATTGGTCTGCGAGACAAGGCGACGAGGCTGGGTGAGCTCGAGGACGAGGACGAGGGAAAGGGACGACGAGGAGGACGAGAGACGCACCATCGTACTCGGGCTGCTGCTGCGACTGTCGCTGCTGCTGGTACGAGCCGTTGCCGTACGCCGCGCCGTTCAGGCTCATGCGCCCCATCTGGTCCGCCACGTCTGCTCCTGCCGCGCTCCCGCTCGCGTACCCTCCTCGCGCGAGCTGCTCGCTCGAGCTGCGCCCCCCGGCACTGCTGTCGAGCTGGTCGAGGTAGTCGACGAGCTCGCCGTACTGGTTCTCGATGCCCTGGCTCGGCGCGGGCGACGCGTCGGCGCCGTACCCGGCGTGCCCTGGCGCGACCTCGACGTCGCCGGCTCGAGGCACGAGGAACTCGTACATGAGACCCGAGGCCCGGATGTGCTCGGGGAGGGCGCACAGGTCCGACAGGTAGATCGACAGGTCGATAACGCGCTGCGAGCACACGTTCTCGTCCTCGCTCGTCGTCGGCCCGGGCATCATGGGCAGGATGCGCTCGGTGCGGCCGTCGTCGCCGGCGACTCGGCCCGCCTCGACAGGGAACTCGTCCATGAGCGCGATCTGGAAGTCGTAGAAGTCCTGGTACAGGCGGTACAGGACGAGGCTGGCGCCGGTCGAGAAGAAGGCGCGCAGGTGGAACCAGAACGAGCCCTCCTCCTGGTGGAACGACTCGACCGACGCCGACGTGACGAGGCCGTACTGCCGCCGCTCGCGCGTGTACGAGTACCGCGGGTCGTACCCGCCTTGTCGAGGGCTGAGGGCGTCGCCGGTCGGCGAGTCGTACGCCTGGTCGTACGCCTGGTCGTGGTCGACGCCGTTCGGGGAGGGGATGGCTTGAAGAGGAGGGGCAGAAGTCGGGGCGGGTGCGGCGGCGGCGGCCGATGACGAGGCCGTGGAGGGAGCGGCGGCGCTCGACGTGTCGGCAAAGTCGAACCGGCCGAGCGGGATCGACGCCTGCTTGTAGTCGGCCGTCATCTTCTTCCACTCCTCGACCTTGGGCACGACGGCGCTGCGGATGAGCTCCTCGACGTTCTCGACCGGCTTGCCCGTCGCCATGTCCTGGATCTCGACGAACGCGACAGGAATCAGGCCGGGCCCGCCGAGGCGGCCGATCGGCTTGGCGACGAACCACTCGTGGTTGGACTGCGCGATGACGATGATGGGCTCGCCGCGCTTGGCGTCGAGCTCGTCGGGCCGCTCGGCGACAAAGTCGTACTGGACGACGCCGTACAGCGGCTGGTGCTTGCTCGCCGACTGGGACGGCGGCCGCAGCTGGCCACTGCCCTGCGACGAGACCGACGCCTTGTGCGCGGCGGCGCCGACGTGCGGCGGGCCCGGCTGCAGGCCCGAGGCGCTGCTGACGCTCCCGCTGCGCCCTCCTGCCGCCGCCGCGCCGTACGGGCTGCCGCCCGACCCGCTCCCACGATCGCTCCCGCTCCCCGTCGACGACTTCTTGCCCGGGCCCTGCAGGCCGGTCTCGCGCACGTTGCGGCCGAGGACCTGGAAGTGCGACGAGGGGACGAGCCCTCGCGCGCCCGTCATCGGGTTGGCCGCGTCGAACCAGTCCTCGCCGCCCTCGTCGCTCACGACGTGGAAGAAGTCGCCCTCCTCGAAGCTGAGCTCCTGGGCGGTGCGGGCCCGGTAGGCGGCGGTCGCGCGGATGACGCGCTGGGGTGGTGCGGGTGCCCGAGCGACGACGGGCCGCTGGCCGTAAGGAGGGCCGCCAGACGTGGCGCCGGACGTCTTGACGACGCCGGTCGGTGCGCCGATGCGGTCCTTGTTGAGGGATCGGCGGATGCCCTTCATCGTCGTAGATGAATGGCGGGGGGAGGAGAAGGGGAGGAGGGGGAGGTCGAGGTCGGTGAGGTAGAGGCTGCAGGTGCACGAGGCAGTCAGTACACAGGCCAAGAGAGCGCACAGCGTGCGTCGCCAAGCCGGACCGCGACGGCGACGAGGCTGGCGAGCTGATCACTCACGCGACGAGAAGGGGCACGCTCGAGAGAGCTCGGCGACGAGTAGGCCTGGGATGCTGTGTGTGGCTTGCGAGAGGTCAGAGCTCGCTCGGTGACTGATCGAGTGCAAGGGCAGAGTGTACGCACCGGTGAGGCGGGCCGGGCGAGGTGGTCGAGGATTCTCGAGCCGACGGGGAGGCGACGAGGGACGCCGGGGGGCTGGACGGTGCGCGCTCGAGCTGGACGGGGTGTTGGGACCGGCTCTGGCGAGTTTGGGCGTGCTCGTGCTCGACCAGGAGGCGCAGGCGACGAGATGAGGTTGCTCAACAAGGGCGAGACGCGAGGCGGCGGTGTCGAGGTCTCGCTTTCTGCCGACAACCGGCGCAGCCAACGTCGCTCTGGCCGCGAGCGAGCAAGCCTGCGTAGCGTGCGAGACAAGGACAAGCAAGGCGAGCCGCGAGACGCAGCTATCCAGCCTCGCGAGAGCTCCAGATGCTGCCGCTTCGAGCGCGAGTCGGAACCAGGGTTGCATTGCGAAAAGGGGAGGTATCGAGAGCGAGGGATACAGAGAGAGAGGGAAGGCGGGGCGAGGTATGGGCACGACGGCGGGCGCTCAGGCGGCGTCGAGTCCGCGCACCCAGCTCGCGAGGTCGGCCGGCGGCTGGCGCTCCCGACTGCGACGGATCCAGCCGTGCGAGAGGAGCGCTTGAGGTCCAGGTCGAGTCGCCGGGTCTTTGTCGAGGCTGCGGGCGCGGTAGGGAGGTCAGTCACGGCCCGAGTCGAAGAGGAGTGGACGACGACGCCGCACCAGACCTGGATAAAGTTGCGGAACGCGTTCGTGTACTTGATGCCGTTCTCGGGCTCGTCACGCAGCTCGACGGCGCCCATGCGCAAGAGGTAGGTGAGGAGCTCGATGGGCCCGTTGAGGGGAGCCTCGCCGGGCGCAGGGAACGGGAACCGGTTGAGGGCGACCTCGAGGACCGTCACGGCCATCGACCACACGTCCGAGTTGATCCTGCAGAGGGACGACGAGTGTGAGCGACGACCAAGGGAAAGAGAAAAGGAGAGGGACGCACGAGTACTGCCCGCCACGAATTCGCTCGGGGCTGAGGTAGAAGGTGGTGCCGACGAAAGTGCCTGCGAGGCTGTCGACGAGCTCGCCCGAGACGCCAAAGTCGCACAGCTTGATGAGGCCGTCGCGCGTGACGAGGACGTTCGAGGGCTTGATGTCTGTCGAGGAGGATCGGGTCGTCAGTACGAGGGCGCGAGAAGGGGGGCTCGAGCGGACGCACCTCGGTGGATGATCTTCTGGTCGTGCAGGTAGACAAGCCCTTCGAGGATCTGCAACGGCCGTCCGTCCGTCAGGGAGGTCGCACAAAAGAGGGAGGGAGGGAGAGGAGGACGCACCGATTCGGCGATCTTGCCCAGCACTTTCTCGCCCGTGCGGTAGCCGCGCTCCTTGACCTTCTTGTACAGCCGCTCGAGGCTGCCCGCCTCGCAGTACTCCATGCAGATGCCGATCTGCGAGTTGTTCTGTGGGTCGGGCGACGTCAGATTAAGAAAAGGGAAAGAGAGAGAGGGGGACGCACGGCCTCGAGGAACGCGCCATAGTACTGTACGATGTGCGGGTGCGTGCAGTCGCGCATGAAGAGCAGCTCGCGCAGGTGCTGCTTGTGGAGCTTGGGGTTGGGCGACGTCGTGATCGTCTGTCGCCGCGGCAGAGTGAGCGAGATCCGCATGTCGGAGAGAGAGAGAGAGGGGGGCGAGGAGCGCACCTTCTTGGCCATGATGAGCCCGGTCGGCTTGTGCAGCACCTTGCGCACCTCGCCGCTCGCGCCCTCGCCGAGCCTGCCGCGGTCCTCGATCGTGCCCGGCGAGATGTCGAGCGCGTCGTCGTCGCCCTCGTCCTCGGTCCCGCTCAGCCCACTGCTCTCGTAGCCCGACGCGTAGCCCGCCTGTGCCGGAAGGGGCAGTCGTGGGCTCGGGTGCGGCGAGTCGCGAAGGACGGCCTGGACGTGGTCGCCGTAGAACGTGATCTTGGGCGACGGCGCCGCGACGCCGGAGGACGCGGTCGAGACGAACCCGCCCGGGCCCGAGAGCGGCGGCGACAGGTGGTCGGCGGCCTTGCTCGCGGCCGCGGCCTTGAGCATCTCGGCGTTGAAGCTCGGCTTGCGGCTCGCGACGCGCGAGTTGCTCCTCGGCCGTCGGGTCGCCCCGCTCAGCTCCTCCTCGAGCTCGTGCCCGCCCGCCGGCCCGTTGATGACGTCGAGGAGCTCGCCCGCCATGCGCTCCTGCTCGCCGTGGCCCCAGGGGCGGTGCGCGCCGTCATCGTCGTCGTCGAACTCGGACTCGGACTCGTCCGGGCCGTTGAGGGCGGACGAGTAGTGCGACGGGCCCTTGGTCGGGATCGCGAGCGACAGGCCGGCGAGCCCGTTCGTGACGCCTGCTGGGAGCTTGAGGGAGGGCCGCCCGGGCTTGGTCGTCGAGGCTCGAGGCGCGGATGATGCGGGGGCGAGGGAGAGCTGAGGAGGGCCGGGCTCGTGGGCGGGCGGCGTTGCGGGTGCCGACCCGGGGAGCTGCAGCTTGAGAGGCGAGCGAGGTGGCCGCTTTGGCGGCAGCACTGCCGAGCCCGACATGGCGGACGGCAGAGAGGTCGACGAGCAAGAGGGATTCGGCGAGCACCGCCTCGTCGATCGTGGTCGCTCGCATTTTCGGCGCCCTCTCGAACTCGCTCTCACGAGACAGCTACAGGCAGAGAGGTGCAACGAGAACAAAGTTGCAGCCCGCCCCTCGAGAGCCGCCGCATTTTGCGAGAGAGCGCGTCCACCTCACGCCTTGGCCGCGTCGACGCCCTCGGCCGGCCAGAGCCAGCCTGCCGGGCCCTCGACGTTGCCCGCCTGGATACCGGTGAGGTTCTGGAGGACTGCGAGGAGCGAGGGAGGGGCATGAGTCGCTGCTCGAAAGGAAGGGGGCGAGCGAGGGCGAGGTGGAAGGGAGAAGAGGGCGAGGACGCACGCTCGAGGGTGCGCGGGCCCGCGTTCTGGCCGTCGCCGATCGAGACCTTGGCCTGCTCGCCGTCGTCCTTGAGGTAGGTGATGGACCGGATGGGCGTGATGGCGGCCGCCGTGCCGCACGCCATGACCTCCTCGAATCCGCCGTCGACGACCTCCTGGAACGCGATCGGGCGGTGGTCGACGTTCCAGCCGAGCGAGCGCGCGATGTCCATCAACGACTTGGCCGTCACCGACTTGAGGATGCTCTCGCTCTTGGGGTAGACGAGCGTCGGCTTGTCCGACTCGTGGTCGCGCTTCTTGATGGCGATGAAGTTGCTGGTCGAGAACTCGTCGATCTGCGTCCTCGTCTTCGAGTCGAGGTGGAGCGTGATGGCGTAGCCCTGAGCCTTTGCTCGCGCCTGGTACTTGAGCACCGGGGCGTAGTTGCCGCCGGCCTGCGCGCGCACGGACACTCTGGGTCAGTCCCGCGATTCGCGAGAGGTCAAGGAGAGGGAGGCAGAAGAGACGAGGACGAGAGATGAGGACAGGGGGCGGAAAGATAGAGAAGGAGGGAAGGCGAGAGGAAGGGAGGGAGGGAGGGACCGAGCGAGGGGCTCACCTTGACCGTACCGGTGCCCATGGGTGCAGCGCGGTCAAAGTCGTGCACGACGACGGCGTCGACACCCGGCGCCTTGCCGCCCGCACTGCCGTACAGCGAGCCAAGCGGCGTCACGTAGACGAAGAACGTGAACTCGCGACCTGCGACGAGGCCCAGCTCGGCGCCAGTCGCGATAAGGGTCGGCCGGACGTAGCACGAGCCCGAGGCGCCGTAGGGCGCGTGCGGCGGCACGAACTGGAGGTTGCGGGCGACGGCGGTGTGGACGGCCTCGAGGAAGAGGTCCTTGGGCACCTCGGGCATCGACAGGGCGGCGGCCGAGTGGTTGAGGCGCGCCGAGTTCTCGTCGGGGCGGAAGAGCTTGACCTGGCCGTCCTCGTGGCGGAACGCCTTGAGGCCCTCGAAGCACGAGGCGCCGTACTGAATGCCGACGGCGCTGACTGCGAGAGGCGAGGGTCAGGCTCGAGGTCGCTCTAGAGCTGGCGGTCGAGAAGGGACGCACTGTGCATGTTGAGGTAGGGCGAGTCGGACCACTCCTGCTTGCCCCAGCTGCCATCCTTCCACACGTATTTGACGAACCCGGCCGTCGGGTACAGGTCGAAGGCGAGCTGCGGGAGGGAGACGCCATGCGGGCAGGTCAGCCAGGGTCCGGTAGGTCGTATGGCGGTCTGTCACATGTGCAGCTGCCCACCGCGGTTCGTCGAGAGGTGGCTGTCGCCGAACGAGGCCGCGGGGAGTGGGGAGGAGATGAGGGAGGGAGGAGGGAGCGCGGACGCACCTTGGGCCAGTCGAACTCGGCGCTAGGAGCAACAACTTGAGGAGCCATCGTAGCAGGTACCGAGTGGCAGCAGAGTGAAGAGCGAGCGAGAGAGCCTGGCCTCCTCGTCCTCCTCGCCTCCACCGCGGCGGCGCGACGAGGAGTCAACTCGCGACTCGTTCCACGGCGGGTCACTCTCGATCGCTTGCTCAGCACAGGCTTGCCGAAGCTCTGCCCTATCGCGCTCTCGGTCGGCAAGCTTCCTCGCGACGAGGGACCGCTCGCGAGAGAGTCAAAGTGCGGGCGAAGAGGAGGACGAGCGCAGGGCGCCGTCATGATTACGAGGGACACGTAGATGGAGGCTTGTACAGATGGAGGAAAAGAGTCTACTTCTTGCCCTTGCCGAGGACCTTGGCTACGGCGCTCTTGACGACGGCGCCGGCCTTCTCAACCTCCTTCTTGGTCAGGCCGCTCGTGACGCAGATGCGGATGCTCGGCCGCAGCTCGACCATCTCCTGCGCCCAGTTGCGCTTGGTCGTCGACAGGAGGACGCCGTTCTCGGCCGCGGCGTCGACAATCTCCTGCAAAAGGCGCTCCTGCTCCTCTCGCGCCGACTGGGCCTCGAGCCTCGCCTCGACGTCGACGCCGCGCGCGAGCGTCGACGGGTACCCGACCGCGCCCGGCGCCGGCTGCACGACGATGGGCTGCGGCGGCGGGTGCGACACGTTCGAGTGGCTGCGTGCGCGGCCCTTGACGCCGCCGTCCGCCGCCGCCTTGTGCAGCGCGTCGAGCGTCGACGGCTTGATCATGAGGTGGATGAGGGGCGAGATCTCGGCCGACAAGATCTCGATGGTCGGGATCTGGTCGAGGATCGTGCGCAGGGCGCGCACGTTGGCGGGGAGGGACGCGAGCGGGTGGGCCGGGTTGGTGGAAGTGACCGAGGTGGACAGGAGCGCGATCGCCTCGGACGCCGAGACGGCGAGGAGAGGCGGGAGCGAGGCGGAGAAGACGGATGCGGGCGAGTTGATGCGCTGCAGGAGGGGCGCAAGACTGAGTGAGCGGGGCCGACGAGAAGAAGATGGACGAAGGGGAGCGAGCGCACCTGGTGCATGACGACCTCGCGACTGCCGGCGCAGAACCCGCCGCCTGCAGCGAGCGAGCTCGCCATCGAGCCCATGAGCATGTCGACGGCCGCAGCCGGGACGTCAAAGACCTCGGTGACGCCCCGACCGGTCTTGCCGACGACGCCGAACGACCAGGACTCGTCGAGGATGAGGCGGTACTTGTACTTGTTCTTGAGCTCGATCTGTCGACGTCAAGGAAGGGCGGGTGAGTTTGTGCTGCACGAGGGCCGACAGCGAGAGGAGGAGGCGAGAACGCACCACCTTGGGCAGGTCGACCATGCTCCCATCGTTCTCGAAGATGCCCTCGGTGACGATGAACCGCCTGCTTGCCGTCGGGTTGCGCTTGTACTTCTTGTCCTCTTTGCGGATGCCCTCGAGGATGCGCTCGAGCCCGGCGTAGTCGCCGTGGTCGTACCAGCGCACGGTCGAGCGCGAGATCTGGATGCCCTTCTGCAGCGCAAAGTTGATGCCGCGGTCGGCGACGATGATGTCGCCACGCTTGCAGAACGACGGCACGACCGACGAGACGCAGCTGAAGGCGTGCGCGTAGATGATGGCGGCGGGAACGTTGAGGAAGGCGGCAATGTCGCGCTCGAGCTCGAGGTGGACGTCTGTGGGTGCAAGCGGTCAGTTTCTCGTGCCCTAGACCTCGTCAAAAGGGACAGAGGACGCACCGAAAGTGCCGTAGAAGCCGGCCGGGCCGCAACTGCCGACGCCGTACCGCCGGAGAGCGCGCATGGCCTTGTCCTTGATGCGGTCGTTGCCCGCGAGGCCGGCAAAGTTGGCGCTCGCGAGGTTGGTCACCTGCTTGCCCGGCTGGTCGAGCGACATGGGCTGCGTCGGGTCGTGCGGGTCCTGGCCGGGTTGAGGGAAGATGACCTTGGGGCGAGGGCCGGTCGCGCCGACGATGATGGGCGGGTGCAGCGGCGTCTCCTGGTTTGGCGGGAGGAGGGGTTCGGGCGTCCACTCGCTCACGAGCTCGTCAATCTCCTGCAGAAGGTAAGGGAGTGTGAGCGACCGCGTCCAACAACACTCCGCCGCCGTCCCGCAGTCCACTCGACCACGGCGGCTCCTCGGGCTCGTCCGCAGGCAGGGAAAGGCAGGACGCACCTTCTCGCTCAACTTGACAAAGTTCTTGCCCGAGCTCTCGCCCTTTGTGCGAGCCATGAGGTAGGTGCGGACGATGAAGAAGACGAGGAGGATCTCGAGGACGGTGCGGAACGGGTCGTCCTGGTGGCTCGCCTTGAGGTACCGCCACACGATGGCGCTGCCCGGCACGCGCGACGACAACTCGGACAGGCGGGCGAGCGACGCCGACAGCGCCGCGACGAGCTGCTCGGACGCGAGGCTCGTTGGTGCGGCGGGCACGGGCGTCGCGTACGCGGCGGGTGCGGCATAGGGTGAGGCCATGGCTGGCTGTGTTCCACGCAGCGGGTGCGGGTCGAGCGAGCGAGGGCTGGGAGAGCGCGAGAGACGAAGCCGAGGTGCGAGATCGGGCACGACGCGGTCCGACGAGACGGATCTCTCAGCACGACCCAGGCGTAGCTCGAGGACAGTCACGACTGCGATGCGATTGCTTTAGATGCATGGCGAACAACAAGGTAACACGGCCGGACCAGCTCTGCGAGACTCGCTCCCGCCAACGTTGACCGCCCCCTCAGTCGCTCCTCAGCAGGAACCCGACGCCCGTCGTCCGCAGCTTGCGCTCAAACTCCCTGCAGGACATGAGAGGGCTGTCAGGACAGGCGCCACTTGAGGGCAAAGGCGAGAGAGGGAGTGTACGCACCTGTACCACTTCTCGACGAGCCCAAACTCGATCCACGAGCCCTGCCCGTTCGGCAACGGCTGCGCAAAGCTGCCGACGGCGTTGAACAGGTTCTTTCCGACGAGCGCCGCGAGCTGCACCGGGTCGGGCCCGGCCGGCTTGGCGGGCACGAGCGCCGTCGCGAGCGCAGGGTTGGCCGCCGCGCCCGCGCCCGTCTGCCCGAGCGCCGCGAGCTGCGCCTCGACGGCAGCGAGGGGCTCGCACGAGATGCCGAGTGTCGCCGTGCTGGACGAGCCGGACGAGCCAAAGGACGAGGTGGATGCGGCCGACGAGGCGACAAAGGTGCCGCGCAGGCGGAAGATGGCCGACGGCTTGGCGTTGGTGAGCCTGCGAGACGGGCGGAAGGGTGTCAGAGCATGTACGCGGAGAGCATCACGCTGTCAAGGCGGACGTGTCAAGGCGGACGTGAACGCACCCGCCGATGAGCTGCCAGCCCTTTCCTCTGCGCGACGGGGCGAGAGGTCGAGGTCAGCGGTTCGTCCTCTCTTGGGCGAGAGACCAGGGGGTGACGGGACTCACGGCGCTTCGAGGTGGATGGTGCAGCCGTAGCCGTCCGGGAACGGGGCCTGGCCGGTGAGGAAGACCGAGATGTGGTTCAGGTCGTGGGCGTCCGGGATCTGGACGGCGAACCGTTCGGGCGAGTCTGGCAGCTGGACGACGGGTTGCCTGTGGTACAAGAGAGAGGTCAGGTCGGGCACAGCGGTCCAGACGAGGGGTGGACGTACACGAGGCGACCTGCAGAGGCGGCGAGGAGGTGAGCCAGGGTGCGGCGCAACGAGGAGTGCAGGGGACCGCGCGAGCGCACCTGGGACGAGGACAGCAAACATCTTTGCTCTGGTGGGTCGCAGCTGGATGTACGGTCGAGGCGGGACGAGCGAGCGAGGTGAGCGAAGGAAGGCGAGCGATTCTCCCCACAACCCGACTCGCGGCCTCTCTCTCTCTCGGGACCCTTGCTGCACGGTCTCGACAGCTACACATGGCTCACGAAGAGGATGCGCCGCGAAAGAGAGCGACGAGCGAGAGAGGCGGTGCGAGCGAGGGGGAGGCGGGCCAGCTCGCTTGCTCGGTGGGTACGAGCACCTGGCGCTTACGAGGGCGCGGTTCAGACTGCAGTTGCGAGCGCAGAGGCGAGCCCGGACGGCCGGGCGCGCGCACGTCGGCGCGCGTCCACAGGTGCCTCCGCCTCGTCTCGGCTCCTCGGTCGCGCTCGCTTCCAAAAGCTCTCGCTACTCTCGTCCGTCGAGCCAGGACGCCTGGCGAGCCCCGTCTACCGCCACGGAGCCCCTCGCACCTAGGCCAGGAGCGGCCACTCTCGCCGTCGCCGCCGCCGCCGCCGACCGCGTTCGCATCTCGCCGCCCCTCGTCCCCACGCCGGCGTCGAGCATCAGCCTCGCCCTCCCGCCGCCGCACGAGGGCATGCAGAACCGCCACTCGTTCAAGCACATCCCGTCGACGCCCAACTTTGTCGTCCCCGACGGCTCAGCCCACTTCGACCACCTCCCCGAACCCTCGCCCGTTTCGACCCTCCCTCCTCCCTCTGGTGCCGTACCGGCCCTCTCCGCCCACTCGTCGTCCGGTCCCCTCGCTCCAGGGCAGCCTCCCTCGCCCGACTACTTTACGAGCAGCGTCTCGGACAAGTACCCGCCCGTGCGAGGTGCAGCCGGGCCCGCCGCCGGTCGCTCATCGGTCCACGTCCCGCTCCTCGCACGCGACACGGACGACGACGACATGGCCGACACGCCGTACCATTCCTTGCCTCGACCAGGAGGCGGCGGACCGGGAGGAGGGCGCGCGCCGGGAGGGATCCTCGACGGCCTGTTGCACTCGCGGTTGCGGCTGCACCCGCTCGCGCTCGTGCCCGCCCTCATGGTCGGCGTCGTCCTCGCCCTGAGCGGCATCTTTGGCCCGACCCTCGGCTCGAGCCGGAGCAACATGGTCATCGTGCGTCCGCCTCTTTCCCCCTCCTCGTACCTTCCCGTCGATCCTCTCTGACCCTCTTGCTCGCTGCAGGCACCACTTTCACGAGCACCAGCCCACGACTCGGACACGCACAACTACACCGTGCACGAGTCGGGCCACCTGTTCGTCTTTCCCTCGGCCCTGCACCCGTCGAGCGACTCGTCGCCGTACTCTGCGCTCGAGGCGTCGCGCCCTCAACTCGCCCACACGATGCGCCACCCGATCCACGACCTCATCTCGAACGCGACGACCGAGTGGGACAAGAAGCTCAAGCGCCAGAGCAAGACGCTCGAGCAGGCGGTCCGCGAGTACAAGCGGCGGCATCGGCGACCACCGCCCAAGGGCTTTGACGACTGGTGCGTCCCCTCTCTCTCTCTCCCCGAGTCGGTTGAAGTGCGAGACATTGACGTTCGTGCGTCCACAGGTTCCGCTTCGCGCAGGCCAACAAGGTCATCCTCATCGACGAGTTCGACCAGACGTTTACCGACATCCTCCCCTTCTGGGCCCTGTCACCCAAGACGCTCGCGACGCGCCAAGCCGAGCAGCAGGTCGACCCGACGACGTTCACGATGGTCATCAACAAGGGCGCCGTCGAGATTGTCGGGTCGCACGCGCAGGACGGTCGGGCCAAGGACCAGGCCGAGCTCATGAAGCGGTGGACCAAGTGGGTCCCCGACGTCAACATCACCATGTCGGCGCACGACGGACCGAGCATCATGATGGAGCACGACGTGCGCGAGAAGCATGTCGAGCTGGCCAAGAAGGGCAAACGTGCGTCCCTGCCCGCTTGTGCCTCTCCCACTCTCCTCGCGCATGTCCTGACACCTCTCTCCCGCAGTTTTGAGCGACTCGGAGGCGGCCGAGACCGGCGAGGACGCGGCGTGCGTCCACCTCTCCCTCCTTCCACTCTTCGCGCGCACGGACCTGACCCTCACCCTCTCGTTGCACCGCCGCCCGCAGCCTGTGGGGTTTCCCGCTCACGTGCCCGGCCAACTCGCGCCTGCGACGAGCGTACGACGGCCTCGAGATCGACACGCTGCCGCGCGGCCCGTCGTTCGTCGCCGACCACCTCCAGACGATGGACCTGTGCGCCAACCCCGAGTGGCAATACCTGCACGGTGCGTCCTCCCCCTCGTCTCTCTCTCCCGTGTCCTGTGAATGCCGTCCTGACACTCGCAGCCTCGTCCTCGCAGGCTTCACGTCGTGGCCCGGCATGCGCCCGCTCCTCCTGCGCCCGCTCTTCTCGTTCGCCAAGACGACGATGCACTCGGACGTCCTCCTCACGCCGCTCGAGCAGTACTGGGACCACGAGCCGTGGGACCCCGAGTGGGACCAGAAGGCGCACGCCAAGGCCGTCTGGCGCGGCTCGACGACGGGCGTCTGGTTCGACCGCGGCACGTGGTGGCGCTCGTCGCAGCGCGTCCGCCTGTGGTTCATGGGCAAGGACAAGACGGGCACCCGTCGAGTGCGCTTCTCGGGCGAGGGCCTCGAGACGGCGCCGGGCGTCGAGAGCCTCGTCGAGAAGCAGATCGCCACCCAGCAGCTCATGGACCGCTACGTCGACTTTGCTTTCACCGGGCGCGAGGGCCAGTGCGACGTCGACGACGGGTCGTGCGCCGCCGTCAAGAAGCTGTTCGACTTTCAGCGCACGTTCGGCTGGAACGAGGCCAACGACTACAAGTACCTGCTCGACCTCGACGGCAACGCGTGGTCGGGCCGGTTCCACCGCCTCCTGTCGAGCAACTCGGCCGTCATCAAGAGCACCATCTTCCCCGAGTGGTGCGTCCCGCTCTCTCCTCGTCGTCGCTCAGAGCAGAACCTGACCCTCGTCGTCCCTCAGGTACGCCGGCTGGATCCAGCCCTGGGTGCAGTGCGTCCCTCTCTCTTTTCCTCTCTCGCCTTCCTCCTTCGTCGTGCTCACGCTCTCGCCGTCCCTCGCCGCAGCTACATCCCGCTCAAGGTCGACTACACGGACCTTTTCGACATCATGGCCTTCTTCGCCGGCGACCTCGACGGCCGCAACGCGCACGACGACCTCGCCAAGCAGATCGCCGACAACGGCAAGGACTACGCGACGCGGTTCTGGCGCTACGAGGACATGGAGGCCTGTGCGTCGCCGCTCTCTCCTCTCTCTTTGGCCTTCTCGAGAAGGACCTTTCGCTCACGCGTCGCTCTCGCTCTCGCGCTCGCAGACTTCTTCCGCCTCGCGCTCGAGTGGGCTCGTGTCAGTTGTGCGTCCCCCGTCCTCATTCTACCGCTCTCGACGTCGTGCCGGCACTCACCCTTTCGAGCCCCTCTCGCGCAGCTCCCGACCGGCGCAGCATGGACTACCAGGGCCCGGGCGCATAGATGCGACCGCGAGTCGGCAAGGAGGCGCACGTCGAGGGACGGGCGAGAGCGGCGCAGAGGACGAGGGGGCACTCAACGGCGAGCATTTTTCTGTACCACCTTGCATCTCCCCGCCATACCCTCTCTCTTGCTCTCTCCCTCGGAGCGCGTTGCGAATAGAGCTCATGCGATACAACACCTGGCGCGAGGCCGTCTACTGAGAGGAGAGGAGGGACGTCAAGCGCGCTGGTTGAGAGCGCCGTTCCTGCGAGAGAGAGCGAGGGTGAGGACCGTGCGCGAGGAAAGGTCAGAGAGGGAGAGCGGGACGGACCGTCGCAGCTCGAAAAACTCGCGGTACGCCGGTGCTGTCGGCGCCTGGAGAGGTTCTGCGGCGATGCTGTCGGACAAGAGCGGGTAGTGCGTCTCAGAGTCGAACCCGCTGCGGACGCCTCGACAGGGTCAGTTGCGGACGAGCGCGCGACGACGACCAGTGCAAGAGGGGGCGCACCTCAGGTCGCCGCACGCGACGAACGGCGCGATGAAGCGCATGGCGCCCGAGACGTCGTTCTTGCCGCCGCTCTCGGTCGTCGGCGAGTCGGTGGTCGAGTAGGAAAAGTCGAGGAGCGGCTTGGTGAGGTCGGGCGTGAAGCCTTCCCGGAAGCCCTCGCACACGACGAACGCCTCTGCGAGTAGAGATAAGAGTCAATGCTGCTCAACGAGAGAGAGAGAGAGGAGGAGGGAGGGAGACGCGCCCATGCTGCTGTTGCGCGAGCTCCTCGGCTTTGCGCACGTGACCCGGTCGAAGAAGCAGCGCAGCTGGTCGTACAGGAGCGTCACGTCGCGACCGCGGAAGATCTTGGCGACGAACGTGCCGCCCGGTCGGAGGACGCTGAGCGTGATGTTGAGGGCCTGCGCGAGGAGAGGGGTCAGAGCGACCGGGCGCAAAACGAGAGGGAGAAAGCGGGACGCACTGCGAGGAGGAGCTGCGCCTGGACGAACTCGTCGAGGTCGTGCAGGCCCGTGACGTCGGGTGCGCCGTCGCACACGACGAGGTCGGCCCGGCCGCCCTTGAAGTGCGAGATGATCTGCTCGGCCGTGCTCGTCTTGGTGATGTCGCCCTCGATCTGGACGACGCCGGGTAGCGGGGCCTGAAGGACGAGGTGCTGAGTTAGCTCACGAGCCTGCGACGAGGCGGCAAAGAGAGTGGGGCGCACCATGGGCTGCAGGTCGACGGCGACGATGCGAGCGCTACCGTCGGCGGCGGGGACCTCGGCACTGCGACCTCGAGGCTGTTCAGCTCTGCATGGGAGAGAGGGGCTGTAATGCGGACGCACTTGAGCTTCTGCGAGAGCACCTGGCACCACGAGCCTAAGTGCGAGAGGAGCGAGGTCAGCTCGCACCGCCTCGAGAGGGGAAGAGGACAGGGGAGAGGACGCACCTGGTGCAGCGCACAGGTCGACGCATCGCTCGACGCCCTCCCACAGCTGGAACTGCTCGGCGAGCTGCAGGAGCTTGTACGCAGAGCGAGCGCGGTACCCTTCCTCCTTGGCCGACCGAAAGAAGACGTCTCGCCGCACGGCGGTGCTCTTGCCCATCTTGCGCGGGTCTGCCGAGGTCTTGCTGGTGCGCGCGCGGAGCTGTGGTGGACGAGTCGTTCTTCCGGCGAGGGAGCACTCCTCTCTCGCACAACCAGCTCGCGCATCCGCGCAAAGCAGGACTCATTCTGCTCGCACACCATCTTCAGCCACCCGCCGGCCCACTGCGTCCAGCAGAACGCCCTCGCGCGCCTCGCCCGTCGCTCCCCCCATCTTCATCTCTCGCTCCTTCCCGTCTCTCTCCACGCCCCGAATGGGTCTCGTGGGCTGCACAGCCTCTACCAACAGCTTCTCCGGTGCGGTGCGGGTCGCGCTGGGCTGGCTCGCCCGCTGCGTGAGCCTGCGCGCGCGGGTCGCATCTGAGCCTCCCGCACCTGCGGCATCTTGCGCTCGCCTCGGCTTCCTGCAGCTGCGCAGACGAGCTCGAGGCTTTCCTGCTTCTCTGCTCCTCCGCTCGCCGCTGCTAGAGGATGCGCGCGCCCCGACATCGGGGCGCCCGCCCTTGCCGCCCGCCTCGCTTTCAGCAGCACGACGGGCGGCATCTCGCGTCTCGACGCAGCGCGCACGCCCAAGAATTGCTCTCAAGCTTCCGTGCTGCTAGCTGTAGCTTGGATCAAGGCTGTGCGGGGCCGCAGCAGCAGCGCAAGCGGGCGATCCGAGCGCTCTCGTCGGAACCGGTCCCGTTGCGCTAGCTTCGTCCGCCGTGGCTCGATCTCCTCGCCGACGCAGATCTGTGTCATGCTCTCGGCGACGTCGGAAGGTTGCGCACGATCCGCTCGCAGCGTCTCGACGAGCGGAAGTCGAATCGAGGGAAGTCGAGCAGCGCTCGCTTGCGCCTCGCCTCGACTCGTGCGCGTTCTCCTCTCGCGTGCAGGAGGGCTACATGCACACGTTGTGGCGAGGCTCGCTCGCTCGAGAGTGGCCCACGCGGCAGGGCAGCGGAGCGTCGACGTCCGCCGCGGAGCGTCCGGCGAGGCGCACGGGCCAGACGCCGCGCCGGAACGTGCACGAGCACGGCGCTAGCAGAAGATTCTGCGCCTGCACGGAGTGGAGCTCGATCGCTCTCGTCCGTGCGAGGGAGCGCAGACGCCGGAGGCCGGTCGTGCGCGGCGGCCTCGATCGCTCACGCACGAGGAGCGACGAGGAGAAGCGCACGTTCGACTCGCTCGAGAGGCGTCCTCAGCTCACAACAGCTCGTATCGAGTCGTTGGAGGGCCGTAGAGGAAGGGAAGGACCAGCTGAGCTCGTACGAGTTGGAACGAGAGCCAAAGGAGCCCTGTGTCAGCCGCGAGAGCGTCGACAAGGACCAAGAGCTGGGCAAGATTCTGATCTCGACCGGGCCGACAGTTTCGAAAATCGTCGCACGTTCCGCTGCACCGGCTCTCGCTCTCGACTTTGCGCCTCGCCGCACGCGGTCCCCGAATTTAGATCGCTCACAGCCGCCAGGGGAAAGGGAATGCCGCCTCGCAGGACGCGCCTGTCGACCGCGCCGCCCTCCCCTCCTCTCTCTCCCTCCTCGTCCTCCCTTCCTTCCTTCGCTCGCCAAAGGCTCTCGCGACCTTCACCATGTCGTACGAGACCAAGGAGATCCACTCGACCTCGTCGCTGCCGACTGGCGCCGTCGACCTCAACGCCCGCCGTCGCGCCGCCCTCGCCGAGATTGACAACGCCAAGTTCTCCTGGTTCCACGTCAAGGCCTGCGCTGTCGCCGGTGTCGGCTTCTTTACCGATGCGTGAGTCCCTCTCGCTGCGAGCCGAGTCGGGAGGAGGGCCCGTGCGCCGTCGCTGACCTCCTCCTCCTTCCTCGCGAACGCAGCTACGACATCTTCGCCATCAACCTGGCTGCCGGCATGATCGGCTACGTGTACAACATGCAGTCGCACAAGGGCGCCCTCACGCCCAACCAGGACCTCGGCCTCAAGATCGCGACGCCTGTCGGCACGTTCATCGGCCAGCTCCTGTTCGGCTGGCTCGCCGACGTCGTCGGCCGCAAGAAGATGTACGGTCTCGAGCTCATGGTCAGTACGTCGCACAGTCCTCTCCTCTCTCTCGACGGCGCGAGAGGAAACAACTCCTGACGAGCTCTCTCGCACCCAGTCATCATCGCGACGGTCGGCCAGGCTGTCGCCGGCCACGCCCCGGCCATCAGCATCATCGGCGTCCTCGTCTTCTGGCGCTTCATCATGGGCATCGGCATCGGCGGCGACTACCCGCTGTCGGCGACCATTACGTCCGAGTTTGCGGCGACGCGCATTCGTGGTCGCAGTGCGTCTCGCCTTCTCAAGTTGCCCTCTCTCGAGCCTCGCCGCTCACTCCTTCTCTCGCCTCGCCCTCGCAGTGATGACTGCGACGTTCTGGTCGCAGGGCTGGGGCCAGCTCGGCGCTGCGCTCGTCGCCATCTCGTCGCTCGCCGCGTTCAAGACTCAGATCATGAACGACCCGGTCGACAACGCCCGCCACCTCGACTTTGTCTGGCGCCTCATCATCGGTCTCGGCGCCGTCCCCGGCGGTGTCGCGCTCTACTTCCGCCTCACCCTCCCCGAGACGCCTCGCTTCACGATGGACGTCGAGCGCAACATCAAGCAGGCCGCGACCGACGTCGACGCCTTCCTCCAGACCGGCGCCTACGTCCAGGACAGCACGCCCGCCACCGTCGCCACCCTCGACGTCCCCAAGGCGAGCTGGAAGGACTTCCGCAACCACTTTGGCCAGTGGAAGCACGGCAAGGTCCTGTTCGGCACCGCCTGGTCCTGGTTCGCGCTCGACATCGCCTTCTACGGCCTCGGTCTCAACTCGTCGATCATCTTCAACGCCATCGGCTACGGCACGGTCACGTCGGGCACGGCGCAGTACAACCGCTACCACACCCTGTTCAACAACGCCGTCGGCAACATCATCGTCACCTGCGCCGGCCTCATCCCGGGCTTCTGGGCTGCCTTTGCGCTCATCGACTCGTGGGGCCGCAAGCCTCTGTGCGTCCTCTCTCTTTTTCTCTCGCGGCGTCGGGGTGTCGACCGAGGACGTCGAGCGTGCACTGACCCACTCCCTCTTCCTCACTCCACAGCCAGCTCACCGGCTTCATCGGCCTCACGATCACTCTCTGCTGCATGGGCTTCGGCTACGACAAGCTCAAGGAGAACGCAGTCGGTGCCTTTGTCTTCCTGTACTGCCTCAGTGCGTCGTCGTCGTCCTCCCTCTCTCCCTACCTTCCTCGACTGACCTCACCCTCTCTCCCGCAGCCAACTTCCTCCAGAACTACGGCCCCAACACGACGACGTTCGTCATCCCTGGCGAGATCTTCCCGACGCGCTACCGCTCGACCGCCCACGGCATCTCGGGTGCGTCCCCCTCATCGACCTTCTCAAGTCGACCTTCCCAAGTCGAACTTCTCACTGACCTTCTCTTCCTCTCCTCGTCCACGCTCCCTTCCCTCTCGCAGCTGCCTCGGGCAAGTTCGGCGCCATCGTCGCCCAGATCATCGCCTTCAAGCTCAAGGACCGCGGTGGCAAGAACGCCTTCGTCAAGCACATCCTCGAGGTGAGTCCTTTCTCTCCTCCTCCTCTCCTCCCTCGTCCGCTGTACTGACGCCCTCTCTTTCGCCTTTTGGATCTTTGCCCTCTTCATGCTCACGGGCATCTTCTCGACCCTGCTCAGTGCGTCGCGCGCCCTTTTGCGCCCTGTCGTACTCAGAACTGACCCCTTCCTCCTCCACAGTCCCCGAGACCAAGGGCAAGTCGCTCGAGGAGCTTTCCGGCGAGGACCAGGACAACTTCGTCGGCAACCACGAGGCTCCTGCAGGCGCAAACCGCGTCTGAGCCGCTCTCTGCCGTCCATAGATCTCTCCTGCCTCGCACCACTGTCACTTTTCCCTCTCGTCGTTCCTCGGGCCTTCCTCCTCGTGTCTTTCCTGGGCATAATCTATACCTGTTCGTTCCCACTTTCGTGCCGCCCTTCTCTCGAGAGGTTCGCGTGCGCAGGGAAGCTGTGCTTGATGCAGAGAGATGCGCGGACGAGCTACGACGCCTGGGGCGCGCTCCACCGAGCAGGGCCAAGAAGATGCCCGCGAGCACGAAGAGTGCAAAGATCCAAAAGGCGAAAGAGAGGGCGTCAGTACAGCGGACGAGGGAGGAGAGGAGGAGGAGAGAAAGGACTCACCTCGAGGATATAGCTTTCCTCCCCGCTCGGATGCGGCCTCACGGCCGAGGAGGCGAGGATTACGCGAGCCAGCTCTGTCCTCCTCTCTGATACGCTATTGACGGAGAAGGGAGGCGGTGTCGAGGCATGAGCGGCGGGTCCAGGTTTGAGAAGGTCGTCGGCAGGAGCGCACGTTCCCCTGCGCCGTCATGCCCATCTCTGCGCCCTGCCCGCCTCTCGTCGCTGCGGGATGGTCCTCGAGGTCAGTTCTTGTGCTCGTTGAGAGGAATGAGACTGGGTGCGAGGGACGCACCATCCTGCGAGCCGCCCTCGCCCTCCTCCTTCCCACCTCCTCGTCCGTCCCGCTCTCCTCCTCCTCGCTCGTCCCTCCCTGCCCGCCCAGCTCCTCCCTCGCGTCCAGACCGTCGAACGTCACCCCTGTGCCCCGCAGAGAGGCGAGCATGGCGCGGCGCCGACGGCCGGGCGGCGGAAGGTGGCCCTCGGAGAGAACGCGCGCAGGTCGGCCTGACGAGTAGTGCTGCATGGAGCGGGAGGGTTAGCTCGTTCGTCGCTTGACGACGACAATACTCGAGAGTCGAGAGACGGAGAAGGAGAGGCTGTCGACGCACCGTCCACACGGCCCAGACGGCGACTGCGAGCGAGATCGCGCACGAGGTCAGTGCGTCGTCGGCGTCGCGCGCTGTCGCAGGGAGCGAGGACGCACTACAAAAAGCGAGGAAGTAGCAGATGCCGAGGCCTGCGCCGACGGTGACCTGCCAGGTGGCGACGTTGAGCAGGAGGCTAAGGAAGAGCGGGATGCCGACCGAGACGAGGACGAGGACGAGGTCGCTGTGTCGGCACGAGAGAGAGGGCGTGAGCGTCGACGACAGAGGAGCGACCGAGACGAAAGAGGGACGCACACGATGCAGAGGCAGGAACACCCGCTGACGAGGAAGATGGCGACCGGCGGGAACGGCGGGACGAGGCACAGCGCGAGGTGCACGACGAGGCAGCAGCAGTCGGTCATGCTGCCAGTGACAATGACCGAGCAGGAGTGCCGAGTCTACAGCGAGCGTCGAAGAAGGACCAGCAGCACGCGAGCGAGGACAGAGAAAGTGACGGACCGGAAAGTCCGAGGAGAGGCTCGAGCGGCAGACGAGGGACGGCCGCTCGAGGAGTCCGCTCGCCGAGGCAGGGTCTCGGACCCTAATCGACTAATCAAGCGAGGCGCGATCAAGCGGAAGCGGAAGCGGGGTCTGCCGAGGAGGCGCAGAGAAGGCTCGAGCGGGACGAGGGAAGGAAGCGGCAACTCTCTCTCGCCGTCGACGCCAAACAGGGCTCACGAGAGGGTCGTTACGAGGAACACGAGGGATAGGCGGAAGCACTGCGGCGAGTGTCTATGCTGGCGAGGGAAGGGGGGAAAATCGGGGTGCGAGGGGAGAAGGACAAGCGAGGGCGTGACGCCGACTGGCGAGAGCTGGAAGAGGGGAAAGGGGGGGACAGCTACAGGCAAGGGGACCGTCGCAAGCGCTCCAGGCGCACGTGCGACGAGTGACCCTCAGGCTGCTCAGGCGAGCATGGCGATGCCGGCGACGCCGACGAGGGCCGCACCCGCCGCCTTCCAGATGCCGGCACCGACGGCCGGCGCGCCGCTGAGCGAGCTGCTCTCGACGCCGTTGTTCGTCGTCGTGGTCTTGTTCGAGCCGGTCGACTCGGACAGGGTCGACGGGACCTGGCCGTCGCCGAACGACTGGCCGCAGACCGACGTGACCTCGCCCGTGAGCGACGATGCCGTCGAGGACGACGATGTGCCGTTGCTGAGGGCGGCGTCGAGCTTGGTGACGAGGCCGTGGGCGCAGTCGGTGCAGAAGGAGGCGGCGGGGAGCGACTCGAGGGTCGAGGCGTCGAGCGACGTGAGGGTCGAGACGGTGAGCGACTGGCCGGTCGCGCTCTCGACCGACTTGAGGAGGTCGGTGACGCAGAACGACGAGTTGGTGGTGTACTGAAGGCAGAGCCCCTGCTTGACAGCGTTGAAGTTCTCGAGGACGCTCAGTGCAGTCGTCTGCGGGGGAAGGCGGCGAGGTGAGCAACTCTGCGCTCGGCGCGATCCTTGGCACCCTCGACGGACACAGGAGGAAAGGTGGGACGCACGACAATGTCGCTGCTGCCCGAGCTGATCTCGGTCGCGCAGCCGTTCGAGATGCTGGTCGAGGCGTTCTGGAGCGACGCCTCGCTGCAGTCCGGCTCGCCGCACAAGTTGCCGAGCCAGGTGTTGATCTGTTGGGTGAGAATGCGAGTCAGTGCGTGGTCCAGACGAGGGAGGAGCAAGGCTCGGGGGTCGCAGGGAGGGGGAGAGGGTGGGACACACTGGATCAACAACGCTCCCGCTCGTGAGGACGATGGACGACAGGGAGCCGATCGACGCGCACTGGGCGAGCTGCGAGTTGCTCAACAGCGACAGTGCGGCGGCCTGGCAGTTGGCGCTGAGGCCGTCGACGAGCGACGAGGCCGACTGGGCGGCGACGAGCGACGAGATCGAGGCCGTGAGGACGGTGAGGGCGAGGGCGGAGCGGGCGAGCATGGTGGGCGCGTGTCTAGCTGTGTGGTGGACGAGGTGCAGGTGTGCGCTGTGCTGGGCCGGGGTGAGGAAGAGCGACGAGAGGTGGTCCCCGGTCGCGTCGGACCCTTCGCAGCTGCGAGAGCGCGTCTTCGCCACTTGGCAACGGCTTCCTCCGGCCATCTCTCGACGCAGACAGGGACAGAGTACTGCGAATTGCACACAAAAGAAGAGACGACGTCGCCTCACACTTTCCACCCGTCGAGATCCCACGAGCACACGCGCACTCGGTCCCTCTTCCTCCCCCTCGACACGACCTTGAGCTTGCGGATCGCCACCTCGCGACCCTCCTCGTCCACCTCGTAGTTGCCCTCGTGCGGCACCGCAAACGTCGTAGGCGTCCGGATCGGGTCGAGCAGGACCGTGACCGACACGGTCGTCGACGACAGGGGCTTGACCCGGGGCTTGCCGACCAGCGAGCGTGGTTCCTGCGTGGGTGGCACGACGCTGAGAGCGTCAGGACTCTGTTGCTGCGAGAGAGAAAGAGAGAGAGAGAGAGGGACGCACCCAGCCGCCAGTCCCGTCGCCGCGCACCGAGAGCACCTCCCAGCTGTCGCTCCCGCCGCTCAGGTCCTCCCACGCGACAATGTTGGCCAGGTCGAGCGAGCCGACGAGCGTCAACTCGCGCACATGCCGCGGCTTGACGAACGTCAGGCCAAAGTGGTCGTCGGCCTCGGGCGCTTCGGGTGCGACGGCGGCGAGAGTCAGTCCGACGGCTTGAGAGGGGGGAGGGAGAGATAGGGAGAGGGGACGCACGCCTGAAGCTCTCCCAGCACGTGTCGGTCCCTCGCCCATCGACCGCAAGGTGCCAGCTCCCGTTCCTCGTCCACCACCCCTCGTCAGGCCACGCGCTCTCGGTCCCTCCCGCCGCCACCCTCGGCCGCACGAGCTCGTTCCACCGCTCCTCGTGCTCCCTGACGCTCCACCCGCTCGCGAGCGGGTCCAGCCCTCGCGGCCTGCCCCTCGTCCGCTCGAGCTCGCGCCGCTGCTCCCTCAGGACCCGCTCGTGCGCGCGCTGCTCGCCCCTCGCGCGGCGCACGTCAATGACGTTCGCCGCTGCTCCTCCTCCGTGATGGCCCGTGAGGGCGCGCCAGGCGCGCGCGGCGCGGCTCGAGGGCGACGAGCGCGAGCCCGAGGGCTCGAGCGCGTACGAGGTCGAGAGGGCCGACGCGGGCGGGAAGGGCGTGAGCGAGGTCGTGAAGAGGCAGCCGTCGTTGGAGCACGGCGCGCGCGTGTGCGACTCGGCGGGAGGGGTCGCGAGGGGGAAGAGCGAGGGCGACAGGGTCGGCGACGCGAGCGAGAGGACCGTGTACAGGGTGCGAATGGCCGAGCGCTGCACAGACGAGCGACGTCAGGATGGGGAGACCCAGAGTGGGAGAGAGAGAGAGAGAGAGAGAGAGAGGGACGGACAATGTTGCCGTAGACGATGGCCCACTGGTCAACGCCCTCGCCCCTGCTCCAGCCCACCTCGCCGCCCTCGACATCGATCGGGACGAGGTCGTTGGGCATCTGCTCCGGGTACGTGTTGGTCCACAGCGAGAAGAACATGTCGGCGACGAGGCTCTGGGCCCTCGAGAGGGCGACGGGCGCCGCCTGCTGCTGCTGCATGAAGCGCCGCGAGAGGTGCCGAGGCGCGAAAGAGCCCGTGCCGAGCCAGGTGAAGCCCGTGTGCAGGCCGATGCCTGCGCACGCACGGCGAGGCTCGAGTTAGTGGACCTGCATGCCGAAACTGAGAGGCAAAGGGAGGGAACGAGACGCACCCGAGTGCTCGAACCGCCACCGACGATGCTCGAGGTGGATGATGGGCAGCGTGTTGCTCGCGATGCGCCCGCCGGTGCCGCCGGCGCCCGTGACGCCCCTGCCCGAGCAGCACTCGAGGTACTTGGTGTAGGTCGCGTCCATGTAGACGTTGAGCCAGTCGTCGTCGTTGAAGTAGCAGTGCTCGAACGAGGCCATGCTGCACGCGAGGTGCTTGCCCGCGTCGTGCACGTTTGACGGCGAGTTGACGATGCGGAGCTTGGCGGGCGGAAGGTCGGACCCGGGCGGGCTCGAGATGATCAAGTCCTGCAGGGCACGACGAGTGCGGGTCAGTCGCGCCTTCTTGAGGAAGGGGAAGGGAAAACAGGCGGGCGCACCTCGGACGAAAGGTCGACGCCGGGCCGGTTGTTCCACACGATGACCTCGCGGATGAACGGGTAGCGCGTGATGTGGCGCACGACGAGCTCGAGGCCCTTGCGGCGCTTCCAGTGGAGGACGACGGCCGTAACGCCGACGGCAGGCGAGGCCTCGCTGCGGAGCGAGGCGCCGCGGAAGAGCGAGGGCGGGTAGGCCGACTTGCGCGACTCGATGAGCGACACGAGGCGCGAGTGGGCGGCCTGCTGGGCGCCCGTCGGCGGGCTCGGGACGTAGTTGAGCGCGAGGGCGTCCTCGAGCTCCCACAGCGAGGGGGGCGCGACTCGGGGCGGGTTGAGGACGGCGTGGATCGAGACGAGGATGCGGACGGCGAGGAAGGAGGAGACGAGGACGAGGACGAGCGCGGTGCGTCGTCGCAAGGGCGAGGTGTGGGTGAGGGAGCCGAGGAGGTAGTCGACGACGACGAGTGGGAGCGCGCTAGGCACGTGGGGGAGGATGTCCTGCGTGGTGAACAAGGTCGCAACGGTGCACAGGGTGGCCGGTGGGTGCGTGTCGAGGATCAGACTCGACGTGATCGGGTTGAGCGAGAGGGACAGGGGAGCGGACCTCGGTCATGACATCGCTCGCGACGGGGCTTGACGTAGTCCAGAGCAACAGTCGAGCACAGTCCAAGCGTGCCCGGTCCAGCCGAGGGACGTGGTGAGGGAGGGCAGGTCGCGGGTTGATGAGGAGGAGCACGGCCTCGCTCCGGCTCTCCGTTCGTCCGTCCCACCACGCTCAAGAGCAGCAGCGACTAGCCTTGCTGCCTACTCAGCCACTCAGGCACTACCCCGACCCCGACCCGTCTCGCCCTCACCTCGCGTCGCCTGTCCCTCCCTCGCCGACGCCGTCCAGCTCGCCACTTCTCCGCCCTCATCTCTCTCGCCCGCCATGGGTCGCGGCGGCTCGTCCAGCGGTCAGCGCAAGACCAGGGCCTTCGCCCAGGTCAAGCGCATGGTCAACCCGAACGACATGCGCCTGTGCGTCCTACCTCTCTCTCTCTCTCTCCTCCTCCTCCTCCTTCATCAGCTCACTCCCTTTGGACCCCCGCTACAGCAAGGCCAACCAGGAAAAGGCCAAGAAGGCCGAGGAGGACAAGAAGGAGAAGGAGGTCAACCGAGTGTGAGCCTCGCCTCCTCTCCTCGCCTGCTTCTTCCCGCCGACCCTCGCGCCCTCTTGCTGACCGACCTCTTCCCTCCCCGCCGTCTACAGCGACGCCATGCCGACCTCGCTCTTCTTCTCGCACAACGAGGCCCTCGTTCCGCCCTACCGCGTCATCGTCGACACCAACTTTATCAACCTGAGCCTCGAGAACCGGGTCGACATCGTCAAGTCCATGATGGACGTCCTCTACGCCAAGGGTGCGTTGCGAGAACCTCCCTCTGTCTCTCTGACGAGGTCGTGCAGCACGAAGCCTGACTTTGCGCCCTCTCGCAGCCATTCCGTGCATCTCTGACTGCGTCCTCGCCGAGCTCGAGAAGTTGGGCCACCAGTACCGCCTCGCTCTCCGGTGCGTCCCCTTTCCCTCGTTCGACGACCTCGGCGAGGCAGGCCTGACGATCCTGCCCTTGCCCCTCCCTCTCTACCCTCGCCCCTACTCGTTCCCGCCCACCTTGCCGTCCCCCCACCCATCGTCGCCCATCTCAGCGTCGCGCGCGACCCGCGCTTCGAGCGCCTCCCGTGCTCGCACAAGGGCACCTACGCCGACGACTGCATCGTGAACCGCGTCACGCAGCACCGGTGCTATATCGTCGCGACGTGCGACCGGCAGCTCCGCAGGCGGTTGCGCAAGGTCCCTGGCGTGCCGGTGCGTCCCCCTTCGCTCGCCTTCTCTGTCGCATGTCGCACCTCGCGGCGCAGTAGCAGCTCGACGAGCTGCTGCCGCGCCGTGTAGAAAGGTCCAGTGTGTTCAGAAGCAGGGACTGACGCTTCGGCCGCCCGCAGCTCATGTACATCGCCAAGAAGCGCTACGCCATCGAGCGCCTCCCCGACCAGGCCATCGGCTAGTGCACTCCGCACTCGCACGTCCTCTCGCTCGGCTCGGCGGCGTCTCGAGTTCGGCGGCGTGGACGCGCGCACGCGCGAGGGCGGCGGCTCCCGCCCCGAGGCCCTTTCTTGGCTCTGCCGCGCGCCGGTCAACGGTTGCGCCCTGTCCGCTCTCTCCTCCTCCCTTCTGTTTGTTTCCAGTAGTGCACTAGATCTCTCGCAACGCGTCGTTCCTCTTCCTGCTTCGTGCACGCTCGAGAGAGTACACGTCCGTCGTCGTCGTCGTCTCTACAGCGGTCGCCTTCGGCTGCGACCCTCGGCCATGGCCTACACGCACTCTACGAGAGAAGGAAGCAGGCAGCTCTTGCGCACAAAGACGCGTGGGAGCAAGTCAGAGCGCGCGGCGTGTTGTCTCATCAGCTCGAGAGGTTGAGCTCGGCGGACCTGCTCCCCACTCAACCCTCGCCCATCCACCCGCTTGCTCCGCACAGCTGCACGAGCCCGGACACCATGTCGACCGTCGTCCCGCCTCGCCCCAAGCGCCAGCGCCTCACGGCACCGTCGGTGGCCGCTGCCGCCGTCGCCGCCCAGGGCCCCGTGCAGACCATCATCTGCCAGTTCCGCAACGCCCAGGACGGCACCCTGCTCGGCCCGTCCGTGTCGCTGCTTGCCGACACGACTCGCGAGGGCCTCGAGCTCCTCGCCAACAACCTCAAGGGCACGGTGCGTCCCGCTCCCTCCTCCCTCCTCCCGCTCGCCGCTGCGGACGGTGCTCACCCTCGCTCTTGTCGTTGCACACAGGCCGAGGACCCGGTCCCATTCTCGTTCCACCTCCAGCTCCCGTCGACCGCCGCACCGCCCGCCGAGGACGGCAAGCCCACCGCGCCCGAGGAGGGCCTGCGGCTCCCCATCGCGCGCTCGATCCACGCCGACCTCCTGTCGCACCCCAAGCACGCCAACAAGCTCAGCACCGAGGACGTGTTTGTCATCGACTGCGAGCCCGAGGCCGTGTTCCGCGTCAGGGAGATCAGCCGGTGCAGCAGCAGCCTCGACGGTGCGTCCTTCTTGCCTCTCTCCTCCTCTTCCTCGGAGCATGCCGGGGCCTGACTCGCCGGCTACTTGCAGGTCACGCCTCGCCAATCCTGTGCGCCTCGTTCTCGCCGACAGGCCGGTTCCTCGCGACGGGCTCGGGCGACAACACGTGCCGGCTGTGGAACCTCGACTCGGAAACGCCCGCGGCGACGCTCGCCGGCCACACCGGGTGGCTCCTGTGCGTCGAGTGGGACGGCCTCGAGCGCCAGGTCGCGACGGGCAGCATGGACAACTCGGTGCGGCTGTGGGACCCCAAGACGGGCAAGCAGGTCGGCGAGCCGATGAGGGGCCACTCGAAGTGGATCACGAGCCTCGCGTGGGAGCCCATTCACGTGTGCGTCGGCGTCGTTCCTCTCTCTCGTGCGCGCTCTGAGTCACCTCGAGCTTGGCCGCTCACTCGAAGTTGTCGGCCGCCCACAGCAACGCCTCGCAGCCCCGGCTCGCGTCGTCGTCCAAGGACGGCACGGTGCGCGTGTGGAACGCCATGCACCGCAAGATGGACTTTGCGCTCGGCGGGCACACGGCGTCGGTCAACGTCGTGCGGTGGGGCGGCGAGGGCGTCATCTACACGGCGAGCAGCGACAGGACGGTCAAGCTGTGGGACGGCAAGGCGGTGCGTCCTCTCTCTCGCCGTCGCCTTGTTCCCGTCAACGCGGACGTCTCTCGCAGACGGTCGTCGACGACGGGTTCGCGAGGAGCGGAAGGTTCGACGCTCACTCCCTCTCTCTCCTTCGCGCGCAGGGCAAGCTCATCCGAACTTTGTCCGAGCACGCCCACTGGGTCAACACGATGGCGCTCAACACCGACTTTATCCTGCGCACGGGCCCGTTCGACCACCTCGCCAAGGCGCCCAAGACGGATGACGAGGGTGCGTCCCTCCTCCTCCTCCTCTTCCCGCCCTTCCCGGACTGACTCTCTCTCGCGCCCTGCAGCCAAGGAGCTCGCCCTCAAGCGCTACACGGCCTTCACCTCCCGCACGCCCGAGCAGCTCATCACGGGCTCGGACGACCACACGCTCTTCCTGTGGCCGCCCGTCAACTCGTCGGGCGATGCGGCCGTCGCCAACCCGAAAAAGCCCGTCGCGCGCCTCACGGGCCACCAGAAGCAGGTCAACCACGTCGCGTTCAGCCCGGACGGCAAGTACATCGCGAGCGCGGGCTTTGACAACGCCGTCAAGCTGTGGGACGGCCGCACGGGCAAGTGAGTCTGCGCGCTCGGGCTCCTCCTCTTGGTTGCTGTGCCGCTCTCGAGGGAGCCTCGCCGCTCGTCTCGTGCGGCACTGCGTCGCCATCTGACGGGAAGGTCCTGACACTGTCGCTCGCCCTCTTGCAGGTTCATCGCCTCGCTGCGCGGCCACGTCGCCGCCGTGTACCGCATCTCGTGGTCGGCCGACTCGCGCATGCTCGTCTCGGCGTCCAAGGACTCGACGCTCAAGGTCCGTCCCTCCTCTCCCTTTCTCCCGTCTCGAGCCCGTCGTCTCGTTCGAGCAGGCCCTGACCCTCTCGCACCCCGTCCTCCCCTCTCGCCTCGCCCTCGTGCCACAGCTGTGGGACCTCAAGACGTTCAAGATCCGGGTCGACCTCCCCGGGCACAGCGACGAGGTGTACTGCGTCGACTTTGTCGCCGACAAGATTGCGAGCGGCGGCAGGGACAAGAAGGTCAAGATGTGCGTCGGCCTCGGCTCTCTTTCCCTTTCTTCTCGGACGTACCGCAGGCGGGCTCGGGAGCGCCAGATGCGGCACCCGCGTCGGGCCAGAACTGACACAGTCGACGGGCGCGCAGCTGGAGGCACTAGATGAGGAGCGGACGAGCCCGATCTTGTTGTAGCACCACCCCTCTCGCTCGTCTGGAACACGCGGCGGTTCCTTCTCTCCTTTGCAGGCTCTCGACAGCGAGAGTCGAGAGGAAGAGAGTGCGCAATGTATAATGCATGGTGGACAGCAACAAGGTGGAAGAGGGGCGGACGAGCGCGACGAGGGGGATCTCAAGTGGACGAGTCGGGCGCTGGTCGAGGTACGGCGCAGAGCTGGACGTCGAAGAGCTCGATGAACTGCAGGAGGAAGACGGCGTGAGCGACCCGCAGGGAGGGAGAGAGGGAGGCGTCAAAGAGAGGAACGGCCGGCTCACTTGCTCGTTGTGCTGCCGGACCTTTGGCCCGGCGTACCTGCGAGAAGAGGAGACAGGTGAGCTCTGATGAACGAGAGCGACTGTGGCGGCGCGCTCGACCTGCCGTGCGACCTGTCCTCGGAGAGAAGGAGAGAAAGGAGGAATCGAGGGACGCACCGCCTGTACTCCTCGAGGATCGCCGTCAAGTTCCACCTCTGCAGCTTGCGCAGCAGACCGCACACGGTGCCCGTCCGGTGTCGCCCTTGGCCGCACGCGATGAGGCACGGCGCGTTGGCCGGGTCGAGGATGAGCTCGAGGGCCTGGAGGACCGTCTCCTCCGAGAGCGGGTCGTACGTCGCCGCATAGTCGTCGGCGCCGAGGTGGTGCAGGGTGATGTGCTGCTCCTGGAGGAAGCGCTGGCTGCGATCGGAGAGGGGGGCGAGAGGGGACCGAGAGGGTCAGCAAGGGCGAGCGGGCGAGAGAGGAAGGGGTGACGCACAAAGGCTCGTTGGGCTCTTCTGGGGCAAGCCAGACGCACGACTTGAGGCCGAGGCGCTCGAGGAAGGGAAAGTTGAGCTCTGAGGGCTGGCCCGAGCGGACAAGGCCCTCCTCGACGAGGCCGTACTGAGGCGGGGGCACGAAGACGCGCTTTGAGGGCCGGACGCGGCAAACGGCGACCCGCGGTGGTGCGTCGGTGGTGGGACGAGAGCAGCACGGGTCGAGGTGGCCTTGCTCGGTGGTGGTTGTGCGCGCGGGAGTCGAGTCGGCGAGAGGTGGGGAGGAGGAGGAGGAGGGGAGAGGGTGCTGGCCGGGAAGAGCGGCTGGCGCAGGTGCGTCGGATTCTAGCTCGAGTGCTGCCATGCTCTGCAGTTTTGAGAGGCAGATCAAGTCGTGACGAGAGGAGGAAGGGACGGCATCCTCCTCGTCCTCATCAGTTCGCAGCTCTCCTCTCTCCATCCAGCACCAGAGCTCGCCAGATGTTTCCGACACAGCGGCTGTTCGGCCTGTGCCCCGACTGGAGCACCTGCAAGCTCTCCAACTGCCTCTTCAGCTCGCACTCGCCCCCACGGTCCGCCCGGGTCCCGACCACCTCGACCACCGCGACCGTCCCGCAGAAGCGCCCAGCGACCTCGACTACGCCATCAGGAGTCGTCCTCAAGAAGGTCATGCGCCCCGACGAGCCACAACGAGCCGGTCGCGTGTCGACCTCCTACTCGAGCACTTCGAGCGGGCTCACGGCGGGAACGGCGGCGAGGTCGAGCGGGACAGCGACGGCGAGTGCGGGAGCTTCGACGTCGAGGGTGACGCTCGACGACGTCCCAGATGTGCGTGGGCTCTTTTCCGCCGTGCTCGAGCCCGTCACTGACCTCGAGTCCTCCTCGCGCAGGCTGGACCGCCGCGCTTGCCCATGCCCAAGAGCCTCACGCACACACCGCACGCGACGAGGCAGAAGATGGTCACCGCCCTGTACAACCAGTGCGCCCCCATTCCGCTCGCTCAGCATTCTCAAGCCCCCCTCTCCTGACCTGGTCCCGCACCCCTTGCGCAGGTTCCTCGACATCTACACCCCGGGCATCCTCCCGAGCTCGCTCCGCCATCACCTCGCCTCGAAGCACGCCCTCGCGCAGGAGGAGCACCTCTTCTCGCGCTCGACCAAGGCGACGTACCGCAACTCGGTCATCTCGGCGCTCGCGCGACTCAAGAAGCGGGCGCCGGCGCGCACGGTCGACGAGACGGGCACGCTCGAGGACGAGGTGGCGCGGCTGTCGAAGGCGGCCGAGGAGGAGAAGGGCCGCTTGACGAGGAAGCGGGTCGCCAAGTTTGTGCACCCGGTCGAGACGCTGCGACGGTTCGACTACCCGGTCGAGCTGCCGCCAGGGCCAGGAGGCGACCACCTGAGCGAGGAGGGCAACGTGCGCAAGTGCGACCGGTGCACGGCAGAGTTCACCGTGCGCGGCGACCTCGACGAGGTGAGCATTCCCGTCACTCCTCCTCGGCGGTCCGTGCGACAAAGTCCGAGGGCCTGACTCTTCCTCCCCTCGCTCGCAGGACGGTCGACAAGCGTGCCAGTACCACTTTGGGCGCATGGTGACCGAGAAGATCGGCGGGCAGAAGCAGCGCGTCTACTCGTGTTGTCCCGCCGTCGCCGCCGCACCGTGCCAGACCGGGCCTCACGTGTTCAAGGTGCGCACGCTCTCTCCCTCTCTCTACCTCCCCTGCATTTCAAGGGCTGGGCGTGACCTGACTCAGGTCTCTCTGCAGGACGAGGACGTCGCAGCGCTGCACTCGCGCGTCCCTTTCGTCGCCACCTCCTCCCTCCGTTCCTCCCTCGACACCTCTTCGTCCGACCTGCCACCAGCAGTCGACATCGTCGCCCTCGACTGCGAGATGATCTACACGACGGCGGGCATGTCGCTCGCACGCGTCACCGTCGTGTCGGCCACGGGCTCGACCCTCCTCGACGAGCACGTCCGCCCGCCACACGGCGTCGCCGTCCTCGACCTCAACACGCGCTTCAGCGGCGTCGTCGCCGCCGACCTGGGCAAGGCCGTGCTCGACGTGCCCGGCGTCAGGAGGGCGCTCGCCCAGTTTGTCGACCGCGAGACGGTCTTTGTCGGGCACGGCGTCGAGAACGACCTCAAGGCGCTGCGGCTCGTGCACGACAAGGTCATCGACACTGCCATCGTGCGTCTCACCTTTCTCTCTCCCTCTGCTCACCCTCGGTAGCGATACTGACGAGCAGGCTCGTCGGCAACAGCTCTTCCCGCACCCCAGCGGCGGCACCTGGCGGCACTCGCTGCGCAACCTCGCCAAGGACGTCCTCCGCAAGGTGCGTCCCCCCTCTCTCTCTCCTTCCTGTCGGCGATCCTCGACTGACTCGTGTCGGTGAGCACGCAGTTTGTCCAGACGGGCGAGGGCCCAACGGTCGGGCACAGCGCCAAGGAGGACGCCGTCACGGCGCTCGAGCTCGTCAGGTGGAAGGTCAAGCAGGATGCAGCGGGACGAGGGTGAGCCGCAATGCACGCCTGGGCGACTTTGACGTCGAGCGGCAGCGGCGAGACTTGGGCGAGAGGTCCGAGAGAAAGTGAGCCGCTACGCGTCTCGAGCTGGCGGCGGTTCGTCTTCCCTCGCCGCAGAGAGCTGTCGAGAGTCTGCTACTAGTGCACAGAGCGCGACCCGAGGCCGAGGGTCGCACCAACAAAGTGCCGTCGGCCGTCGGCGGAGCGGCCGACGCGGAGCTGGCTCTCTGTCCGCCTCGCCCACCTCAACTGGCACACGAGCACTCGCTGCACCTGCTCAGAGCTCGACAGGACACACCTGAACTCGCCCCGCCTCACCGCGCCGTTCGCCCACCTGTCCACCTCGCTCGACATGTCGCCATCAGCTCCCAGCGCAGATGAGCGGTCACCGCTCCTGCAGCCTCGTGCGGCCGCAGACGACCTCGAGGACCCGACCAAGCTGCCCAAGGGCAAGCGCAACGCCATCCTGTGTGCTGTGTGGCTCGGCGTCTTTGTGCGTCCCTCCCCCCCCTCCTCCTCTCGGTAGTAGGGAAGCGGTACTGACCCAGCTCTCGGCCCTGCAGCTCGGCGCGCTCGATGGCACTATTGTGAGTGTCGCCTACCCTTTGTATACCGAACGGCAGACCCAAGCTGACCCTGGATGCCCGAGCAGGTCGCGACCCTCATCTCGGACGTCTCGTCGTCGTTCAAGAAGTCGAACCAGGCCGGCCTCCTCGGCACGTCCTACCTCCTGAGCACCGCCACCTTCACGCCGCTGTACGGCCGACTGGCCGACATCATCGGGCGACGGGCGGCCCTCCTCATCGCGTTCACGCTGTTCACGAGCGGGACCGCCCTCTGCGGCCTGGCGCCTAGCATGGTCACGCTCTTGATCGGCCGGCTCATTGCGGGCATGGGAGGTGCGTCCCTCTCTCTCTCTCCCTTCCTGCTCTATCGGGCGAGACTGACCCTCGTGCCCGCGCAGGTGGTGGGCTCATGGCCGTCTCGTCCATCGTCGCGTCCGACCTGATCCCTCTCAAGCAGCGTGCGCTCTTCCAGGGTCTCGGTGCGTCCCCATTCCTCTTCCAGGGACTCCTGGTACCGCACTGACTGTGCCCTCCCTGCAGCCAACCTGTGGTTCGGCGCCGGGTCCGGCCTCGGCGGTCCTCTCGGCGGCTTAATCTCGGACCGCTTCGGCTGGCGCACCGCCTTCCTGTGTGCGTCCCTTTTTCTCTTCTCTTGACACTTTCGAGGACGACGCTGATATTCGCCCCACTGCAGTCCAGCTGCCGATCCTCTTGCTCGCGGCCGTCCTCGTCTTCCGCAACTTGCGGTACCGCGTCGCCGGCCAGGGCAAGAGCAAGCGCGAGATGGTCCGCCGCATCGACTACCTCGGCTCCCTCACGCTCGTTCTCAGTGTGCGTCCCCTGTTCACCTTCCTGCCCGCTCGGGCCGAGTCAACCTGACCACCTCCCTTTTCTCCTGCAGCTTGGGTCCCTCCTGTTCGCGCTCTCGTTCAAGAACGACCGCAGCCTCGCATGGTCGTCGCCTTACGTGTGGGCGCCCCTCATCGTCTTCTGCCTGAGCGGCATCGCGTTCGTCCTCGTCGAGGCGTTCTGGTCGCCCGAGCCCGTGATGCCTCTGCGCATCCTCAAGGACCGCAACGGCCTCTTTGTCGCCCTCATCAACTTTACCGTCTCGTTCGTGTCGTTCTCTGTGCGTCGACCGTTCCTCGTCATGTCGTCGCGCGTGCGCCCGCAAGGCCTCGCGCTGACCCTCGTTCCTCGTCGGTCCGTCCTCTCGCGCCCGCAGATCCTGTACTTCTACCCTCAGTTCTTCGAGATTGTCAAGCAGAAGTCGGCGTCCGAGGCGGGCGCACACCTGCTGCCCAACAGCATCGCGCTCTCGGTCGGCTCGCTGTTCGCGGGTTGGGTGCGTCCTCCTTCTGCCTCTCTCTCCCTTCGAAAACCGACCTCTGACGCCCGCCCGACTCGCAGATCATTCGTCGCACCGGCAGGTACTACTGGCTCATCGTCACGACTTCGGGCTTGCCCATCATCGCGCTCGTGTCGTTCGTCTTCCTCACCGAGTCGAGCGGCTGGTTCCACACCTGGCTCGCCATCCTCCCGAGCGGGTTCGGCTTTGCGAGCGTCATCACTGCGGGCCTCAGTGCGTCTCTCGAGCCCTCTCTCCTCGTGCGTTACGCGACGAGAAACTGACAGACCGTGCGCGCTCGCAGTCGCCATCATCGCCTCGGTCGACCGCTCCGACATGGCGACGGCGACGGGCCTCACCTACCTCTTCCGCTACGTCGGTCAGGTGCGCTCTGCTTTCCCTTCCCTCTGCCTCTCTCTCGCAGCAGACAAGCTCACACCGTTCCTCGTGCGGCGCAGGTCGTCGGCGTCGCCTCGAGCGCATCCCTGCTCCAGTCGGTCCTCAACTCGCAGCTCCAGTCGCGCATCGTCGGACCCGACGCGCCGCGCATCATCGACCAGATCCGCCACGTCTCGACGTCGATCCCGTCGCTCGCGCCCGCCCTCCAAGCCGCCGCGCGCGAGTCGTACCGGCTCGCCCTGCGCGCCGTCTTCCTCCTCAACCTCGGCGTCGCCGTCGTGTGCTTCCTGACGAGCTTGCCCATCCGCGAGTATGCGCTCCCCGGGTCGTTCGAGGAGGAGGAGGAGAGCCGGCGGCAGAGGAGCAGCGGGACGGGGACGCCGAGGGAGGAGCAGGAGGCGGACCAGGCGTAGTTGGGACTCGGCGTCTCGTGCGGTAGACTTTACTATCTCTCCTGGTCCTTCCCTCGTCGAGGCTGGCTCGCTCGGGATCACCTGCGCGAGAGAGAAGCCGTCTTCGTGACGAGCGCTCGAGCCGGCTGAAGCTTGAGCTGTCGACCTCGACCTGGGGCTCTGTAGTCTGCTTGCACGAGTTTTCTAGCGTGTACAGACGGGCTCGAGTACGACTGTGCGGCCGCCGAGCGAGCGAGAAGGCTGACCTGGTCTCGTGAGATGAGACTTTGGCGGAGGGGGAGGAGCGGCTCGTCCTTGAACCTCACCGCGCTCCTCCCCGCCACCAGACCAGCTCTCCAGCACCGCACAGCTCTCCACCGAGCCTCTGCACATCCCCTCGGCCCAGTCCCGCTCTCGCACCAGCTCGTCGCGCCTCTCCCAAAAAGCCTCAGCTCCTCCCCGCCTCGTCCAGCTCGCGCAAGATGGGCATCGACCTCCTCCAGCTCCAGAACGACAAGGGCGGCAACTTTGAGGCCGTCGCCGCCTCGCAGAAGAAGCGCAACGCTCCCGAAGAGCTCGCACACGACGTCCTCGCCATGTACAAGGAATGGACTAAGAGTGCGTCCCCCCGTCGCCTCGTCCCTGCGCGATCCAGTTCGTGCAGCGCAAGCTAACCCGAACACACCGTGCAACAGCCCAGTTCGACGTCCAGCAGCTGCAGAAGGAGGTCAACAAGATTCAGAAGGAGATCGGCCAGAAGATGAAGGTGCGCCCGCTCTCTCCTCTTCCTCGCCCGTCTGTCCCTGTCGATGACAGGCTGACCTTGCTCCCTCGTCCGCACGCACCAGGCCAAGGAGAGCGCCGACGAGCTCAAGGCGCAGAAGGCCGACCTCGACAAGCAGATTGCCGGCCTGAACGCGCAGGCGGTCGAGCAGGAGACGACGATGCGCAAGAAGGGCAACCAGATCGGCAACATTGTGCACGAGAGCGTGCCCGTCAGCAACACCGAGGTGCGTCGCCGTGTTCCTGCCCTCCCCTCGGCCGCTCCGAGTCGCAGCCCTGACCCTCCTCCTCCTCCTGCTGCAGGACGACAACGAGGTCGTGCGGACGTTCTACCCGAAGGACGCCAACGGCGACTCGGCTCCGCCTGTCAAGGGCTCCGGCCTGACGATGAAGGAGGGCGTCATCTCGCACCACGAGGTCATGTACCGGCTCGGCATGCTCGAGATGGACCGCGGTGCGTCCCTCTCTCTCTCTCACTCTCCCTCTCTCACTCTCTCTCTCTCTCTCGAGAGACTCTCACTGACTCGTGAACCCGTCGACATCGACCTGCAGGCACCAAGGTCGCCGGCCACCGTGGCTACTACCTCGTCGGCGACGGCGTCGACCTCAACCAGGCGCTCATCACCTACGGCCTCGAGTTCCTGCGCGAGAAGGGTTACACCAAGATCCAGCCGCCGTTCTTCATGAACAAGAGCATGATGTCCAAGACGGCCCAGCTCGAGGAGTTTGACGAGGCGCTGTACAAGGTCCGTCGCGGCACGTCCTCCTTGCTCCTCCTCGAGCCTCCCAGCTCGAGCCGCGCATGAGGTGATGGTCGCACTCTGACTCTCTATCGTCCGCCACGCAGCTCGAGGGCGCCAACGAGGACCAGGAGAAGTACCTGATCGCGACGTCCGAGCAGCCCATCTCGGCCATGCACGCCGACGAGTGGTTCGACCAGCCCAACGAACAGCTCCCGATCAAGTACGCCGGCTACTCGACCTGCTTCCGCAAGGAGGCCGGCTCGTCCGGCCGTGACGTCCTCGGCGTCTTCCGGGTCCACCAGTTCGAGAAGGTCGAGCAGGTGCGTCCCTTCTCCCTGTCTCTTTCTCCTCTCGAACTCGATTCTCTCGCAGCCGACGTCGACAACTGACTCTCGACGTCTCTCTCTCTCCCGCAGTTCTGCATCACGGACCCGTCGTCGTCGTGGGAGATGTTTGACCAGATGATCGCGTCGTCCGAGGCGTTCTACCAGTCGCTCGGCCTGCCGTACCAGCTCATCGCCATCGTGTCGGGCGCGCTCAACAACGCGGCCGCCAAGAAGTACGACCTCGAGGCGTGGTTCCCGCACCAGGGCGAGTACAAGGAGCTCGTCTCGGTCAGCAACTGCACCGACTACCGTGCGTCGCCCGTCCTCTCCTCTCCTCTCCTTCCTTCGCAGGACCCCGCAATTGACCCGACGCCTCTCGCCTGCCCGACAGAGTCGCGCTCGCTCGAGATCCGCTGCGGCATCAAGAAGCAGGGCGAGGCCAAGAAGGTCTACGTCCACATGCTCAACGGCACCCTGTGCGCCACCGAGCGCGCGCTCTGCTGCCTCGTCGAGAACTACCAGACTGCCGAAGTGCGTCTGCGACGTCGTTTCCCAGTCCTTTGCTCGGCCTCGCCGGTCGAGCTGTCCCAAGGCGACCGCGCACTGACCTCGCCTCTCCGCTCTCGAAACCAGGGCGTCGTCATCCCGGAACCGATGCGCAAGTACATGGGCGGCCGCGAGTTCCTTCCTTACGTGCGGGACCTGCCCCCGAAGGTGGCCGAGAAGGCGTCGAAGAAGAAGCACTGAGCGACCGACGAGGGGTTGAAGGCCTGTACTCGAGATTTGGATAGACAGGGCGATGCTCGGCGCAACTCGCACTTTGCTCTCGAGATCCGCAGCACGCAAACGAGAGAGGGAGCGCAAACGATAGATGCAGCTAGAAGAGGAGGAAGTGCAAGTGGGAGAGAACGACTAAGAGAGAACGAGAGAGAAAGAGGAAGGAAGAGGGACCGTGCACCGCCCGCCTCGCTCAGCGGACCGAGATGCCCGTCTTGGACTTGCGGCCGATGCCGTCGTTCTCGTCGACGTCCTTGCCCGAGAGCATCCTGCCGGACGCGGCCCCCGCGCCGCCCTTGAGCGCGCTCTTGGGCAAGTCAAAGATCTTCCAGAACTTGAGGTCCTCGTCGCTGCTCGCGGTCGCGACCGTCGTGCCGTCCGGGCTCGTGCACGAGTGAAGGATGCGGGTGCGGTGCGCGTGCGGCACGTCGGCGACCTTTGTGAGGGACGGGTAGCTCCAGAGGGCGAGGTGGTGGTCGGGGACGCCGTGGGTCGAGAGGAGCTCCTTGGCGTGCGGGTTCCACGCGAGCGACGTCACCTGCGACGTCGTGACGAGGCTGTTGAGCCGCGCGCCCTGCGTCGTGTTCCAGAAGTGGATCGTGCGGTCCGACGACCCGCCGCCCGAGGCGAGCAGCGACGAGTTCCACGGGCACCACGCGAGGGCCTGCGAGGGAGCGGGGCAACGCGAGGGCTCGAGTCAGTGTCGTGCATGCTAGAGGAGATGCGAAGAAGGAAGAGAGGAGGAGGAGAGGCGCACCTTGACGGCGGCCGTGTGGTTCGTCTTGCTCATCTTGGGCGCGTGCGTCATGCGGCCGTCCCACACGTTGACGACGTTGTCGTTGCCGCCCGACGCGAGGAGCTGCAAGTACGAGAGTGTCAGTCCGGCTCGAGGACGTCGCAGGAGAGAGAGAACGAGAGAGGGACGCACGCCTTGACCTCCTCCAGAGAGCCCACCGACGATCTCGGGGCGCCACTCGAGGCCACACACCTCGCCGCGGTGGCCCTTCATCTGCGCGACGCAGTGCTGCGCGACGCGCACGTCCGAGTTCCAGATCTCGCCGCTCCTGCACCCGCTCGCGAGGACGGCGCCGGACCAGCTCAGGCTCGCGACGCGGCTCGGGTGCCCCGACATGGTGCGCACGAGCTGCCCGGCGCACACGTCGTACACCTGGATCGGGCCCGACGCGAGTCCGACGGCGAGGTGCGAGCCGTCCTCGGTGAACTTGACCGAGCAGATGTACTCGTCGCCCTCGGTGAGGGCGCTCGTGTCGGACGACGGGTTGGCGGCGCCGACGTGGCACAGCTCGGTGACGTCGCCCGTCGCCGCGTTCCACACGTAGACGCTCTCGGCGAGGCCGATCGCGAGCAGGTTGGTCGACGACCAGTCCATGAGGTTGAGGTAGTAGTCGTCGAGCATGCCGGGCGCGTCGAGGACGCGGTCGGGCTGGGTCGGGATGCGGCGACGCGAGGCGGCGTTGGCCGACGACGACGACGAGGCGGCCGACCCTTTGTTGGGCAGGCGGGCGTACTGGGCGAGGAGCGACGAGTGCTCGGTCTGCGGCATGGGCGGCTCGGCAAAGAACGACAGGATGCGCTGGTCCGAGTTGATGCCGAGCGACTTGGACAGGTCCGACGTGTGCTGCGCGTCCTCGGCGCTCTGGTGAGGACCGGCGGCGTCTGCGCCGGACGATGAAGAAGCGGCGGCGGTCGCCGGGAGGAGGATCGGACCCGTGTGGTCGCCGTTGCCAGACTGGCGCGACGGGATGTAGCGGTCGTACTGCGGGCGCCAAGGGGCAGTCAGTGCGGGTCCACGAGTGCAGAGAGAGAGAGTGGACGCACGTGTCGGCCCTTCTTGGTCGGGCTGCGCTTCGAGTCGCCGGCGAGTGACGACGGGTCCCAGTCGTTGCTGACGATGCCGCTGCGGCCAACGCCGCCGCCCGCGGCGAGGCCGGGCTTTGTCGGGCTCGAGCGCCTGCTCGGGGCGTCGAGGGTGCCGGTGAGGTTGCCCGTCAGGTCGTCGTCGGCGGTGTGCCGCGAGCGAGGTTCGCGGGCGGGCTTTGTCGGGCTCGTGCTGTGCTTCTTGCGGGTGGTGTGGGTGGTCGACACGGACGAGAAGATGGTCTTGGCCGAGGCGAGTGCGGGTGGGCGGGCGCTCTTGGGCGGTACAGGGCGAGAGGGCGAGCCGAGCGAGGTGTTGTTGAACGACGCGGTGAGGGTCGACAGAGGGGCGCGCGAGGGCGAGTCGAGGGGGCCGTTGCGGCCGAGGCTCTTGGTGGGAGAGCGTGGAGGCATGGTGTACTCGCGAGCGTGTGGGTGTGGGTGAGAGAGGGACGAGGTGAGGGGGGTTACCATTAAACTATATTCACCAGATTCGAGCTCGCGGCCTCCCCTGAGCCTGCGGCGACTTGGGGCCGATCGCTTTCATTTAACCTCTGTCTCGCCGCCCACCTGGCTCTCTCTCGAGAGCACACCGTCGACCCGCCTCTCCGCCGCCCTCCCTCGACAGCTCGCACTCTCTCGTCGCCGTGTGCCGCCCACCGCCATCGCAGCCCTCGCCTCGGCGCACCGCCTGAGCCTGCAGCGACCGCCCTCTCAGCGCCTGCCGCCGCCCGCCGCCTCGCTTCGCGGCCGGCAACTCGGATGACAACGTTGTCGTCGAGCCTCGCTCTCGAGGGCCACGCACTGCCGCAGCCTGTCGCTCAGCACGGTGCATCTACTGCGCTCGGCCGCCCTCTCGCACAGCCAGAACGAGGCGACGTCGAGCCCGATACCCGGACGGCACTCTGCCACGACCAGGTGCGTCCCTCTGGACACGCCAGACTCGTCGACAAGCCCTCACTAACTCACAAGGTCACACAGCCGACGACTCGACCCGTCCTGAACGACCTCGCCGACTCGCTCGCCTCGACCACCCTCACCGACTCTTCCCCGCCCCTTCCACCTCTCCCTCCGGCCTCGTCCTCGTACCCTCTCCTCCCTGACATCCCGGGCTCTTCAAGTGCACGAGCGTCCTCAAGCGCACCGCCCCACGCCGACGCCGAGGTCGAGGCGCTTGTCGACCCGCCCGAGCAGGCCGCTCGTTCCGGCGCGCGCAAGAGCTCGCTCACGCCGAGCGAGGAGGCCCTCATCCTCCCCGGCGTGCAGCCCAGCGCGACGTCGACGGCACGGCGCCGTCCCTCGGTCGACGCGCAGAGCGTCGCGAGCGGGACGTCGGGCAGGTCGGCTCAGTCGGGAGGACACAGTTTCGCGACCGCCAAGAACTACTTCCCGCTCGTCCAGAAGCGCTCGGCGGCGGGTCCTTCGACGACGAGCTCGGCGGCAACGACGACGGCGAGCGCGGCGACGGCCGACCCGTGGGGCGCGCCGGCGTCGCCTGGAGCCGCTCGGGCCTCTCCTGCCGGCTCGCCTGCGTCCGAGACGCCTCCTCCCATGCGGCAGGCCCGCAGGAGGCCGTCGGGCTCGTCGTCGCTCGCGTCGTCGACACGACCGGCGTCCGTCTTCCCGACCATCAAGCCGAGCCGCTCGGCGGGCTCGAGCGTCTTCCCGCTTCGCTCCCCTCCTTCATCCTCCTCGACAACCGCCGCCGCCCCCGCCGCCGACTCTCCCTCGGCCCGCAGCTCGGACGCAGGCTCTCTGCGTTCCGACTCTCTCGTCGGCGCACCCGCCTCGCCACCGCCCTCGCTCCTCGCCCGCCCAACACCCTCCCCAGCCCACAGCGGCACCTCGCCCTCGCTCTTCTCGCGCCCGTCCTCGTCCGTCTACACGCCCTCGCTCGCGCCCTCACGCCGCTCAACCGAGACGAGCAGCACGTCGCTCGGCCGCGGCGTGGCGCTCGCCAAGCCGTCGTACGCCAAGTCGCGCGCGCCGTCGCACGCCGAGGCGTTTTACGCGAGCGCGCCCGAGCCGCTCCCGGGCCCGCCGAGCATCTTTCTCAACCCGACACCGCAGCCGAGGTCGGTCAAGGAGCTGCTGCCCAACCCCAAGCGGCGCCTCTCGGCTTTCTTTGGCGGCGGCGGCGGCGGTGGGAGCAGCGGCAAGGCCCGAGCGCCGGGGGACGCAGCAGCAGCAGCCTCGTCGTCGTCGGGCCGCGCCAAGTCAGCCTCGATCCTCGACGCCGCGCTCGCCTCGTCGGCGACCTGGGCCGCCCACCGCGGCGAGCAGTGGCGCGCGCCGGCCCACTCGGCGGCGGCCTTCCCCTCGGGCGCGAGCGCGAGTGGGCCGCCGGTCGGGTACCGCCCGGCGCACCAGGTGCGGCGGCAGCAGGAGGAAGCGGCTGCGCGGCTTGCTGCGGCGAGGGCGAGCGAGGCAGCAGGTGCAGGAGCAGGAACGGGAGAGGGAGCGGCGAGCCCGGGTGGGCCAACGATGGGCGGCGGCGGCGAGGTGCCCGTCTCGGGCGAGGCCATCGCCGAGGCCTTCACGCGCAACCAGGGGCGCGGGGCGCTTGGGCCCAACGGCGCGAGAGCAGGAGAAGGAGCGGGAGAAGGAGCGGGAGGACGAGGAGGAGGAGCGGGGCTCGAGCGCACCCGGTCGGGCGCCAGCATGGCGTCCGTCGCAGGGATCGACGAGCCAGCTGGAAGGGCGTTCCCGGTGAGGAGGGAGGCGTTCCCGACGAGGGCGAGGCCGCAAGGAGGGGCGGCCGGCGCCGAGTGAGGGAGGGAGGAGGGCGCTCGAGGGGACGAGGTGACGGGTCGCGCGCTGTAGCTCGGCCTGTCCAGATAAGCGTTCCTCGAGCACGATCGACGAGAGCAGCGAGAGGCGACGAAGCGAGACAGACTGAGCAAGGCGACGAGAGCAGCTTCCTCTCGCAGTCTCGAGCTCTCGACTCTCGCTCTCGTTTTCGCCGTGCTCACGACGAAGGAAAGATGGCACAACGGTGGTCTATTGAGCAAGCCACGCCGGTAGGTCTGCCGACATGACGAAAGAGCGGGCGCGAGAGAACTACAATACGAGAGAAGGAGGAAAGGAGGAGGTGCGTGCGAGAGGTGGCGGGTGGCTCGGGCGGCGCCGAGGAGGGGCAAGGGGGGGAATATAGGGCAGGATGCGGCGCGCGTGAGTGGGTGCGAGCGAGGAGCGTCGTGACGAGGGAGGGGAGGGGGAAGGGAACGAGGCGAATCACTGCTGGTTGCACTGGACTTGCGGACCGGCGCCCTCGTCGTCCGTGTCCATCTGGTCGTCGTCGTACGCGCCGCCCTGGCCGTGGCCCGACTTGGTCCGCCGGTCGGCCGCGTCGACCATGTCGACCTCGTCGACGTGGACGTCCTTGCCGAACGTCGGGAGGACCGGGCGCGCGGGCAGGATGTGCTCGAGGGGCTCGAGCGCGGCCGGGTCGAGCGAGTCGGGGAACTTGACATTGATGTGGACGATGAGGTCGCCCATCTCGTGGTGGCGGTGCGACGGCATGCCCTGCTCCGGGATGACCTTGAGCGAGCCGGGCTTGATGACCTCGCCCGGGTGCACCGTCATCTTGATGGCGCGCTCGTCGAGGTGGCGCAGGACGAACGAGCCGCCGGCGAGCGCCGTCAAGAGGTCGATCTCGACCTCGGCAATGAGGTCGTCGCCCTTGCGCTTGAACGTGTCGTGCGGCTTCTCCTCGATGACGATGACGACGTCGCCCGGCTCGACCCCTGGCGACTGGTCGGCCTCGCCCGCAAACGTGATCGTCTGGCCCTCCTTCATGCCGCGGTCGATAAAGACCTCGAGCACCTTGCGCTCGTTGACGATCTTCTTGCCGTTGCAGTCCTTGCACCGATCCTTGGCGTTGATGATCTCGCCCTCGCCGTTGCAGTCGCCGCACGGCTGCTGGATCTGTTGCACCATGGGGCCGAGCTGGCGCAGGACAATCTTGACGCCCTGGCCGCGGCACGACTGGCACGTCTTGACGGCGCCCTCCTTGCCGCCCTTGCCCTTGCACTTGCCGCACAGGACGTGCTTCTGCAGCGCGAGCTTGGACGTCTTGCCCTTGTACAGGTCCTCGAGCGACACCTTGATGCGGTGCACGAGGTCCTTGCCCTTGCGCGGGCCCTGCGGGCGACCGCCGCGGCCGCCGCCGCCGAAGAAGCCGCCGCCGCCGCCAAACAGCTGCGAGAACAGGTCCTGCGAGCGTCCGAAGCGGGTCAGTACACGCTTCCCGCAGAGTCGTGCGAGAGAGAGAGAAAGAGGACGCACCTGCGGGTCCATGCCCATGCCGCCCGGCCCACCGCCCGAGAGACCCTCCTCGCCGTACTGGTCATAGAGCTGGCGCCTGCGAGGGGTGCGAGAGTCAGTGCCGGCTCGCTTCGAAAATCATCAGGAGGGACGCTGGCGCACTTCTCGCCGCTGTGAGGGAGAGAGGAGAGAGTCAGTATCCGTTCCGAACACGCTTCGACGAGGGAAGGCGGAAGGGGGGACGCACTCTGACAGGACCTCGTAAGCGTGCGACACTTCCTTGAACTTGTCGGCAGCGGCCGGCTCGGGGTTCTTGTCCGGGTGGAGCGACAAGGCGAGCTGTGGAGGGGGCGAGGGTTCGTCAGTCCGAAGTCCGAGCGAGTCGGCTCGAGGTCGTCGAGCCTAAGTCGGCCCCGCCGTCATTCCACATGTCGCCACCGCTAGACTGCAGCCACCGAGGTAGCTGCCGTGCAGCGGTACTCGAGAGAGAGGGCGAGAGGCGAGGCTCGGGGGGGAGAGGGAGAGAGAGAGAGCGCGAGTGCTCACCTTGCGGTAGGCCTTCTTGAGCTCGCTGTCGCTTGCGCCGGGCTGGACGCCGAGGAGGTCGTAGAGCTTCGTCTCGCGGACCATGGTCTGTGTGCAGGAGGTGGTCGAGGTGGGCGGATGAGAGATCGTGGCGCAGAGGGGGGAGGGGAGCGAGGGAGGGGCGACGGCGGGGCGGACGACGGGTGGCGGGTCAGTGATGAGCTGTCGAGAGTAGTGTGGGTCGGTACGGAGCTCACCTAAGCAGTGCGAGGGGAGGGTGAGGTGGACGAGCTGGCCTCACTCGTTCCGTCGCTTTCTCTCCGAGTCCGAGACCAGCTCGCCGCCGCCCCCCTCGGGACCGCGGACAAGGCTGCGACAATTCGTGCGACTGTACGAGCAGCAAGGTCCGGGTACTCGCACGAGTCCCTGTCGAGGAGTGGCTGTCGCCGCCGACGAGCGACCGGAGAGCTTGCCCCTGCTCTCTCACCACAGCCCCGCCCAGGCGCTCACGAGCCGCCATGTCACCTCTGTCGTCGCAGTACGTCGAGTCGGACGACGACTCGAGCCACTCGCCCGCCCCCAAGGCCACGTCGCGCTCGACAAAGGTGAGCACCGCCTCGCTCCTCTAACCTCCCCCTCCCTCCCTCGTGTGCAGCCTGTTCAGCGAGGCGCGAACTCGAGCCCTTCTCTTGGAGCTACACAGGAGCCACTGTGCAGTGCAGGCTCTCCACAGAACGCCGTCCTGACCTCGCTTCCCCCCTCCCCACCTCGCCCTCCCCTCTCTCCGCCTCGCCCGTCCACCCGCCCTCAGTCGCACAAGGCCAAGCACGCCGTCGAGTCCGACCCCGAGTCGTCCGAGGACAAGCCGCTCGCCAAAAAGCCCAAGCACGACTCGTCGTCCAAGCACAACACGAACAAGGACCGCAAGCCGCCGCGCCGCGACTACGCGGACTCGCCGCCGCCGCCCAAGCCCAAGACCAAGACCAAGGGCAAGGACAAGGACAAGGACAAGAAGCGCAAGCGCACCGACGACTCGCCTCCTCCCGTCGCCGCCGCGAGCAACAAGAAGGACAAGAAGCCCGTGCGCAAGGTCGGCGAGGCGAGGCGCGCGACGGGCGAGGTCCTGACCGACGACAAGGGCAACCCGTACGTCGACCTCGGCGCCAACAAGCGCGTCGTCGTGAGCGACTTCAAGGGCAAGACGCTCGTCCAGATCCGCGAGTACTACAACGACAACGGCGAGTGGAAGCCGGGCAAGAAGGTGAGCTCCTCCTTCTCTCCTCGAGCGCCGAGTCCTGCGCCCCTCTCGCCACCTGCGCCGTACGTCCAAGTCGACGTACAGCACAGAACTGACCCTCCCCTCGTTGGCGACACCCTGCAGGGCATCGCGCTCCCGGTCGACGCGTGGGACCGCCTCAAGAAGTCCGTCGCCGCCGTGCGTCCCTGCTTCCTCGACGAGCTCGCCCTCGCGCACTTACCCACTTGTCGCGCGTTGCAGATCGACTCGGCCATCGACGACCTCGTCGGCTGACGACCCTCGACTCGCTCTGGACTTCGCCTCGCCTCGCTTGCTCCCCTCCTTCCCCCCTCTCTCTCAGTGCCGTACATACCCCCTCGTCACCTCGTTCTGTCTACCTCCTCGTACCCATACCCCCTCGCAACCACCGTTCCAGCTCGCCGAGCGAGCTCTGCAATCGACTCTTTTCGCTTTCCTCGACCACCATGTTCTCGCGAGCGGACCCAGACACAGAGAGAGAGAGAGAGATCGTCATCGAGCGTCTATGATCTAGTTGCAAGCGAGCGAGTAGACGATCTACAGCACCCGCTGTAGCAGCGCGAGGCCCGCCAACCCTGCCGCCGCGACCGCCGCCGAACCGAGCGCCGCCGCCGCTCCCCCTCCCGCTCCTCCTCGCGCGCCCCTCACGGCCTCACTGACGCCCGACGCCTGCCCGCCAATCGCGCCAATGATGCCCGACGCGGCCGACACGGCGTTGCTCGCGCGCGTGTTGAGCCCGCCGTCAAAGATGCGGATACTCTGGATCTCGAAATACGCCTCGTCAAAGTTGCGCGGGTCCTTGACGTAGTCGCTGCAGAGCCCGGTACCGCACGCTGGGGAGAAGACGCCGGGTTGACCGGCCCCTGGAGGGAGGCGGGAACGAGAGAGAGGGTCAGTGCGGGCGCGGTTTGGGAAGGTCGACGAGGAGGAGAACGAGAGGACGTACAGTCGCCGCACAGGGCAATGTTGATCGTGAGCTGCTGGGGCGCAAAGTACTGGTTGATGCTGCACGTCGACGACGGGTAGTAGGCCATCGGGCGGCCCCAAGTCGTCGGGTCGGGCGACGAGCCCGACAGGTCGGCGGGAATGTCGGCACGCTGCGGCGGTGGGACCAGCTCGAGGTCAGTCCGGCGCAGAGAGAAGATAGAGAGAGAAAGAGAGAGAGGGACGCACAGCAAAGAACCAGACCGAGATGCCGTCGCTCGCGAGCTCTGCCGCGTAGACGCCGCCGCCGCCCGCCGCAAAGTCGGCGCCGTAGCTCGAGTTGCGCGGGTCGACGTACGTGCAGCCCTTGTTCGCCTCGACGCCGTGGTCGCAGTTGTTGAACGTGAGTTCGCCCGTCGGGACCGACGTGTTGTCGGCGTAGCAGCCCGTCACCGTGTGCATCGCCACCTGGTTCGTCGACTGGAGGTTGACGCCCTCGAAGAAGTCGACCTCGCCGCCGCTCGGCCAGCTGACGGCGTGCGACCAGAAGGCGGGCCAGGTCGCGCACTGCAGGAAGGAGAGCCGGGTCAGGATGCGGCTTGAGGGAAAGAGGGGGGACGAGCGAGGGGACTCACGCCGTAAGGAAGATGCAGCGCGTCCATGACGATGAGGCGCCCGAGGTCGAACGTGCGCTCAGTCGTGATGCGGACCGAGTTGCGCAGGCCGTTGGGCGCGATCGCGCTGCTGTTGTCGACCCGGATGACGGCGTTCCCTGCCGAGTTGGTGAACGCGACGCTCGCCGAGTTGCTCTCGGGGACGTAGTACGTGTTGCCTGTAGGTCCAGGGTCGTCGAGCGCAAGTCAGCCCGTCGTCCTCATCGAGAGGGGAGAGAGAGAAGAGGGCGCACCGTTCGTGAGGTTGTCGTTGTTGCCCCAGAAGCTCCACCCGTCGTAGAAGCTGTCGCCGGCGTACGTGTGCTCGAGCGAGTAGGCGGCATCGACTGCGGCGGGCGCGAGGGCGAGAGCCGAGAGCGAGAGCGAGGTGCGCCAGCGCATGTTGAGGGAGGACGAGGAGGCGAGTCGGCCGAGTCGAGGGGTGCGGGTCCTGGCGGTGCTGCTGCGGGTGCGTGCGAGGCTAGCCAGCTAGCTGGGCGTGCAGGGCAGAGCTCGGAGCGGGCGTAGGTGGGAGGAGGGAGGGAGGGAGGGAGCTTGAGCTGCAGCCTCGCTGCGGCCGCGGCGCAATGCGGGCGCCCGACTCGCCGCGCTCGCAGGCCAGGCGGTCGGTCGGGGCGGGCTGGCTCGAGCAGAATCGCTCGAGGAGAATCTAACTCAACAGGGCAGGCCATCTGCGATCGAACGCAGTGAGCAGGGACCGCAGAAGGAGATGGCGAGCCGTCGACCGAGAGCAGAAACCGGGGCCGAAGGGGTCGACGACCTGCTGCCCGACGGCATTGCGCCCGCTTCCGGACGAGCTCGGTCACTCGGACACGATCGAGAATGCGAACCGGCCGAACTCTCCCAGCGCGGAGAGGGCGAGCGTCAACTTGCGAAGGTTGCGGCGAACGCTTCCTCGCCCGGAGCGCTCGCTCCACGCCGCATGGTCCTTCCTGGAGCTCTTGCCACCTCCGCATCGAAGCGGAGAAGGAGAAGGCGAAGGAGGAATTCGAGGAAAGCGAGCCGCGGGTCTTCGAGAAGAACGAGGAGGGAGGACGACGAGGGACGGGCTCGAGCGCAGCTCTCGCTGACGGGCACTCGCAGGAGACGAGGAGAACGGGCCCTTTTCATGTACATCTATGTGTCTAATGCATGCGTGCGACAACCTGAGAGAAACCTAGACGAGGGGACAACGGGGAAGGGATGGACGAGGAGAAGTTGCTTCGAGGGCCCGCCTCGAGAGAACGACGGCGACTAGTTGAGCGCCGCGCACGACTCGCCTCGAGGCACCATCTGGTACATCTTGACCGACTCGATTTCGAGGCCGCGCTGGCGGATCTTGTCGCCGCTCGGCCACGTCGGCCACCAGATGGGGAGGTACTCGAGGAACCGCGACATGGCCTGCGGGCGGTCGTCGCTGTTGCGCCACGGCTTGTTCGGGAGGTTGTCGCTCCAGTAGCCGTCGGTGCCGCCGGCGAGGAGCGCGATCCGCAGGTAGAACTCCTGGTCGAACGGCGCGATGTGCTGGTTCTCGGCGCCGGCCCAAGGGTTGCTGATGATGGTGCCGTTGCCGTACGAGTAGCCGAACTTGCCTGCACGAGGGAGAATACAGGTCAGTAGGCTGTCGTGACCTGACCGGCAGCGAGTCGGAGCGAGGAGGAGGGGACGGGAGACGAGGACGCACCGAGGTCCCAGAACGTCCTGCCGCCAAAGCCGTAGCGGAACATGATGCGCACGCGCGAGTTGATCCACATCGTCGCGCTGTTGGGCGTCCAGTCGAGGCCAAACTCGTCTGTGGGCGCAAGAGGTCGGGTGAGTCGCGCTCGCGAGGGGACAAGGGGGACGAGGACGGACAGGTGCGCTGGTTGAAGAAGTTGCGGTAAACCTTGTACAGGCCCTGGGTGAGGTAGAAGCGGTCGAACGACGGCGAGTCGGCTGTAGAGGTGCAGGGCAAGGTTAGTCTCGGGCCTGGTCGAAGAAGGCGCCCCCTCGAGAAGGGGGAAGAGAGAGAGAGGACGGACCAGGGCCCCAGTGCAGGCCGGTGACGGCCTCGTTGTTGAGCTGGTCGAGGCGGTGCTGGGCCTTGTTGCCTCGCGACTCGAACAGCGTCATCAGGCCCGACGCCGGGTACCGACCGTACTCCTCGGTGAGCGGCACGAGCGAGATCTGCGGCCACAGCCAGTCGCTGCGGCGAGGGAGAGGCTCGTCAGTCTCGGGTGGCGCAGAAGGACCGAGGGCGGACGTGGGTGAGAAGGGAAAGAGGCGGGAGGAGAAGGAGGAGGTCCGAGGGTCGGGCGAAAGAGCGAAAAGGGGGGACGCACCCAGTCGGCATGCGGGCCCGGATCGTCACACGGCCGTAGTTGATCGAGACCTTGTTGCGAGTCGAGATCATGGCGCTCTGGATGGGCGGGATGACGAGCGTCTGGTTCATCTCCGTGTCGGCGACGATCTGGCAGTCCGACTGGTGCAGCGAGTCGCACGCGCTGCCGAGCTGCATGAACGTGCTGTTCAAGACGCTGTAGGTGTGTCGACGAGGTCAGTACGCGAGGAGGGAGGCCCGAGAGACGAGGGCAAGAGAAAGTGGGGCGCACGCATAGTCCTCCGGGATCATCGTCTCGTTGGTCAGGGTCGGGACGATGAAGAGGCTGCCGTCGGCGACGTAGTGGTTGTGGCCCGTGAAGAAGGTAAAGTCGTTCGACTCGCCGCCGCCGATGCGCTCCTCGACTTTCCACTTGGTCATGTCGAGCGAGTCGCCGGTAAAGTCGTCGTCGAGCACGGGGCAGTAGTCGTAATGGTCGACCTTGAGGCACGCCGCAATGATCACGTACGCGCCGAGACCGAAGCCGACCGTGATGCCGAACAGCGTCGTAAAGTAGCTCTTCTTGTCGCGCGAGATCGTCTTGCGGCCCTTCATCCACGGCTTGTACTGCGGCAAGGGGGGCGACAGGGTTAGCTCGCGGACTCGAAGATGCTCGAGAGAGAGAGTGGGAGAGAGTGGGACGCACGTTGCCTGCGTCGCGGTCAAAGAGCTGGCTGCGCATGGGCGCCTTGAACCGCTTGCGGGCCGGGACGCCCTGCGGGTGCGCCTCGTAGATCTCGGTCGCGCTCGACAGGCTCGAGGCACTCGGCGCTTGGTGGTACGTGAGCGCGGGTGCCGACTGCGCGACCTGGTCGGCCCATGTCGACGCTGGTCGGTCGTCGGCGGGAAGCTCCTTGATCGAGTCGGCGCTGGTGGTCGAGGTCGTCGAGACGTTGCGCGTGTGGCCGAACGACGTGCGCAGGTCAAAGGTGGCCGCCGTAGGTGCAGGCAGAGCGTGGGACTGCAGGCACCGAAAGGGAGAGAGAGAGGTGAGGTGAGTGGTGAGATCTCGTCTCGGCACCGCGGCCGCCCGGCGGCGGCGGCGCTGAATGTTCGGGTGGTTAAGTGACAGGGAGAGAGAGAGAGAGAGGGGCGCACCTTGTCTGCGCTCATGGCCGGGAGCGAGCTGGTCGTCGGGTGGTGGTGCGGAGCGAAGGAGCGAACGACTCGGACGAGCTGCTGGCGGAGACGGGCCCCGATCCTCCGCACCTCGTCCTCGCGGCGAGGTGTCCGCCTGGCGAGCGCAGGCGGCCGGCGGCGTGCGCGCCAGCCCTCCCAGCTTGGTGCGAAGGGGTCGAGAAACGCAACTCGGTTGCCTGATCGAGGGCCGAGCGATAGAGCTTTGACGGATCGCATGCATCTGGCCCAACGAGGCAACCGGTCGAAGCACGCCGGGGTCCACGTGGCCGACCGAGCTTCACCAGAGCCGGTCGCTGCCCTCCTCCCTCCTCCTCGCCGACGCCAGCCAGTTCCTCGCTGCCACCGGCTCGACGCTGGCAAACTCTAGCGGCCGAGTTGCCCTCCGGATCTGCATCCGGCCCTGGCTCCCTCGCCCGCCATTCGCACGCACCGCTCGCGCGTGGCACAAGCTCGGTCGCCAGTGCCCACCCGTCCACCTCCTCGTGCTCCTCGACTGCGCTTCTCGGGCGCGGCGTTCGCAGCCGACTCGGCGCACGCCGCCCCGAGCGATCGAGCGCGACCCAGAAGGGCGCGGCGGCCGTCCCAAAACGAGGAGGAGGGTTGAGCGAACGAGGGCGAGGAGACGGCGGCGGCGGCGCCAGGTGGAATCGCTCTTCAGCAGCCCCCCTCGGGCTCGGCTTTTCTCTTCTTGCTCGTGCTCTTCACTCTTCGACGTTCGCCTCCCGTCGCCGTCGAGCCAGCCCCGCCGCCATGGAGACGCCCCTGTCCCCCTCGCCTGTTCGCCCTCGTCCTTTCTCGTCCTTCTCCGTCGCCGGCTCGTCTCGTCGCACCTCGTATGCTGGCAGCACGGCCCCTATCCGCTCGATGCGCGCCCCCTCGATGGTGGTGAGCGAGCTCGGCGCAGGTGCGTCGTCCTCTCTTTCACCTCCTCGCCTCGCCGCGCACCGTTCCCTGACGCCGCCCTCTCCTCTTCTCGCAGACTTGGTGGCCGCCGCCTACGCGCACAAGAAGCAGTTCCTCATGGCGGAGCACATCTAGTTAGTCCTCGATCGTTTCCGCTCTCTCGCGCGCGCCGAGTCGCACGATCTCGTCGATTGACCCTTGCGCGCCCTCTCCTTCGCAGCCGTCGTTGCGAGGCCGCAGGCTGGTTCCCCGACGTCGACTTTGGCAACCTCGTCGCCGTGCGCACGTCGGTCGGCGCCAACGGCACCTCGTCGTTCGCGTCGTACCCGGCCGTCCACGAGGTCGACGGCGCCGACGTCCTCCTCAAGGGCCTCGCCTGCATCAACGCCGAGGCCGCCGTCATCGTCTCGTCGCACGTCGTGCGCAGCATCGTGTCCCAGCTGTGCGTCGGCCTGTCCTCTCTCGTCGTCCTGCACCGGCGCTCGAGCCTCGGCGAGCCTCCCTGACGACTCGGTACTGACGACCTCGCGATCACGACACAGGGACGACGACCAGGAGCGCGTCACGCTCAACGAGGACGTCGCGATCCAGGTTCTCGACACGCTCGAGGACTTGAGCGGCGCCAAGCGGCACCGTGCGTCCACCTTCCGGCTCGGGACCTTCTCAAATTTCCGCGACGCTGACTATCGCCGCCCTCGTATCGCAGAGTACGCCGCCTACATCCGCTCCAACTCGGCGCTCGTCCTGTGGACCGATGACGTGTCGAGCCTGGTCCCGCACGCGCAGAAGGCGAGTCCGCCCTCTTCCTCTCTCTCGCGGACCTTTGACCGCCGAGGCCACCCACTAACGCTCGTCTTTCTTTCACCCTCGTACAGCTTAGCGACCTCATGCTCGAGTACATCTGGCGGGCCCAGGACTTGGACGAGGAGGAGCAGGAGGACGAGGTCGTCAAGCCTGTCGAGGACGCCGCCGTCGCCGACCTCGAAGGTGCGGCGCCGGCCGAGTACAAGCGCCGGTCTGTCGGGCTCCTGTCGCCGCTGCACGTCGGTCTCGCGCTCGGCATCAACATCTTCGTCAACCTCCTCACGCTCAAGACCCTCATCGTCGAGTACCTGACGGACGGCTACTACCCTCGCCTCTTCATCGCCATCGCCATCCCGTTCCAGTTTTGCGTCTCGCAGTTCTTCTGCGTCGTCGTCGTCGCCATCATCCTTCAGCTCCTCGGCCCGGTCAAGCAGATGCACGAGAACAACCGGTACTACTCGGGCGTTCGTCCCGTCCGCATGCGTGGCCCGCTCCCCGACTTTGTGCGTCGCGCCGCTCCCTCCCTCCCTTCTTCCCTCTCGAGGACCGAAACTCTCGAGGACCGAGACTGACTGCGCTGCCCTTCCTCCCTCTCGCCCTCTCGCCCAGACTATCCTCATGCCCGTCTACAAGGAGGGCCTCGAGTCCGTCCTGCAGCCGACTATCCGCTCGCTCCAGGAGGCGATCAAGACGTACGAGCTGCAGGGCGGCTCGGTCAACATCCTCGTCTGCGACGACGGCATGCAGCTCCTCAACGACCGCGACTACGCCACGCGCAAGGCCTTCTACGACGCCAACTCGATCGGGTTCGTCGCTCGTCCCGGTCACGGCAAGCACTACCACCGCGCCGGTCGCTTCAAGAAGTCGTCGAACGTGAGTCGGCGCTTCTCCTCGAACTTGAGAAGGTCCCTCTCGAGAGCCAGCCTGACGTCCTCTTCTCGCAGCTCAACGTCGCCCTCGAGCTCTCGATCCGGATCGAGACGCTCATGCGCGAGAAGAAGCCCGTGCGAGGCCCCGACGAGGCGCCCTGGACCGCCGACGAGGACCAGCAGCTGTACACCGTCTGCCTGGAGCAGGCGCTCGCCGAGACGCAGCGCGTCATCCAGCTCGATGCCGATGACGACCTTGAGAAGTCGGACGAGAAGCCCAAGACCAAGACGCTAGGCGTGTGGGCGGCGGGCAACGTCCGCATCGGCGAGCTCATCCTCATCATCGACTCGGACACTCGCGTGCCCGTCGACTGCTTCCTCGACGCGGCGTCCGAGATGCACTGGTCGCCCGAGTGCTCCATCATCCAGCACGTGTCCGGTGTCGTACGTCCTCGCTCTCTTCCTCCCCCTCGTCGTCCTTGTCCTCGCACGGTCACTGATCCCTTTCTTCCTCCCTCTCTCCCTCGCCTCGCTTCCTCTCCTCCCCTCCTCCTCGCTCCTAGATGATCGTCGCCAACAACTTCTTCGAGAACGGCATCGCCTTCTTCACCCGCCTCGTCAACACGTCCATCTCGTGGGTCGTCGCCAACGGCGACGTCGGCTGCTTCGTCGGGCACAACGCCTTTATCCGGTGGAGCGCCCTTCAGGAGATCGCTCAGCAGCAGCCTGACGGTCGCTGGCAGATCTGGTCCGAGAGGTGCGTCGACCTTGTCCTCCTTGTTCCCTTTTCCCCTTGCGCAAGGTCCTCCTCGTGCACTTCGTCGCCCATCCTCTCAGCAGCCTCACTGACTCACTCTCTCCCTCTCTCACAGCCACGTGTCGGAGGACTTTGACTGCGCCCTGAGGATGCTCGTGGCTGGGTGCGTCCTCGCCCTCGTCCTCTCTCCTCGCCCTCGCGAGGACCCGCCACTGACGTCGACCCTCGCAGCTACGACGTTCGCTGGGCGACCTACTCGGAGGGAGCGTTCGAGGAGGGTGTCTCGCTCACGTGCGACGACGAGATCAACCGTTGGCAGAAGTGCGTCGTCCTCTTCCTCTCGCTCTCGATCTTCCCGAACTGACCGCCTCCTCCCCTGCGCAGGTACGCGTTCGGCGTGTCCGAGCTCCTCTTCCACCCGATCCGGTACTGGCCGACGCGCGGCATCCTCACGCCCATGGCCAAGCACTTCTTCTGGCAGTCGAACCTCCCGCTCCACTACAAGTGCGTCCTCCTCCTGCCTCGTCCTCTCCTCAAACCTCGTCACTGACACTCGGCCACGCTCGCAGGTTCTCTTCGTTCGCCTACATGATGTCCTACGTGCGTCAAGCGTGCCCCTCTCCCGACCATCCTCGCCCGCGACTGACTTCTTCTCGTCACTCACGCAGTACGGCATCTCGGTCGCGTTCCCGCTCTCGATCGCCGGCTACATCCTGTACGGTCTCTTCATTCCGAGCCTCGACAATGCCTACATGCCGTCGTGGAAGGTCACCGTGCGTCCGAGCGCTCCTCCTTTTCGACTTTCCCAAGTCGACCTCGAGAACTGACTTTCTCGTCCTCCTTCCTCCTCTCCTTCCCTTCCCCCTGCGCCGTCGTGTCCATCACTCGGTCACCTGCATGCCCGGACCTCGTCGACCTCGCCAATCGTCTCTGCTCCACGCCTTCGACGCCGCCGCTTCCAGGTCGCCCTTTTCGTCGTCTTCGGCTGCGCCTCGGCATTCGCCTTTGCCGTCCTGCGCTTCCGATCGGGCCAATGTGGCCTGCACACTGCGCTCTGGGACCAGATCAAGTGGACGGTGCGTCGGCTCGCTCCCGACGTCGAGGCTCCTCCCGTCGTTCCGACCGTCGAGCCTTCTTGTACTGACACACTTTCTCTTTACCTCATGCAGCCCCTGAATTCGGTGTTTTTCGCCGGCCTATCCCTACACGTCCTGTACGTACCCAAACCCGAAGCCGCAGCCTCTCGAGGAACTCGATCTGACCATCCCGCCCGTCCTCGTCCCTCCTCACAACAGTCTCGCCCTTCTTGCCCACCCGGTCGGCTACGACATGACGTGGTCGTCGACCGTCAAAGAGGCGCAGGACTCGACCGTGTTCGCCGAGCTGCCCGCCATCTTCAAGCGGTTCCGGGTCGTGTTCATCACGTGCACGCTCTGCATCGCCATGATCCTCACGTTCCGCTTCATCCCTCTCATGGAGTGGGGTGCGTCCGCCTTTCTCTGTCTCTCTTGAGCGACGCCAGGACGAAGATTGACCCTCTTACGTCCACAGCCATCATCGACTGGGTCTCGATCGTCCCGCTTGCACTGGTTGTCGGCGCGCACATCCTGTACCCTTTCGTCCTCAAGTGCGCCCACCTCCTCCTCTCCCTTCTCGTGAACCTGGACCTCAACCTGACCGTCGCCCCACCTCTGCCCGCAGCCCGACCATCATGTCGCTCCGCTTCTAGACGCGCCAGCCGCCTCTTTCTCCCCGCCCCAGGAGGGCTCCCCCTCTCTTCCCCCATCTCGAAACGCGTTCGACACGCACCCACATACAAGCCCGCTGCGCGGTCAGCTTAGAGCGCAGGCGCCGGAGCGATAGACGAGGTTGGGGGCGCAGAGCTGGTGCTCGTGCACAAGGAGCGAGGGGGAGAGGGACGTCCAGGCGACTGTCGGGTTTTCTCGTACTTGGCTCTCTCAGGAATGTACATAGTCACCTTTTGCCGTGTGTGCGCGTCGGCGTGGGAGCTCGAAAGCGGCGTCTGGCGCGCTGAGAGCAGGTTCTCGTTCTCAGCGCTCTACGCTCAGGCCTCGTGTTTCGCTCGCTCGCTCTCGCTCCTCGTTGCGTCGGTACCTCTCGCTCTCAGCTCTGACCGAAAGGCGAGATGCAGCTCGAGCGACGTTGCACCCGTTGGGCCCCCCTCCCCCTGGGCCCCCCCCCCCCCCCCCCCCACCCTTCTCTCCCACTCCCTCCCGCTCGCCCGCTCGCCCGCCTGCTCCTCCCACCCCCAGCGCACACCCCCTCGAGACAGCCCGGGACAGCTCACTCAGTGACGGCGCCGACGCTCGCGACGGGCGGGAAGCCGGCGTGCGGGCCCTTTTGCAGGACGAGGAGCGCCTTGCTGTGGAGGATGTAGGCTTTGAGGTAGCCCTGCGTGTCGGTGGGTGGACGGGCGAGAGGGAGGGGAGGGAAAGAGGGAGGGAGAGAGGATGGGAAGGGGCAGGGTCAGGGTTGTGCGACGCGAATGTGGGGGGAAGAGAGGGTGGGAGGAGAGAGGGGGGGCGACGCACCTGCTCCATGAGCGACACGCACATGCTCTCGACGTCGTCCAAGTCGAGGTCGCTCTCTCCTGCCGCCCCGCCATCGCTGTCGGGCGGCATGGCGACGCGCGCGGCGGCGAGGAGCGCCGAGAGGGCGAGTGTCGGCGGGCCGGTGGGCGGGACGGGGCGGCCGTTGGTCGTGATCAGGAGGCTGTCCGGGGGCGAGAAGGTGAGCTCGGGGCTCGGAAGGGCAGGGCGGGGAGGCGAGGGAGAGGGACAAGGAAAAGTTGGGCGAGGGAGGGAGGGCGACGCACACTCTCCTCGCGAGGTTGCGCCAGCACAACGTCTCGAGCTTTTCGCGCAAGAGGAGGTAGTTGCCGCACTTGAGGTGGAACGCCTGGTGCGCGTCGAGCTCGGCGACGACGCCGCGCAGGTTGCCGTGCTGCCCATGGGGGAGGGGGGTCAGTGCGCCGCGTGGACGAGCGTGGGAGGGAGCGAGAGAGGGAAGGGGGCGCACCTTGAGGGCGGGGAGGAGCGCAGAGTAGGGCGCGGCGAGGTTAAAGTGCGAGAGGAGGGCGAGGGAAGGGAAGAAGCCGAGCGGGAGGGACGCCGCGACGAGGTAGGTCAAGATGAGGCTGCACGCGAGCGAGCTCGAGTCAGTGACACTCGGCCGCACCGAAAAGAGAGAGAGAGGGCACGAGACGCACCGGCCGTTCCTCCAGCTCGCCGCGCTGCACAGCGCAAACGCCCTCCTCAGGTCGTTCCTCGCCTGGGGCAGCCGCCTCTGGTACAGCGCGATCCTGCCGCGGTAGTACAAGAAGGCGCAGCGGTCGCCCCTCGGCACCGTGTCGAGTCTCGCGAGGGCCGCGTTCTGCGTGTTGTTGAGGACCGTGTCGCACAGGCGCAGGTTGGACAGGGCAAAGTAGACGCGGAAGGTCGAGTTGGCGAGGAAGAAGAGGGCGTCGCGCTTCGAGGGCGAGTCGGGCGAGCTGTGGCAGAGGTAGGGAGGAGCGGTGAGTGGCTGTGCTTGAGCGAGCGAGAGAGGGAGGACCGAGAGAGAGAGAGAGAGAGAGGGAGCGAGCGAGCGAGACGGACCGGTCGTTGGCGGCCACGCCCATGGGCCGCCCGAGCATGCGCGCCGCCTCACCCGCGCGCGTCAGCTTGACGTCGCCCGTTGCTCTTCCGACCTGTGAGCCGTCGAGGAGAGGTCAGGAACCTGGGCGAGGATCGCGCAGAAGAGAGTGGGAGCGTACGGCGAGGGCGACGTCGACGAGGCGGCGGGCGTACTTGCGCAGGGTCGGGACGAACCAGGCCGTGTCGCCCTGGGCAAAGAGACGATCTGCCGTTCTGCAACGGGCCTTCATCGGTCAGGGACGGCGCAGGTTGCGGGAGAGAGAGAGAGAGAGAGAGAGGGAAGGAGGGCGCACTTGAAGCAGTCCTCGAGGAGGGAGTACTGTCGGTCGAGGGCGGCGGGCTCGTTGCCGAGGGGAGCATCGCGCGTGTACAGGAGGAAGGCGGCGACAAAGTCGGCGAGCGGGCGCGAGTCGGCAAAGGTGGAGCGCGCGAGGGTCGAGTAGGTCGCGGGTCGCAGGTTGGGGTTGCTCTGTTTTGGTGGGCGGGGTCAGTCTACTCCTGGGCGTGACAGGGCGTGGCTGTGCGAGCGTGTGCGGACCTGGAGTGCGTTGCGGAGGTGTTGCGAGCTGGGTGAAGTGGGGTCCGGGTCGACGAGGGCGGCAAACTGAGCCGGGTCGCGGTGTTGATGGCGGTGCTTGAGCTGGTCGAGCCAAGAGTCTAGCATGGCACAGCACTTGTGCAGCACGAGCCTGGTGCTGTTTGAGGAGAGCGACAGTGCCTCAACCTGCTCTCCGCCCGGATCGCCTCATCTCCCTTGTTCTCCTCCACCACTACCGTACCGGCTGCTGCGTGTGGCTGCTATTGCGACTCGCGTGGCCATGCTCTCGGCAGCGACGCACCGCTTCTCGCGCGCGTCGTCCCTCACCTCGTCGTCGTCGTCGCCGCCCTCGCCCTCGCCGACGACGGCCACGACCAAGCAGGAACGGCGCCTGTCGCGCATCTCGCCGTCCGAGTTTGACTCGATCCTCGACTCGGGCAGCACCGTCAAGCTCGCCTCGGCCGCCCCGCCTGCTCCACCCTCGCCCGACCTCGACCCGCACCTCGACTCGCCGCCCGCATCGCCGCCCGCGAGCCCACAACCCTCGAGCAGCGTCGCACTGCCACCAGGCTTGAGCCCCGACCCGCGCCGCTCGGTCCGCCGCGCAAAGAGCACCCTCGGCAGCGTCGCCGAGGCAGCGCCCTCGTCCTCGCCGCCCCCGCGACGCCGCACCACCCGCGACAGCCCCGCCGCCGCCCTCGAGTCGTCGAACGCCTTTGCCACCTCGTCGTCTTCCCCGAGTCGGCCTGAACGCGGCGCGAGCCTCACGCACCGCGCCGACTCGTCCTCGAGCCGCCCGACCTCGTCGTCCGGCCGCGACGCCCTCCCGCCCACCTTCCCCTCGTCCATCGTCGTCCCCGCGCGCGCCACGCCTCGCGCCACGACCCGCACGACCGACGCCGACGTCGAGGTGCGCCCGCTCTCGAGCTCGACCATCTCGACCGGCTCGTTCGTGCACGTGCCGTTCCCGCCCGGCGCGCCTGTCGAGCATAGCGCGACGACGAGCAGGGGCAGCAGCGGCGCCAGGGGGGTCTCCGCGGCGGCTTTTGCGGCGGGTGGGTTCGAGTTTGGGACGGTGCGCAGGAGGGCCCAGTCGGGCGATGGGTCGGCAGCGGCAGGTGGGGAGGGAAAGGTGCGCCCATACGCCCTCTCTCTCTTTCCTCGACGTCGGTCTCGCGGTACTGACTTGATCGCGCACACGGTAGATGTCGCTTGCGGGCACGATGCGCAAGACGAGCCGGTTCTTCCGCAAGCTCGGCGGCGGTGGCGGCGGCAACACTTCATCGGCGTCCCCCTCGAGAGTGAGTGCTCCTCTCGCCCCTCGCTCAACCCTCCCCAAGACCCTCGACTGACACCCTGTCGCCTACAGACGAGCAGCACGGCTCCCTCGACGCCCTTCAGCGACACGTTCCGCACCCCGCTCGCGCCTCCCCTCCCCTCGCTGTCCAACTCGCGCACCACCACCTCGACCCCTCCCGCCTCGCTCACCTCGCCCTCGTCGACCTCGCTCCGCTCCACCCCCGGCCCGAGCACCGCCCGCGGCTCGCCCGCGCCGCGCAGCCCTCGCGTCAACCGCAGGGACCTGCCGCGCCTCCCGCCGCCCACCGACATGCCGCCCTCGCCCGACCCGCAGCGCGACGACGCCCCGTCGGCGTCGCCCGAGCTCGGCATTGCGCTGCCTCTCACGCGCGACGCGTCGCACGGCTCGGGCTTGTCGGGCCGCTCGGCGGCGGCGGGGTCGGGGTCGGGGCGCGCGGCGAGACGCCGCAGCGCGAGCTTGGGGTCGGTCGTGCGGCAGGGGGCGGCGGGGGCGCCTGACGGCGAGGTCGAGGGCGGGGGAGAGGGTCAGGGCGAGATGATGGGCGACGCAGGGCGCGCGAGGACGCGCACGGAGGAGGACGACCGGCTCCGGCGCGAGTTGAGGAGGTGGCGCCTTGGCGGGGACGGCGTGCTCGGCACGGCGGCGGGGGCAGCAGACCGGGAGGAGGAGGAGGAGGAGGAGGAGGGACTCTCACGCCGAGCTCGAGCCTCGGCGCCGTGAGCTCGCGCACGGCGAACAGGTCGAGCCCGCAGCTCGTTCGAGACGAGCGGGCGGGCCAGGAGGACGGGCTCGGCCCGCCCAAGCCGGCGCTCGAGGTGCGGCGAGCGTCGGTCCCGGCGCTCGGGGCCGTCGTCAGTACTACGGCGACGACGAGCAGGGCGGGGGCCATGAGCCTGCCGACCATCCCGTCCTTGTCGCCCTTTGCCGCCTTTGCGCCCTCGCTTGCCTCCTCCTCCCCGAGCGCCGACGCTCCGCCTTCACCCTCCCCTCTCCCGACCATCACCAACACCTCGTCCTCACCGTCGCCCGCGCACTCGCCCCCGTCGACGCCTGAGATCCGCCTCACGCCCTCGTCCCGCAACGGCTCCGTCTCGTCGGCCGTCACGATCGGCCCGAGCCCGGGCACGGCGAGGGGGTCGGTCTCGTCGACGTCGACGTCGACGTCGACGGCCGAGGGCGGTGTGCAGCAGCCTGTCGGGCTCGGGCTGGGGACTATCGTCGAGACGGCGCCAGCGGTCGAGCCGGCCGTCGCGCTCGCTGTCGTGTCGTCGTCGCCTGTCACCAAGGACGACGGCATCGACGACCGCGGCGGCGTCAAGCCGCTCCCGCCATCCCCTCGCACCAAGTCGCCGCCGCCGCCTGCCGCTGTCGAGGTCGAGCCCGAGCCCGCCACCGGAACCACGCCCGTCCTCGCCGGCCCACCGGCACTCGCCGCTCCGGCACTCGCGCCCGCACCACCCGCCGGGCGCCTCAACTCGTCGTCGTCGTTCGCGTCGCTCGTCGCGGCCCGAGCGGCAGCGTCGTCACCGCCGTCGCGCACGGGCGCGACCCTGACGCCGGCGAGGAGGACCAAGGCGGCCGTGCAGGCTAACGAACTAAACCCTCATGGCTAACGTACTAAGCTCTCATGGCTAACGTACTAAGCTCTCATGTTTCACGTACTAAGCTCTCATGTTTGAACAATAAAATTAATATAAATCAGCAACTTAAATAGCCTCTAAGGTTTTAAGTTTTATAAGAAAAAAAACTGCGTCAGGGAGATGAGCGACGAGTCACTGACGGGCTCGATCCCGCGCAGGAGCCGGGTCAACGCGGCGACGCTGCGGCTGTACATGGACAAGTTCGACTTTGCCGGCCTCTCGCTCGATGCGGCGTTCCGGTGCGTCTCTTGGTTCCTCTCCTCTCGCGTCCTCGAAACAGTCTACTAACGTGTCGCGTCCTGCAGGCGACTGTGCGGCAAGCTGTACCTCAAGGGCGAGACGCAACAGGTCGACCGCATCCTCGAGCAGTTCAGCCGGCGATACTTTGACGACAACCCCAGGACCGTCTACGGCAGCTCGGGTGCGGCCCTCAGCTCTCGCTCTCTCTCCTCTCGAGCGCGACCGAATCTGACGAGCTCGCCCCGCCGCAGACGTCGTCCACGCCGTGTCGTACTCGCTCCTCCTCCTCAACACGGACCTGCACGTCGTCGACTCGACGACCCGCATGACGCGCCAGCAGTTCATCCGCAACACGCTCGACGCCATCCGGGCCCAGACGGGCACCGACGACGCCGCTGCCGCCGCCGAGCTCCTCGCCGACGTCCACCCTGCCTCGACCGACTCGTCCTCGTCCGTCTTCCGCCTCGGCAACCTCGACGCGTCGACCTCGCGCAAGTCGATCGACAGCTCTCGACAAAACCCGAGCGTCGTCAGCCTCGCAGCAGCAGCGGCAGCGGCAGACGGCGCGAGCGACTCGCCGACGCCGACCGTGTCGGGCTCGCCCATCATCACGCGCACGGGCCCCGAGGGCCGGTCCGACAGCCCGGCGCGCTCGCTCAAGGCCGCATCGACGCCTGTGCCCAAGCTCGACGAGGTCAACCTGCAAGTTGCGCTCAAGGTGCGCCCTCGCTCGCTCGCTCCCCTTTCGAGCTCGTCGACCTTCCCAAGTCGGGACCTTGAACTCACGCCTTGCCACGCCGTCGCGCACGCAGGACATGTACAACGCCATCAAGTCGCAGCCCGTGTACCAGATCTCGAGCGGCTCGGGCTCGTCCTCGGCGCTGCACCTCCCGCACGAGCCGTCGGCGACCAACCGCTCGTCCTTCTCGCTCTCGCCCGGCGGCGGCGGCGGCGGGTCGTCGCCGTACGCGACGTGGGGCGGCAACGTGAGCCGGGCGGCGAGCCGCAGGAGCGCGACGTCGGTCGCGAGTGGGACGACGCCGCCGACGAGCGTGTCGTCCGGCTCGGCGTACAAGCGGGCGAGCATCCGGGGCATGGGCGCGTTCCTCGGCGCGTCGTCGAGCCTCGACTTGGTGCGGTCGACGAGCCCGACACCGAGCACGGCGACCTCGCTCTCGGATGTGCGTCGGCTCCTCCCCTACCTCTTTTCGTCTTCGTCGTGAAGCCGATCACTGACTCCTCTCTGGCTCCCCTCTTGCAGGAACGGTGGAACACGGCGTACGGCCCGGCGTCGCAGCACCACAACGTGCCCACGATCGGGTTCGCCAACAGCCTGTCGCACACGATCATCCGCGAGCAGCACGAGGGCGGCGGCGCCGGCGACGAGACGCGGTCCGAGGCGAGCGAGGTCGACGTCTCGGACGAGGAGCTCGCCCTGCTCGGCGCGCCGTGGGCCAAGGAGGGCATCCTGTCGAGGAAGCACTACTGGGAGTCGAGCGGCAAGAGGGCCAAGGACAAAGGGTGGGTCCAAGCGTTCGTCGTCGTCTCGCAGGGCGAGCTCCAGATGTTCCGCTTCGACGGCGGCGGTGGCAGCGGCGGCGGCGGGAGCGCTCGAGTGACGGGAGGTGTCGGCGGCGGCGACTGGACGGTGCGTCCTCCCTTTCGCTCATCGTCCTGCGTCCCCTCAAGCCGGACTGACGTCGCGCAGGCCAACGCCTCGGCTGTCGGCTCGGTGTCGCTCATCCACGCCCTGTGCTCGGCCATGCCGCCGCCGGGCTACAGCCGCGAGCGGCCGCACTGCTTCGTCTTGACCCTGCCCGGCGGCGGGTCCTACTTTTTCCAGGCCGGCACGCCCGACCTCGTCGCCGAGTGGGTCTCGACGTGCAACTACTGGGCGGCGCGCCACTCGAAGGAGCCCCTGTCCGGCGGCGTGTCCAACATAGAGTACGGCTGGAACCGCGTCGCCGACTCGACGAGCACCGCCGGCGGCGACGACGACCTCGAGGAGATCGCGAGTATCCGCAGCGGGCACAGCCGCAGGAGCTACGCGTCGTCGGCGTTCCACAGCAGCGCGCTCGGCGCCGGCGCCGACCGCACGCACGTCAACGAGTGGAAGCCGCCCCAGGTCCCGCTCGTGCCGAGCCACCTCGGCGAGGAGGCGCAGCTCGACGCGCTTAGCCGACACTCGGCCATCGTCCAGCGCGAGCTCGCGCAGCACGGCGCTCTGCGTGGGCCCATGACTCGCCTTGTGCGTCCCCCTCTCTCTCTTTCTCTCTCTCTCTCTCTCGCTCTCTCGTCCTCTGGTCATCGTCGCCGACTGACCTCGTCTCGCCTCCTCGTGCCCGCAGTACCCGTCCCGGAGCGCCGCCGGCGCCAAAGCGCTCGCCAACTGGGAGCGCAAGTCGCAGCACCTCGTCGCCGAGGGCGTCAAGTACCGCACCTACGTCGACGCGCTCGCGACGGCCGTCCACCTGCGCGCACTGCGACGCGGCAAGAAGCAGGTCGAGCGCATGCTCGAGCTCGCAGACCGCGACGCAGACGAGGCGACCGAGGAGCTCGCCGCCGTCGGGCTGTCGCCGCTCGACGACGGGCGCTGATACCCCCTCTTTTCTCTCTTTCTTGAGCGCACCCTTTCTCTCTCTCTCTCTCTTTGTCGCCCTCGCCCCCCTTTCTAGATATCCCTCTCGCATCGCAATATACCTCTTCTCCCGTCTCTCGCGCTGAGAAGGAGACACCGAGAGAAGTCTATTCCACGACCGGGCACAACAAGAAACACGGCAAAACCCTCGCCATCGTCGCCCCACCACACCGGCGGGCCGCTCGTCTAGATGCCCTCGGACTCGCGGTCGAGCGTGAGGAGGGCCGACTCGAGCACGTCGACGCACTTCTCTGCCTCGTGCTCGGTGAGGGTCAAGCTCGGCACGAAGCGGACCGTCTGCTTGCCGCAGCTGAGGACGAGCACGCCGCGCTCGCGCATGAGCTTGACGATGCGCTGCACGTACTCGTCGCGCTTGAACGGGAGGCCGAGGATGAGCCCCCTGCCGCGCGGCGGGCCGGCGACGAGGCGCGGGAACAGGGTCGGGAGGACCGACAGGCGCGAGTGGAGGTACGACCCGACCGCCTCGACGTGCGTCAGGAACGAGGGCGCAGAGATGCGCGACACGACGTGGTGCGCGACGCGGGTCTGGAGCGGCTGGCCGCTGTGCGAGGAGAGGGTCCGTGCGTCAGTGAGGAGAGCGCGACAGGGAGAGGAGCGCGACACAGAGAGAAGGAGAGAGAGAGAGGAGGACGCACCCGAACGTCGTGCCGTGGTCGCCAATCTTGATCACGTCGGCCACCTTGTCCTTCATGAGAATGGCGCCGATCGGGATGCCCTGCGCGAGAGCGAGAGAGCGTCAGGCCCTCTGAGAGAGACGAGGAGAGGGGGGAGGAGGCAGGAGAGAGAGAGGGACGCACGTTGGCGAGCGGCTTGGCCATGGTGACGACGTCCGGGTGGCAGTCGACCGGCATCGAGCCGTGCGCCCAGAACGAGCCCGTGCGCCCGAGGCCGCACTGCGAGCGAGGCATCAAGATTTGTCAGAGAGTCGCACGACGCTGGCCGACGAGGGAGAGAGAGAGGGGGCGCACCTGGATCTCGTCGTAGACGAGGAGCGCACCGACCTCGTCGCACCGCTTGCGGAGCGCGCGCAAGAACTCCTCGCTCGCCTCGAGGATGCCGCCCTCGCCCTGTGTGTCGCGTGAGGAGTTAGTCATTGAGGCACAGCGCGAGAGAGAGAGAGAGGGAGCAGGGACGCACCTGAATGGGCTCGACGATGACGCCGCACGTCTTTTCCGTCACGGCCGCGTTGATGCCGTCGATGTCGTTGAGGGTCGCGGGAACGAACCCAGGCACGAGCGGGGCGAACGGCGCCTGGTACTTGTCCTGCCAGGTGGCGGACAGGGCGCCCATCGAGCGACCGTGGAACCCGTCGCGGAACGAGACGATCTCGACCTTTTCCTCGGTCGGGGCGGCGACGCCCTTCTCGGCGCCGTGGGCGTTGCGGAGCGCCGAGGCGTACTTGCCGTACTTGCGCATGAACTTGAGCGCGCCCTCGTTCGACTCGGTGCCCGAGTTGGTGAAGAAGACCTTGAGGCCGCCGTCGTCGGCCGAGCCGTTGGCGTCGGGGGAGGCCTGGCCGGCCGGGTAGCCCATGCCGCCGAGCTCCTTGGTCTTTTGTACGACGAGGTACGCGAGCTCGCCGGACCACTCGTTGTGCCACAGGTTCGAGTTGTGCACGAGCTTGCGGGCCTGGTCCTGGAGGATCTTTGCGACGCCGTCGTCGGCGTGACCGAGGGCGTTGACGGCGATCCCGCCCGACACGTCGAGGAACTCGCGGTCGTGCGAGTCGTACACCTTGCAACCCTTGCCGCGCGCGAGGATAAAGTTGGGGCGCGCGTACGTGTTGAGGGTGACGGCGGCGTGGCGCTTGAGCTTTAGCTGTACGTCTTGCGGGACGTGGTCGTCGAGGTGGGTCGGGGTGAGGTAGTCGGTGCAGGCCTTGTTGGCGTAGGTGCGCGACGAGGGTGCGATGGTCGCGAGGCGGATTGAGGTGCGGAGGGAGGACGAGGGCGCGAGGCGAGTGAGGCGCGCTGGGGCGGGAGAGCGGGCGAGCATGGTCGATCGGGAGTGGGCGAGTGGATCTAGCTGCACACTGACCCTTCTTAGCCGTGAGAGGGGCGACGAGCGAACAGCGAAGCCGACGACTTCATCAGCTGCAGCTCAACCCCCCTTGACTCCGCCACGTGGAGCTCGAACTCGCACAGGCTGCCCAGTCCGACTCGTCTACTCGCCGACATGGACTGGACCACCCTGGAGCCCGAGCTCGCACATCCAGGTGCGCTGTCGCCCCCTCGCCGCCCACCCCGTTCCCCCGCCCCACCCACGACACTCAACCCCACGCTTGACACGCACGCAGACAACGACAAGCGCATCCACGCACTGCACGCCCTCCAACACCTCCTCCAACAGTCGCACCAGGCGCGCCCCTTTTCGCGACTCGCACCTCCCCCCTCGGCTCACCCTCTCGTTCCCGCCTCGCAGGTCACCGACGTCGACCACCTCGCCACCGTCTTGCGCCCTTCGGTCAAGCACACCAACGCCCACGTCGCAGCCGCCGCCCTCGCGTGCCTCCCGCCCTTGTTCCCCCTCGTCGTCTCGACCGACCCCTCGTCGTCCACCTCCTCGACCGCCCACTCGCTCCGCCACGCCCTCGCCCTCCTCCTCCCGCTCGATCGCCTCGGCGACTCGAAGCCCGCCACCCGCGACCTCGTGCGCGAGGCCCTCGTCAGCGCCGCCCGCGCCGCCCTCGTGCTCGGCGTCGACGCGGGCACCAAGACCAAGGACGGCGGGCCGTGGGCTTTCATCGAGCGCGGCGTCCAGGAGCATGGGTTCGCGAGCAAGAACGCAAAGGCGCGAGAGCAGGTGCGCTCTCCCTCGTCCCCCTCTCTCTCTCTCTTCCAGGCCAAGGCGAACGCAGGCTGACCCGTCGACCTGCAGGCCCTGCACTTCCTCGCCGCCGTCCGCTGCCCTCCCACCACCTCTCTCCCTTCCTCGGCGCTCCCACCCCTTCGCCCCTTCACGCCCCTCCTCCTCCCGCTCCTCGCCGACCCAGACCCGGCCGTGCGCGCCCTCGCCCTCTCGACCACGGTCGCCATCTTCTCGCACCCGGCCGTCTCGCCCGCCGCAAAGGCCGACCTCAAGAAGGAGCTCGCCCGGCTCGACGTCGCCAAAAAGGTCCAGGAGCACGTGCTCGGCGCCGTCCTTGGCGGCGGCGGCGGCGCGGGCTCGGGTGCCGCAGCGGACGAGCGCAGCCCGAGTCGGGCGAGCGACGAGGCGGCGGCGCGCTCGGGCACAGGCGCAGCGGGCGCCCCTGCTCGGTCTGCCGCCTCGTCGACGCCGGACGCGGCGGCGGCTCCAGCACGGCGGCTCACGCGCTCGCAAGCGGCGTCGGCGTCGCAGGGCAGCAGCACCAGCAGCGCCGCGAGCACCTCGCTGCCGCCGCCCTCGACGCCGTCGCTCCTCGCGCCGCTCCCCGCCGCCGCCTTCCCCTCGGACCCGTCGGCCGTGCCCGCGCCCACCTCGTCGTCGTCGGCCGAGCCGCCGCCCGTCTACCTCGCGTCCGAGGCCGACCTGCGCGCCGAGTTTGCGGCCATGCACGCTGCGTTTGCGGGCAAGGAGACGGAGCACAACTGGCTCGCGAGGGACGGACACGTCGCGAGGATGAGGGGCATGCTGAGGGGGGGTGTCGCGAGGGGGGAGCTGAGGGGCGCGTTCGCGCAGGGGGTCAGGGACATGCAGGACGGCATCATCCGCACGGTGCGTCTCACTCTCTCTTCCCCTCTTTCGGCGGTTCCCCTGCCCGGACGCGTCACTAACGCTCGTCGTCGCGCCACCCGCAGTCGGCCTCGCTCCGCACGACCCTCGCCATCTCGGCCCTCACCCTCATCTCGGACCTCGCCACCTCGCTCGCGTCGCCCTTGCTCGACCCGCTCGTCGACCCGTTGCTCGCCCACGTCCTGTCGATGGCGGGCATGACCAAGAAGATTGTCGCGACGGCGTCGCAAAACACGGCGACGGTCCTCTTGACCGAGGCGCCGTACCACGCGCGCTCGGTCCAGCTCGTCGCACACCTCGGGACCGAGAAGACGCCCCAGGCGCGCCTCTTTGGCGCGCAGCACGTCCTCACCGTCTTGCGCGTGCACGGCGCCAACCCGGCCCTCCTCGCCGCCGCCGCCGCCAACCCCTCGACCACCTCGACCACCCCGTCGGCCCCAGCATCGTCGTCGTCGTCGTCGGCCACCTCCTCGGCCGCCGACGACCTCGAGCACGCCGTCTCGCGCGCACTCGCCGACCCCAACGCCCAGGTGCGTGAGCGCGCGCGCGACGCCTACTGGGAGCTCGTGCGCCTCGGTCCCGCGTGGGCCGAGCGTGCAGCGCGCGTCCGCGCTCAGCTCGACGTGACGGCAAAGAAGCTGCTCGACAAGGTCAGGCCGGCAGAGGTGGGCGCGCCGGCGACGGCGCCGGGTGCGGGTGCGGGCGCGAGCGCGGCGGCTGGCGGGAGCGCGAGGCGGGCGGGAGTGGGCGCGCGCAGGGAGGCTGCGGCGGGCCCCGGTGCGGGGGCGAGGCTGAGCCCGGGCGTCGCTGCGGCGGGAGCGGGCGCAGGAGCAGGGGCAGGAGCGGGAGCGGGTGCGGGAGGGCCCAAGAAGCTGAGCGTCAAGGACATGCTCGCGGCCAAGCGGCGCGAGGCGCTCGCGGCCAAGGAGCGCGACGGTGCCGGCGCCGAGCAGCAGCAGGAGGGCCTGCTCGACGAGGGCGTCGTCCTGACGCCGAGGCGACGCCCGTCGGCGCCGAATAGCTCTCTCGGGTCGTCGCCCGGCGGGAGCGCGACGCCGCAGGAGACGCCGACGCGCCCGCAGGCGGTGCAGCACTCGCCGCCGGCTTCGCCTTCGCCCGCAGCGGCACCACCTCGCCCTTCCTCCTCCTCCTCCTCCTCCCCTCCTCTTCCTCCACCTCTCACGCCCGCTCGCCACGCGCCCGCACCTGCGCCTCGCTCCCACGTCCCCGACCACGTCGTCGACGACGCGCTGCGCGAGCAGGCGCTGCAGGCCGAGCAGGCGGCCGAGCGGCTCCTCGAGCTCGCCGAGGACGAGGCCGACGCCGCGCCGCCACCTGCACCTTCCTCCGACTCCCCCTCCTCCGTCGCCCCGCCAGCTGCGTCGACCCCTGCACGTGTCCCTCCCTCCTCCACCGCCCACCCCGCCGCCGCGCTCCACACGCCCGCGCCCAACCCTGCCCTGCGTCGCCTCGGCGGCGGCGGCGGCGGTGGCGGGCCCGGCGCTGCGTCGTCGTCTTCGTCCATCTTTGCCGACAGCCCCGACTCGCGCGACCCGCTCGGAGCGGCGACGCGCGGCTCGTGGTGGCTCAAGCGCGGCGAGGCGCTCGGCGCTGCACCTGCGTCTGCGTCGTCGGGCTCGGCGCCGGCGCCGGCGTCGGCGCGCGAGCCTGACTCGGCGGCGCGCAGGGAGGAGATTGACGCGCTCGTTGAGCGCGTCGCGAGGTGTGGGAGCGCGAGGGACGGAGGCGAGGTGGACGCGGCCGGGTGGAGGGAAGTTGCGCGGCTCGCGAGGGAGCGGCCCGTGCGCGATGACGGGACCGGCGGCGAGGGCCTCGGCGAGCGAGAAGAGGGCGAGGACGCGAGGTTCTGGAGGGACGAGGCGAGGTTCGAGCGCGTGTTCGAGGGGCTGAGGGCGTTCTTGCTCCAGACCCAAGGCGTCGCTCAGGTGCGTCTCCTCCTCTCTCTTCCACTCTCTCGGGCCTTTTTCTCAACTCTTGTCCGTACGTCTCATTGACACTGTCGACTCGTCCTGCAGCCCGGCTCGACAACGCGCGACATGGCGCTCCTCGCGCTCAAGGACCTCGTCGAGAACCAGCTGCCCTGCCTCGCCGGCGCTGAGTCGACCGTGTTTGACCTCCTCTTCCGCTTGCGGGAGGACCCCTCGCGCTCGGTGCGTCGCCCCCCTTCTCTCGCACGGGCCTCGTCTCCCTTGTCGGGCTCGTCGAACTGACTTTGCCCTGGCCCGCCGCCGCCGCCGCCGCCGCCGCCGCACACAGTCCGTCGCCGCGACTGAGGCCATCTCGACGTCGTTCACGGCGCGCCTCGAGCCGCTGTACGGCCTCGGGGCGCTCGTGCCCGCCCTCGAGGCGTACCTCGCCTCGTCCACGTCGTCCCCCTCCCCCTCCTCCTCATCCGCCACCTCGCCGACGCCCGCCACGACGTGCCCGCCGTCGCACGCTCCCCCGTACGCCCTCGGCCTGCGCCAGATGGGCACCCTGTTCGAGCGCCTGCCGCGCGAGGTCCTCGACGACGTGCTGCCGCGCTCGGCCGACCTTCTCAAGCGGGTCCGTCTCTTTCCCTCTCTCCCTCTCTCTCTCTCGCACGTGGCCCCGACGCCCCCTCGCACGCCCTGACCACCCCACCCCCCTCTCGCTCGCCCGCAGGCCCTCAACGACCCCTCGTCGCCCGACCTGCGCCGCACGGCCCTCCTCGCCCTCGTGTCGGCGCACCACGCGCTCGGGCCCAACGCCGGCGCCGCCGCAGCGAGGCTCGAGCAGCTCGTCGGCGGGCTCGAGGACGACCAGAAGAGCTTGCTGGCGTACTATGCGGCCAAGCGAGGGGCGTGAGGGCGGGCGAGGGGGGCGGGCGAGGGGGGCTGTCGAGGAGGAGGGGGAGGCGGCTCTCAGGGCGCGAGGAGAGGAGGTACGAGAGAGAGAGAGATGCAAGTGCACGACGACTACGGATGACACTACAGCCCGGAGAGAGAGAGAGAGGGAGAGAGAGGGCAAATCTAGATCTAGAGAGACAGAGAGAGAGAGAGAAAGCTAGTTGGGCGCTGCGAGGATAGAGAAGGAGAAAAGAGTCAGTTCCTCCTGGTCAACGACGACGACCGGTCGGCGACGAGGGCGAGAGGGCGAGAGAGAGAGAGAGAGGGAGGGAACGTGCGCGACGCACCAAACTTGTACGTGACGATGCCGCACGTGGCGATGAGGTACCCGCCCCACTGCGTCGCCGTGAGCTGTGGGCGCCATTCGAGAGAGGTCAGGGCGGGGTGCTCGGTGAGGCCGAGAGAGGGAGGGAGAGGGGAGAAGAAACGAGGAGGAACGCACATTCTCGCCGAGGAGCACGACGGGGAGCGCCACCATGAGGATGTCCTTTACGATCTTGCTGAGGCTGAGCACCATGGCGCTCAACGAGATGAGCATGACGGCGCTGAAGTTGAGCGCGAGCGTCAACGCCGAGTTTGTCACGATGGTCCACGCGCCGAGGGCCGGGATGGCGCGCAGGGCAGGGGAGCCCTCGAACAGGACGAGGACGGTCGCGTTGAGGGCGAGGCAGGTCGGCGCGAAAAAGTACAGCGACTTGAGCGGCGACATGCCCGTGCTGAGGGCGCCGGCGACTCGGGCCGCGTTCGGGTCCGAGGGGCCCGAGGAGGCCGGCGAGAGGAGGATCTGGATGAGGGTGACGCGCGTCGCCTCGATGGCGATGGCCACCATCTGGACCGTGAAGCCCGTGACGGAAAAGTCGGTCTCGCCCCAGGACGCGATGCCGACTGCGTGAGCGAGGAGGGACGGGGGGGGGGGGGGGGGGGGGAGGGACCTCTCGCTTTGGACCGTGGGGGGGGCGGTTCA